CGATAATCTCACGAACGAATACATCGAATATTGGGTGATGAATTCCATGCACGATTATTTTTCTGCTCTTATTTTTCGTTACGAAGGAATAATATTGACAAATGAAGTAAATCGATCTGCAAATATTTATGTTAATGTCAAATCGTATTTGTGTCTTCATTTGTTGTAAAAAGAAAATAAATTCTTATACTCATGGGTAACTCAAAATCTGCCAGAGCATTTGCTAACGAATCTGAATATCAATATCAACCACCTGGACCAAATGATTCTCGTTCACCATGTCCTGCACTAAACGCTCTTGCTAATCATGGTTATTTACCACGAGATGGGAAAAATATTCCACAGGAAGTTCTACAACGAGCTGCACAAGTATTAAAACTTCTATTAATTATATGAATTTTTTTAATTTTTATAGCACAAAATGGGCTTGAGTTGGTTGGCTACGAAAGTTATCCTTAAACAATCATATAAAACTGCCGGTCATGATGGTTTACTTTCACTTTCTGATCTTTGTTATCATGCACCAGATAGTATTGAACATGATGGTTCACTTAGTAGAATAGACGCTACTTTATCAAATAATCAACAAGGAAAATTTAATCAAGAACGTTTTAATAAATTTCTATCTTTTTCTAAAGATGGTAAATATTTAACAACAGAAGATGTTGCTGCTGCTCGTCTATATTTCAAAGCAGATAGTCATGCACACAATCCTCAATGTATATGGAATAAAGATATTGAAGAAGCAATGTGGACAGAAGCTTCAATTCTTCTACATATCTTAGGGAAAAATGGAAGAATTAGTATTGAAGATGCAAAATTATTCTTTGAAAAAGAAACATTTCCATCAAATTGGCAAAAACATCCTTCATTTGGTGTACGTGAACGATATACCGCTGCGAAAGCATTGAAAAATGCAGCACGGAGAATTGATAAATAACATTAAAATTTAAATGAGAATGTGCATAATCATATTTTTAGAATAAATCCGATTAAATAAATATTCTACTCTTACTTTAACGATATGTGAGTGATTATACAATGATTTAAATATTGAACTTGAAATATCGAAAAAAGAGTGTAACATATATCAAGAATTTTTGATCATGCTCGAGGGTATGGATGTATCAAATGTTGACCGCGCTTACCCATACCCTTAAGATGGTTTCTACTCTAAAACTAGATTTTTTCGACCAATACGATTAGTCTTTGTCGCAAGTAATTGATTAGGGTGTGGATGTGAGTGTAGCTGTGAATGCTCTTTTCTTATTGCCACTCACATCCACATTCTCATTCAAAATCCAGTTATTCACTTTCGACACATCATAGGACTTTCATCAGACCTAATACATATTAATAAATCATGTGTCGCCTCGTGTTACAGGTATTTCCAACACAAAGAGTACGGCAAAGTCAGGTGGATACTAAAATTATGTATTAGTAACACAATTATTATTACCGCACTAAAATAAAGTTTGGAGAAAATTTATATTTGGACAGCAACATGAGCATATCTATCTATATTTCATTATTAATAATATCTTGAAGCGTTCAAACTTTCGGTATTTTGAACCAATGGGTGTGGGTGTGGATGAAGGCCTATGAATACATCTGCATCCTCATAAAAACGCGAATGATGTCCTTTGATAGTTGAGTAAAGTTCGCTCCAAGCCTATTCGTAAGTAGAAAATGGCAATGATTATTAATAGTTCACAAGTTATTGAAGCTCTTTTTTCTAAATCTTTAATAGTACTCTTATATCAGTTTACGATTTTTCATTTGTCATAATATGATATAAAGTAGAATATAATACATTGTATTATTAATTAGTTCATACATCACCGTATTTATCTTTTTTGAAAAAAATAAATGATGAACTGTACTTTTAAATTCACGAACTAGAATATGTCTCCCAAGCTAATAGACAGTATTTGTTCTAGTTATCTGACTTTCATCGATATAATTTTTTATCACAAAAATCAAACGTTTTGAATCATAACATGCTTAATGAAAAACAATGATGCTCGTATAAATTTTGAAGTAGAGCAAGTCTCGCTCTTTTCCCCTTAGTTTCTGTACATATCATCTGCAAACCGATACAAAAGAGAATTTCAGCATTGATAAATATATTTATATTGCTTAGGAAGACAAACATGTCGATTATTTGTAGTCTAGTTCTCACAAATGAAAAATTTGTAAGTTTGTTGCTTTTATATAGAAAAATTCAACGGAAATTGGTATGTTGTTTCATCATTTTTAGTAAAAGCATTGCAAGTTGTCAACGTTTATTGTATTTTCGCTCAACATAAATAAATTTGACTGAACTATTTCTATTGGTTAATATCGGATGAATCGCTGTTAAGTCTAAAGAAGCCATATTGATTGTATATTCTATAAAATGTCTTGTTATGAGTTTTCATGTTAAGAATTGACCATAATAAAATTAAATAATAAATTTTTTTTCAAACATCTTTATTCAATACTATAAATGGATAAAAAAATTGTTTTGTTTTGACAGATGATGCTAATTAATTATTAGTTATTTTTTTCTACCAATAGAAACCTTTATTTTTTTTTAATAGCGTCAAGTTAATCTTTTTTCGTTCTTTCGCACATTTCTTTTTATTGATAAAAAGTAGAGAGATTCCCAAATTATTTACTGTACTTTATCAATTATAATATGAATTATTCATATTATGTCATCTTTAGTTAATTATATGAACTATATACATATATATATCTTACGACTAGTCAATTCTAATCATGATTAGGTTTTAAGGATAATTTCTCATGGAAGTTTTATTATTTCCGGGAAAAGAATTATGTAAGAATACTTCCGTGTAATCAAAAATGAAATTTCGTAGTATATATTGGTAATCTGTTAGACATTTTTTTAGTAGACATGAGTATGTGATAAACAACTTTAGTAGGTATTAGTATGCAATTCACTTCTTCGCATCGCCATACTTCATACAGATCAAATATACTTAGTAAGCATGAATCATCTACTTGAATTTTTGACGTATAACTGTTGTACATTTTATATAAGACAATGAATATGATCTATTTTTACGTGAAAAACTTCAAGAAGAAGATATTTACTTATTTTTTAATTTTTAATCTAAATTTTAGATAAATTAAATCTTAATTGCCATGTCGGCATTAAAAATGGGTGGAATAATAGAAATACAAATTTATCCATAAATAATCAAATATGGATGCCGATTTTAAGGCTCAATTAGATCAAGAAAGAACTAAAGTTGAAGATGCATTCGATTTTCTTGGTTGTAAAGTTGGTCGAGGAACATATGGACATGTATATAAAGCAAAGAAAAAAGACGGGTATAAACATATATATATATAACCTTGTAGTATAGTAGAATGTTACATGATCGTATCGTTTTTTTACTATACACTAAAGTCAATTTTTTTGTGATATTTATTTTTCTTGTCTTTGATCATGTGTCATTTTATTACCTGTTCTTTTTCTCTGTTTAGAAGTGACACACGAGATTATGCGTTAAAACAAATCGAAGGTGATTTGAATAGAACAAAAAAAAAGAATAAGAAAGAACTTATCTTAAATCTCTAATTATTTCTAGGTGTTGGTTTATCAACAAGTGCGTGTCGAGAAATTTCTGTAAGCTATTCTTGTTTAATAATAAAAATTAGTAATTTTTTTTTTATTATAGTTACTACGTGAATTAAAACATGTTAATGTTATAACATTACAACGTGTATTTCTTTCACATGCCGATCGTCGTGTTTCTTTATTACTTGATTTTGCTGAATATGATCTTTGGGTAATAGAAAATATTGAAAAATGATTTATGAAAAATTTTATTTTATTTTTAAAGCATATTATTAAATTTCATCGTTCAGCAAAACAAAATAAAAAAACTGTTACATGTGCACGTGGAATGGTAAAATCTTTACTTTATCAAATACTTGGTGGAATACATTATTTACATTCAAATTGGATACTTCATCGAGATCTTAAACCAGCTAATATTTTAGTGATGGGAGATGGAATTGAACGTGGAAGAGTTAAAATTGCAGATATGGGTTTTGCACGTTTATTTAATTCACCTTTAAAACCAATGGCAGATCTAGGTAAATATGATGTAACTTTGTTAATTATTTCGAATTAAAAACGAAACAGAAATCAATCCATATTAGACGGTATTCGAATTAAATTTCACATTAATTCTAGATCCTGTGGTTGTCACATTCTGGTATCGTGCACCTGAATTATTACTTGGCGCTCGGCATTATACAAAAGCAATTGATATTTGGGCAATAGGGTATTTATTTGAATCTATTAACAAAAGAAAAGAAAGAATTAAAACGATTTCTGTTTCTTTGAAATAGATGTATATTTGCTGAATTATTGACCTATGAACCAATATTTCATTGTAAACAAGAAGATATCAAAACAAGTACACCATATCATCATGATCAACTTGATCGAATTTTTTCCGTTATGAGTTTTCCAGCTGGTACATTATTTTAAGAAAACATTTTATTTGATCATTTATTCTTTTCTCTCTATCTCATCTTTTAAGATAAAGAATGGGAAGATATGAAAAAAATGCCAGAATATACACGTTTATCGAAAGAATTTAAAAAGAGCAAGTAAGTTTATTTTTTAACAAAAATAATTCGTTCAAAAACAAAATCTTCCTTTCTTCTAGTTATGCAAATTACAGTCTGAGTAAATATATGGATAAACATAGTGTTCGATCAGATAGTCGAGCATTTCAATTATTAACACGTTTACTCACCATTGATCCAACCAAAAGATTATCAGGTATTGATAGATTTTTATTTTGTTTAAATGATTATCCATATATATTCTTGTTTTTTCTCTTATATTAGCATTAGATGCAATGAATGATCCATATTTTAAAGAAGATCCACGACCTACTGACGAGTAAATTTTAAAAAAAATAATTTTCCAAAATTTTAATTTACATTTTGAATTATCTTTTTTTTCCAATTAAGTGTATTTGATTCTGTGCAAATTCCTTATCCTAAGCGTGAATTTATAACTGATGATGATTCATCGGATGCTGGTACACGTGTTGCTAAAACAGAACCAACGATTATGGTTAAAACAGAAGCTGCATCTGTTGTTCTTACGCAACAACAAACATCTCATGTAACTCATAGCCAACAACAATTAACAAACCAACAACAACAGCAACAGCAACAGCAGCAACAACAACAACAACAACAGCAAAATATACATATTAAACAACAACCACAACAGCATAATAATATTGTTCAACAAACACATCCTCAACAAGTATGTTAAATAGAATATATATTATGAATGGTAGTTGAATTTTTCATAGTTATTTTCTTTCAAAAGTCAGTTAATCATTCTATAGAGTCGAGCACTGAGACGGAAAAAGTCTTGAATTTTATGAGAAGAATGAATTTCTATATGAAATTAAATTGTCGAAAATATTGATTTAAATATCCTTTGTTGTTTATAACACTTATCAATATCATATTTTAAAGATTGTAGAAGAGAAAGAATTAAATAATATTCAATATGATATCTTTTTCTTTAGATGAAGTTAATGCAGCAACATCCATCTAATATAAATGTTCAAGGACAACCACCTGAAAAGAAATTACGTGCAACGGGTAGTTATGCAGGTGGTGATCCTTCAAATTATGATTATCAAGTAAATACACATATCTTTCTACTCTTATTTAAATAATATAATTCATATTTTTTAGCGAAATCCAAATCAGCAACAGCAACAGCAACAAATGTATCAACAACAACAGCAGCAACAACAACGATTTTAGTTTGTTCATCTATATCTATCTTTTTTCTCGCTCTATATATAAATATATATATATATATATGTATAAATAATATTTATTTATTCGTGTATTTCTTTGTTGAATAATTATTTGTAAGCGATTGTTTTTTTTTTCATTCTCCGTGTTATTATTATTAATTTAGCTAAATATATACAACAAAAAAATAAAGCCATACATATTCATTGTATTTGTTATTGTAGATGACAAGTGTAACAAATTTTCGTTATACAGCCTCTCCAATAATTATTATTCTAGGGGCAACAGCTGTTGGAAAAACGAAATTATCTGTTTATTTATCTAAACGTTTTAATGGAGAAATTATTAATGCTGATTCAATGCAAATATATGAAGGTTTAGATATTGCAACCGCTAAACCAACAATTGAAGAACGAGATAATGTTCCTCATCATTTATTTAGTTATGTAAATCCACTTGATCGTTCACATACTGTTGTAGATTATAGAAATGATGCATTACCAATTGTAAGTTTATTAAGATTGTCATTTTTACGTAAAAAAGGCTCATTCGAAATTGAAAAACAAATATACAGTTATTCATTGTATATCAATTCTTTTCATAGGTTGAATCAGTTTTATCTCGATCACATCTTCCATTTATTGTCGGTGGAACAAACTATTATATTGAATCCTTACTCTTTCATCTTAATCCACCAGAACCAGTGACGGAAAGTTCATCTAATGAACAATTCTCTTCACTAGCATCGGATTTATCAGATGAAAACCTATCGAAATTAACATCTGTACAATTACATGAACTATTAGCTAAAATTGATAAACCTACAAGTATTCGAAAACATCCAAATGAAGAACGTAAAATTCGAAGGTACGATTATACTGATTGGAAAGAAAAAAACAGCCCATAGCTCTAAAAAAGAACAGAAAAAAAATTCCTATTGGATAATTATGACTGATTTGACGTATGAATAATAAATAATCGAAGTGAAAACGAAGGAGTACGTAGAAAAGTACAAGTATAATTTATATGAATCAAAATGAAACTTGACCAAATCATACGAATCATAAATAATTATTCTTTTTATGATTTATTCTAATAAAAAATATTTAGAGCTATTGAATTTTATCGTGAATCGGGTGGTATTCCACTAAGTGAAGCATTAAAAAAACAACATGCAGAAAGTGGATTTTCATATCGTGGAACATTTCGTTTTCAACGTTGTTGTCTCTTATGGTTAACATGTCAAAAAGAAGGTATATTTTAAAGAAATAAAGATATATTTGATAATTTTTTTCTTAAAATTATCATAGAATTAGAAAACCGTATTAATAATCGAGTAAAATCAATGCTTGACCGTGGTCTTATTGATGAATTATCAAAATTTCATGATGAGTATAATCAAACATGTAAAGAATCAGAACAATCATACGATTATACTCGTGGAGTATTTCAAGCAATTGGTTTCAAAGAATTTCATGATTATTTACTTTTATCAGAAGATGAACGAAAAAGTGAACATGGTGAAAAAGTATTTGCTAATGGTAGGTAAGTAAAATACACTGAAAAAAGGGTTTCGATGTTTGTAACGAATTCGAAACCCGTTTTTGGCTTCTGTGATGTATAGACATAGATTGTTATTGTTCGTTTTGTTTTCGTTCTTTCTTTCCTTTCTTTCGTTCTCTTGTATTCACTAGGATTATTTCCTCTTGAAATAATCCCTGTTCTTGTTGAGGAATATTCCCTTTTGAAATATTCCTTCTTCTGCGCATATTCCATCATATATATAGACGTGTGAGAAGATTAATTTTCGATCATTTACTTATTCTTTTGTTTTAGCTATTGAACGTCTTAAACTTTCTACGAGACAATATTCAAAATATCAAGAAAAATGGCTTCGAATGCGTCTTCTTCAACGTAAATTATTTTTTTTAAGAAAATATAATTTCTTATGATATTTAAAATATTTATTTTAAAGGTGTTGAAGAACATTCACCTGATGTTTATGAACTTGATACAACTAATTTATCATCATGGACAGAGAATGTTGAACAACGAGCAGAAGCTATTATTGATGCTTTTTTAAAAGTAGTTTTTATGGTTTCATTTTTTCAGAAATCTAATAATCTTGATTCAGAATGAAACTATTCCATTCGATGCTCTTCCAAAAAAACAGATCGATGAACCCGTATATGAACAAAATACATGTTCAACATGTGACCGAGTCTTTCATTTAAAATCCCAATGGAATGGTAAATAATATATAAAATTAATTTTTTTTAAGCATATTTTTATGTTTGATATATATCTATGTGTATATAGATCATCTAAAAAGTAAACAACATAAACGAATGGTTCGTTCAACAGATCGAGCAACATTTCGTCGAAAATTAGATAATGCTCTACCATCATTAATGAACACACTTGATATATTAGAAAAGAAAAAGATGTCGGAAAATGAAGAAGAGAGTGACGAATTTGATATAGATAAAGAAATATAAACAACATAAAAAAAACGAATTTATTGATTTTTGTTATTGTTTATTGTTTATTTTGTTTCTAGAAAAGAAAAATATTTTGTTTTTAAAAAAGAAAGATAAAAAGATTATTTTAAATGGTAAACAAGAGAAGCAATCTTGTAGAAGTAAGAGAGAAGAAAAGAATAACGAAGCATACATTAATGCAACTAATATGTCTTTGCTTTCTCTCGCGCTTGTCTAACATATCAATGAACTATATATCGATAAATTAATTTCTATTTCAGAGGCGTCTATATGAATATGCGTTGCATGCTGTTTATTCTACATTACATGTTATTGAACCAGGAGCAACAAGGGATCAACTTGCTGATCACATAGCGAAAGTATATTTATCTACATAGGATTAAATTCGATGAAAAAAATTTCTTTTCTATTGATAGCTGTTTAATATTGATCCAGAAGAACATGAAACGAAATATAAGCGAACTCTTAAGGCACAAGTAAAGTTTTATGGAAAGAAAAAAAAGACATTTTTATCATATTGAATGTTTTAGGCATGTTCTGTTACGTTATTTGTTGATGTTAAAAAGGCACGTGATTTACTTGGTGAAGATGAAAATGGTTTGCTAGAATAAATCTATTGTTTTTCGTTCTATTCAACAGATTTATTTTTTTCGTTGTAAAAGGTCTTAGTGATCCTTATTGTAAAGTAAGCGTTGTTTCCGTTCCAAACAAGTCAGAGAATCTCAATGATATGACAACAGCTACATCTTATTTATCATCTCCAGACTCACCTATTCCAATAAAAAGAAGTCGATCGTTTTTCTCTTGTATTGCACCACGTATGTCAATAGAATATATTCTTTAAGTAGAAGAAAATCTTTCTATTTCATTTTATTTTAGCATCAAGACCTAAATCAAAATCATCCACAGGAGTAAATAAACAACGAAAGAGTCGGAAAACTTCGAAAGATCATACATCAGCAATATCAACAGAGAGAAGGAAAACATTGCCTAAACTTATTTTTCGTACTGATGTTCGTCCTAAAACAATTAATCCAGAATGGAATGAACATTTTGAATTGTAAATCGATTATATCTACATTGTAGAGATGTGTGAGATCAAATATATATTGAATTCCGGTTAGTGTGATCTGAGCGCACTACCGATCTTCGTTTCGATTATGAGAACTTATTCAGCTTTTTAGTCATCTACCTTAGTAAAATATTACTTGAGTAGTTCTGGTCTTACACATCTCAACTAATATTAACAAATCTTATCTATTAATGATGTATGAAATATAATTTTCATCTATTTAGTGAAATAGAAAATGTTTATACACAAGAACTACTTATAAGTGTATTTGATTCTGATCGTGGTCAAATACCAGGAATGAAAACACTTGTTAAAGAAAAACGAGGTGTTACAAAGTTAGTCAAGTTTTTTCTAGAAATATATTTATCTATTATAAATAATTTTATGATATTCTATTAGAAAAATTCGTGGTATGAGAACTCTATTCGCAACAGGGCAACTTGACGATGATTTTCTCGGACAAGTTATGGTTGATATAAAAGTTAGTATTTTAATATATTCTGTCTTTAATTATGTAAATAAAATTTATTTCTAGTCTTTAGCTACATCTGATCATGAAAAATGGTATCCTTTAACAGGAATGAATCAAACACATGCAAATAATAATAAATCAAGAGGCGAAATTTTACTCGGATTAAAAGTTCATTTTAAATTGGCAAGTAAAATGAGAAAAAAAAATTATTTTTCAACATTACCGTATAAATAATTTTACAAATGATCAAAAAGGAAAGCTTGTCTCCTTCTTCTTCTTCTCTTTTTAAAGGTTATCAAAATCTGCTCTTAATGCTTTTCCTTAAAATAGAGAATGTTTGTTTTTTTTATCGATATTCCTCTTTTTTTTAAGGATGAGAAAAATTCTAAAGGTCGCCATTGGGTAACAAACGAAAATGTTTTACAATTTCATCGTCGTCATTCAACATTATCATCTGCTGGTCAAACACCTACATCGATTATCCTACGTTCAAATATTTTTCGAAAAAATTTTCGTCCAGCATCATTACAAGTTCGTGATTATACACGAACAAGTAGTAAGAAGAAATCTTTTCTATAGAAAATAAACTTATGAAAAAATAAAAAAATTTAGTTTTTGAAAATGATGACCCAGCGGCACATTCTAATTCAGGTGATTCAATATTAACACTAGCTACTGATTCAGATTTACCATTATTAATCGAAGAATATCATCAATTATTTCGAATCATTATATTACATCAATTAGAAGATACAAGAGAATTAGTAAAAACAATTTTTTTTGTCTTTCTAAGAAGTTAGATCTGTTTATCTTTTTTAGAATAAGGATAATTTCAATGGATTATTTATTGATTGGGATGGTGGAATAAATGAATTATCTTCTAGTGTTCTTCTACAATTTCGTGTCCTGTATAATATTTCAGTTTTATCTCAATCTTTTATGTAAATATAAATAATAACCAGAATTCATATTTTCATTGTAAACATTTGTATGTATAGACAATTACTTGTTATTTTGGAACTTCGATGTTCAGAAGATTATGCATTATTTATTAGTCAAGCTGTTATTGAAGCTTATTTTACAATATTTATGGGTTTAGTAAAAGAACGAACAAATGCTAATGATCTCGATTTTACTGATTATGAAGTAAAATTTTTATTATAATTAAGAAAAATCTTGTATTTATTTTTCTAGAAAACAATGTTTAAAGAAATTTTTTATTTATTTATTGGTCATTATAAACAACGTGTGCATAATGATAAATCATGGTTTCCACCATCAAAAGAAAGTTTACCAAATATTCAAAGTGTATTTGAGTAAGTTTAGATTTGATTTACATAAATAAATGAAGCAAAAACATCAATCATTTCGAAAAAAGTACATTTTTCATAATTTACATGTCATACACAATAGTACTTTTTCTAGTTAAAGTCAAATTAATTCTTCGATATACGTTAACAGCGATAGTAGATTAATCTAGATTATCGAATAAAGATTGTGGAGATCACTCCGGCTCGTGACTAGAGATGTGCGGGACCAGAAAAAATCCAAACTCACAGGGACCAGGATCGGGACTGAAAAATTAAACTGTACCGAGACCGAAGCCGCGACCGGGATTAAAAGGAAAGCTTTACCGGGACCGAAAAACATTTACCAGGACCGAGACCGAGGCCTAATAAAAAAATTTTACTGGGACTATTGCCGGGACCGGGACCTAAAAAGGTTGTTCCCGCATATCTCTACTCGTGACAGTTCTGATGATAATTTCAAATATGATATCTATTTTCTTTTATACTATAAATCACTAGGCAATCATTAAAACCCGTTTATTTAAATAATGAAATTTTTTAGCATACTTCGTATTTTACTAAAATTAAATATTTGTTCAAACGAAGCAGTAATGATAGAACATCTCGGAGACACAATACGACTTCGTTTACAAAATGATATTAATGATTCATTTGATCTACATACATTTGTAGTTAATGAAAAAAATGAAATACAATTACATACTGCTCGAGATTTTCTTGATTATGTTAAAAAATTAGCTGAATCAATGTCACTTATACCGGAATATGATGAAATCTGTACAAAATATAATGCAAATTATATTAAAATATGTTTTTTTGGAAGCAATAGTGCAGGTGATCGTGTAAGATTAGATTTTGTTTGTTTTTTGTAAAAAAAAGTGAATTTATTTTTATATTTATAGTTAGCAGAATTGACAAAATGTTTATTAAAAAATATGATAGATTCTTTTCAAACATATTCTAAACCAGTAGTAAAAGCAACATCATCTATATATGATCCAAACTTAATTCAAAATTCAACTGTACTTTTAAATTTATATTTATATTTACAAACAATTGTTACAGCATTAAGAAATAATCATACAGAACAGTAACATTTATTTATTTTTTTATTGATAAATATTATTTTCTTATTGAATAGAGATTGGGTTACAAATGCATTTAAATTAAAATTAATTGAATATCGTCAATGGTTTTCACCAACAATGAAATTTTTATTAGAAGGTTTTGTTGCAAATATTAGACAAGCAATGGAAAGAGCTGTAGAAGATGATAGTGAAGTAAGCTAAAAAAACATCTAGTATTTATCTTGAGGATGGGTGTGGGAATGTAAATATAGACGGATCTATGAGCTGGGACGCAATCAATTTACCGAAAATAACTTTGCCGACATATCACTTTACCGACGCCACCCTGCCGAAAGGATGGGTGTGGGTGTGAGTGTGCTCTGTTTCAGATATTCCCGCATTCTCACCCTCAAATTTTTGTCGGCATAGAATAACTTTCGACAAAACAATCTTTCGGCAAAGTAGCGTTGGCATAGTGTAGCGAACCCCTGTGAGTTGGCTTGGCGGTAAATGTTTCTTCTTTTTTCAAACATTCCCACCCCATACATATCTTCAAGATCGAAACAAAGCATTGAACTTATATCAAAATCTATTATCTCTTTTTAAGCTTATTCCTGATGAAAATATTATTCTTTATTCTCAATCATCTATGGCAGCTACTAGTTTATGTATAAAAGTATATTAATACTTAATATTCTATTTAAAATAAATTGTCTTAATTAAATTAATTTTTTTAGCTTTGTCGAGAATGGGAATCAATTGATTATCCTGATATTAATGTACGTTATACAGCACTTATTAAATTAACAAATACGATATGTGAACAATGTCAACATTATGCAAGACGTACAGCACGTAAATTATCTGAAAATGCTTATTTTACTGATTTAACACGTACACGATCGTTTAATGTTACAAAAAAAGTTTGTGAAAACGAATTTTTATATTTTTATTTCAATTTATCTATTGAAAATTTTAGTTATGTATGTTAGTTAATGATATAGAATATGTTAAACGAAATGTACTTTCATCATTACCAAATTTATTAAATTTTTCAACTGTTATTGATAAAATGATTGAAAATTATGGATCAGATGATTTTAGTCAAACAAAAGTTACACTTGAAAGATTAATTTCTACAGCTGCACATGAAATGACTGATGTTATTAAATCTATATTAGAACATGTAGCTCTATCAGTTCATGAATCTTTAAAAGCAAAAATTACGAATTATTATCGTGATGAAAAAGCAGGAAAAGTTGATGTAAGGAATAAATATAAATCAAAAATTCATTTTTTGTAAAATAATAAATATTTTAGTGTATGAAAGATGTTAATCGATATATTGATCAAGAAATTCTTCATCAATTATATAAAGGTCTTGAACCTGTTCAATATTCTCGTGTTGCTTGTGCTATACGTATAAAAACATTACAATGTTTACGTATATTATTACCACCACAAGAACCACCAACATTCTATCAACGAGTTATAGAATCATTTGATCATTTAGCTGCATATTTCGAAGCTGTTTGTCGTGAAGATCCACAATTACCTGGTCCACCATGTGATGAAATAACAACATTTCGACGTTCACTTCAAACAGGTGCATTAACAACTGAGCAATTACAATTAGCGTATTTTAAAGAAATATGTCAAGTACATTCTCCTGTAGATATTCTTTTTTTTTCTAATGTTCAAAAAATCAATTCAATGAATTCGATTTATTTTTTCTAGTATGAATATCCAACAAATAATGGTGAAATTGTTTTTCGTACTGCACATGAAATAGTCAATGGTCTAGTTACCATTCATTGCTTTAGTATGTCAATTTTCAAAACAAAAAAAACACATTGAAATATATTTGATTTTCATATAGTTCTTTCTTGTCGAAATTTACCGAGAATGGATCTTATTGGCACATCAGATCCTTATGTTATTCTTGAATTATTACCATACTCATTGTATCATAAACCCCAAAAAGAATACAAAACAAGTACACAAAAACGAACACTTGAGCCTGAGTTTAATGAATTATTTCAATGGTAACTATATTCATAATATAAAACTTTGTTTTGATTATTTTTCTTCTCAAGGCATCGTCTTCCATTAAATGTTTTGAAAGAACGTGGTGCTGTTTTACGTATAAGTGTTTGGGATGAAGATTATGTTAATGATGATTTTATTGGTGAATGTTTTGTACCATTAGTTAATATTGAACCATTAAAAAATCTTGCTTCATTACGTGATGTTCCTGTATCAGAAGTACGATTAAGGCGGCCACTTAAAAATATGCAACCACGAACATTTGATGTAAGATTTTCTATTTATTGAATTAAAATAAATCTTTTTTGTATAGTTAATTCGAAATCGTGCAGCATTTGATGAACAAGCTGCTGTTTTTCTTAAACAGCGTACGGCTGTTATGCAATCAGGTAATGGAAGTGATGTTGCATCTGCTATAAGTGATGATAGAAAATCATCAGCTTCATATACTAGCGCAGCACTTCGTTCACTACTTTGCATGTTTCCATTTCATATTGGTTTTGGTACTAATACAACTCCTACTCATGAACGATCAGATGCTGCTGATGATGAGGAACTAATTTAACTTATTCATTTATTTTAGTTTTTCTTTTGATGCTTATTTTTTTAAAACAAATTGCATGTTTATCAACAAAAGTCAATATAAATTATACGTCAGATAAAATAAATATATATGATTTCTTCAGATTCTAATCGTCGTCATCATGCGAATCAGATGTATAAATCAGATGCATCATTAAATACTTCAATATATTCGGATAGTAATTATAATAGTTTAAACTATCGATTTTGGAATATACTCAACTGGAAAGGAACTGGTACTGATGAAGCTTCAGTGGATAATGCAGATGAATTTGGTTCGACTTAATGATAAGAATTTCTTTGTATTGTTATTTACATGTAAATTTCATGTAAAATATACAGTAGTTTTTAATCTACAAATGATAAAACTAAAAACAAATCAAAACAAAAAAGTAGTTCAATTTATGTTTTTGATCTAGAATCTTTGATGCGATATATGAGTGTGTTTTGGACAGTTTACATTAAAATATTATGACATGTTTATGGCGGAGTAGATTAAAATGTACTCGATAGTTTAATCAAGTAAGTTCGTCGTTGAAGACTCTGACATACTTATTTGAATTACTGGAAATAAAAAATAAAATATACATTTTAAATTGCTGTTTTCTATCAGTAATTATTGTTAAATTTCAACGAAGTATTACTTTAATATTTGATAAAATTCTGAAAATAGTTATTCGTATTTTTTCTTATGATGTCATCATTTACTTTAATAGTTCTTCATTATAAAACACTGATTTACTTCCTTGTTGACATTATGTCAATCAAAAAAATATAAAATTGAATGCGAAACATTATAATATTTATCAGCTGTACGCAATTGAATATAAAAAATTACAAAACAAAATGCTTTAATATTACACAATAACTTGATTCATATGAATACCTATAGCTGTGCTATTTACAATCACTCATGAAATAGAAAAGAACTTCATTGAATAGAGCATGCTGTGTATTCAAATCAATTATATATATTCATAAATACTATTAAACCAAATAAACATTTTCTTTTATGAAAAGATCAATGAATATAATATTTTATTATCAAAGCAAAAGTCTTTTACAGTATTAGCTGGTTTAAGATACAGTCATATAGAGTATATGTTATTTCTGTACAACGAACTATTAGTTCGATCGTACAGAAAATCTTTATTTTATTTGCTTTAAATGTACTTTAAACAGGCCATGTGTTTGATAATACTTCATCAAAATGCGTTATATTTTTACGAAATTGTAGAAGATGAAGTAACAGCATGAGATTAGAAAAGAAATTTTTTGTTTTCATAAGACAAAGTATAAGTAAATATTTCTGCTTGTGCCAGAAGCAGGTTTTGTTGTGTTATTTCTATAGAAAAGCAAAAAATTCTATTTTCATTGGCTTCTTCGTAAAATTATGGTGAATTTTGTCAGAAACATTACCTAGTCGATGTATAAATACTCTCACTCATCAGCAGAACACAGTCACTAACAATTACGACAAAAAATCTATCGTTATAACAGTAATCATGAATAAAACTATATTTTTAGTAAGTAATACAAAATAAAAGAAGTATTAAAATTTGAAAATTTATTTTAGTTATGTCTTATGGTAAGCATTGGTTCTGCATCGATTATTTCCAGTGCGTTGGCATCATTAAAAGCAGATGCTATTACAAAAATTTGTACTGTTGCTCCAACTTCAAATTATACAAAACAAATTACACTTGCTGTGCTGAAAGATTTGGCAACTGTATTTACTAAAGGTATTGATGGTAAAACATTTCCAAATTCAGCTGCCTATCTTTCAAGTGCGGCAAGCAATTTTGTGGCTGGTACAACACAATGTCAAAATGCTTTTACAGTCTTACAGACCGCCTTTGCAGCTGATTGTAAAGCAAATTCAATAACACTTAACAATGCCAAACAAGATCTTATAAATTTTATCGCAAAAAACGTGCCAGGATTTTCAAATCTTACCATTTAAATTCCGCTCATCAAATATATAAGAGACTATAATTACTTATTTTTTCATGTAGTTAGCTTTTGTGTCTCTAAATTATGATTGTCAAAATATTTTCTTCTAAAATAAAATTCATCCAAGCTATTGAATACAACCCAATAAACATAGTTTTATTATCATCTTATAAAGCATGTGTATAATAAATTCAAAGAATTTAATAATATATTCTTATGCAGTTATTTACCAAGTTTGATGAAATAAAGATATGTATGTATAATTTAGTGCACTGATTTTATCATATAAGATATTTAGCAATGAAATTAATAATCTTTTTACAATCATTTAGGTAACATTTTATTTGACTTTCTTTTAGATTAATGGAATAAACTTTCTTCGATTTTAGTTAAATATATTGAAATAAATAATGATTGTATTGATGAAAAAATAATATAGAAAAGGTTTCTATTATTACGCATTTACTATTAAGATACATGTGCGTCGAATAAATTTACAATGAATGTGCCCAAACTATAAATTACTTCTAGTTAAGAATTTAACATTCATGATCATCATTTTAAACCAATTTCAAATTAAAATGAATAAACATATGAAATTCTCTTATTTGCGATAACAAACAGGCTACAAATCATTGTCTAATTACTTATAGATGAAGATAGTAATACGTAGAGCATACAGTAAAAATATTGTGCAATCACATGGAAAAAATAGATTATATTAATATAAAATGAAAAAAACAAATATAGGCAAAACCCTTAATAACGTTACATAAAATATTGCTTTTATTTATAAAATATGTAATCACTCAAGTATAAAGTGCATCATCCTTTTTGCGATTAATATTTCATTCTTTGTCTCGTTCTTTGCTGTTTAATGTTTGTCGATGCATTGATATAGATAAATGATCAATATGATTCGATACGATGAGTTACATCAGCTATACATAGACAATGTTTTTTTTATCCACCAAACAGTCACGTCAATCGATAAACTTGAATATACTGTGTATTTATTCCCTTCATTTTCTCCTCTATTTTAATGTTTATTATTTGATTATTAATTTAGTAGTCATTTTCATGAAGTATCCATTCTAAAATTACTATCATTCATTAGAAATATTTCCAGATATGTCTATTCTATTCTGAATTATTAACTCTAATAGTATAACTATAAATAACCTTGTAGCGTTTAAATATCATTGATTTTGTTTTATTGTATAGAAATTTCATTAGAATAGTTAAGAATAAAAATACAGTTGATATCATCTTCTACTTTCTTTACTGTTCGTTCGTCAGATTTTTCCTAAATACACATGTTATTTCGTATGAGAATATAAGTAAATGCTGATGAAGAGCAAACTATTCTTGAATATCTACATATTTCGATATGTAATGATTAAATAAATATGATCTATAAAGTTAATATACGATTTGTATCTATGAAAATATATGACGAATATATTTACATGTGAACGCAAATATAACACTTATGCATAATACATGCTTACACACATTTGGGTTTTTGATATTTAGGTGGAAAAACCAAAATTGATATAATTTACACTTATATAAGACAAAAATCATTCATTGTCAAGGTTATGATATAAATATTCGATAATCTTTCTTCGCTAATATATGATTCATAATCCGATGTGTATGTTTTTCTTTCTTCAATGTGTGTAATTAAGCGTGACTATACATCAATATAAAGAAAAAGAAAAATGCAATATACCTCCTTTGTATTATACTCATACAACTATATTTGTTGAATAAATAAGATAGATTAATAAACATAAAACTATTTTGATTTAAATAATTTTGTTTTAAAACATATTGCAAAAAATCTAAATTAATTGATTATTGTAGTATTCATTTGTCGGCGTTTATCTCAAGTTGTAAGTATATAGAGATATCGTAAATATGTCTCGATTTATTGGCGAACAAGTACGACGTGTTAAACAGGTATTATTTTAATAGATACTTGAAGACTTATATAAGTCAAAAATATATGGATAATATTTTAGACGATTGAAAAATTACATATTCAACCGTCGGATGATAGTCCGTAAGTGATTATTTTATTTATTTATTTATATATATAAATCTACTATTATATTTTTAATTAAAGTGAGAATACATTAACTCGAGATTATGGTTTTCTCAAATTCAATGAACAAGAAATAGATTCAACTACACGTCTTTCACAATATATTCGTTTAGCTCTTAACACAGATCCCGGAACAGTCATTCAATTTATGAAAAAAGCTTGGAATTTACGTACACCTGATTTAATTATTTCAATAACTGGTGGTGCTAAACATTGTGAACTTGCAGCACGACTTAAAAAAAATTTTCAAATTGGTTTAGTTTCTGCTGCTGCAACTACAAGTAAATCTTAATGTATATTCTATTTTTCACAAAAATAATCCTATTATAAATTCTTTTATAGATGCATGGATAATTACTGCTGGAACAAATGCTGGTGTTGTTCAAGAAGTTGGTGAAGCACTTAATAATTATCGTTATAAAAATCAAAAAGATGGTGTTGATATACCTTGTATTGGCATTGGTAGTTGGGGTTATACAGCAAGAAATGAACTTTTTTTGATGGACTATATGGTTCATCTATATCAGTTTTATTATTTCCATCCATTAAACCTGAAGCATGATCAAGTAGTTCATTTCAATTTTGGTATTGATGCTCTTCAAATGGTTGGAGAATCAGTATACGGAATAAAAACATATATAGTTCCGCAAAAACAAGAAAAAAGATGTGAATTAGAATCAAATCATACACATTTTTTATTATTTGATGATGGTCTAGTTAAACCTGAAAATGTTCTTCCATTACGAGCTGATATAGAAGTGAATTTAAGACGTTTAAATATTGAACAAACAATAGAAGGTGCTGTACATACACTTATACCTATTGTTATGGTTTTAGTAGAAGGTGGTCGATCATCAATTAAAACTGTATGTGAAGCACTTGATGCAAATACTCCAGTTGTCGTTGTTAAAGTAAGAACAATAAAACCAAATAAAAAAAAAGAAATATTCAGTTTTAATAATATCTAAGGGATCTGGTCGTGCTGCTGATCTTGTAGCTGAGTTACACATATGTTATTCTAAAATTTTTAACGATTCTAACGTGGATAATGATAATGATAATGATCATAAATCTACACATCAAACAGGTTTTGTAGCAGCTAGTTTACGTTTAACTGAAATTAATTCTATGTAAGTTTATTTGAGAATAAAAAAAGACTAAAATATAATTAACAACTTAGATTTGCAAAAGCAAAATTACATAATACATGGATCGATACTATTAGAGATGATCTATGTCGTATGTTAAGTGAACGTTCACAACTTGTAACAATATTTGATTTTGATAATGAAACTCAACATGGTAAACTTGAAGATGCTATACTTGAAGCTGTATTTAATGGTTTGTTATTTAAGAAAATTATTTATACTAAAATAATAATTAATAATTTTCTAGCTGCAAAATATTATCATCAAACTAATGATCAACATCGATCAGCAGCTGAATTAAAATTAGCTTCAGTAAATATTGTTCTATGTATATATAATTATTAATTTTAATAAATATTCTTAGGCTTGGCACAATGTTGAATATGCACGTCGAGCTATATTTACCGATTTAAATATATCAAAATGGAGTGTAAATATATTATTTTAATATTAATTAACAAAAATTTTAATTTTTCTTTTTTTGAAGAATGAAGATCTCCGTCAAGGTTTAGTCGATGCACTTTCTCGTGGTTATATTGATTTTATTGAACTTTTCATTGAATATGGTATAACACTTGAAAAATTAACTATCAAAGATCTTGATTATTTATATTCAACTGCATATGTATGTTTATTACAAAAAAAACTAATATAATTTATTATCTTTATATTTTTATAGATCGATAAAGTATTACCATTGAAAAAGATCAAATATACTGTACCAACACGAGATGATTTTTATGCAGTCTATATGAGAAATTATATTGAAGTAAATTTAATTTAATTATTGATTAATAAAAAAAATTAAATATATTTATTAGGTGTACAATGATAAGAATGTACCATTGGGTGATCATGCATTACGTGATTTATTTTTTTGGGCTATATTTCTTGATCGATTTGATTTAGCATTATATCTTTGTTCAAAAACATGGGTAAAATTTATTTATAATTAAATCTTCCGTAAATCATATATTTTGTTTTTAGAATCAATCAGTTGCACCATTATTTGGTGCACGTATCTATGCAAAAGCAGCTGCTATGACACTTGATTCTGAAACTAAACAATTATATAAACATAATGCTGAGTAATGATACGATTAATTATTGAATAAGATTATAATATATTTATATTTACTTTTGTGTATAGAAAACTTGATAAATATGCTGCATCACTTGTTGATCGATGTTTTGAATGTGATAGAGATTTTGCTGTTAACATTTTAAAACGACCTGCTATAGCATTTTTTAATGTACTTCCACTTAAATTAGCATTAAAAGCAAATTGTCGAGCATTTCTTGCTTCAAAATGTGTTCAACGATATCTTGATAATGAATGGTATAGGATTTTAATCACATTTACACATTATATCGATTCGTTTTTTATAGGTTTGGAAATATTAATTACAAACGACAAAATATTAATTTTCGAGTAATTAGTTTCATATTGAACAAATCGATATGTATATGATTATAATTTAGATCTTTCTATGTTCCGTATTTTTTCCATTGATACCATTCTTTTGTCATACATTACCTTACATACATCGACATCAACCGGTTAGTATTATCTCATATATATATATATGATGAAGAACTCATATTCAAATTGAGAATTACTGATTATGAATAGTGATACGTGTAATATTCATATGATTGAGATCTTTAAAAAATTTTTAGAAAATAAATCACGTAATTTTTTGAAGGCTTACTTTGATGAGTATCTTACAAGATTCTCTCACTATTTTTAACTGTTGAAGAATATTTTTTTCCTGGAAACTATAATTATTTTTTTAGTACAATCCAAATGCTGTTGTTCGTTCTAGAAATCCAAATTCATCTACACATCCTAGGACGTAAGTACTAATATTTAAATTGCATTCCTCCTATCAAAATTCTTCTTTTATTAAGTGCAAGTAATGTTCGATGGACTGAAAAAATAGTTTATTTTTATAAAGCACCCATTGTAAGATTCTATTATAATCTTGTATGTATATTGAATCAATTTAGAATATAACTTCGTAATTTTTGATTTATATTTTTTAGATATTTTTCTTCGTTTTTCTTGGTTTATTCAGTTTTGTTCTTCTTGTTGATTATTTTCCTTTGAATGTATATAATGGAACTCGCTCAGGCATTCGAGGCTTACCTTTACCAATTACTGAAATTTGTCTTCATGTTTGTATATGGGGAATAATTATTGAAGAACTACGACAAGTATGTCTGGCTATTGATATTTGTATTTAAAAGAATAATTTTATTTAATAGTTTTTTCTTATGCATTCATATGATGAATATTTGGATGAAATATCTAATATAATTGATATGACTGCAATTATACTTTATATAATTGGTTTTATAACAAGATTTGTAGTTATTGAAGGATTTTTTACATTTTCAAAGTAAATTTAATATATTAGAATTATAAATGAAATAATCCAATTTTGTTTCTATAATATAGAATTATTTTTGGTCTTGATCTTATCCTTTGGTATATAAGAATTCTTCATTTATTTGCTGCTTATGAACGATTGGGTCCCAAGTTAATTATGATATTTAATACAGTTAGTTTCGTATTTCTTTTATTTATCTTATACTAATTGATTTTAATTCTTCTAGATGAAAGATTTACTTTTTTTTGTATGTTTTATTCTTATATTTCTTTTTGGTTTTTCTATAACATCATGGTCATTAATAATAACATCATCTCAAGTTCAATGGATTTATGATAAGCGTGGAGATCTATTAAACGTAACCGTATCAGAGAATGGTACACATGGATGGAATTGGAAGCTATTACGAGATGTAACAAATTATGGTGTTTGGAAAGTTTTTGGACAAGTTGATGAAATAGGTATACAAGATTTTCTATTTATTCCTTTTTTTAGAATTATAATTTATGTAATGGACGGATATATATATGGAACTAGTGAAATATGAGATAGAAAAAAAAACTTGTGAAACGGAATTAGAAATATGAATATATTTTTTTCTTTTTAATTGATGAGAATTATTGACAAAGAAATTACATATGATAGGTGTTTCCTATTTAGATCACTTATTTTTTTATTTTATTTTTCTTTATAGAAAGTGACAATTCATATTCTGCAGTCGCATTTATTTTGGCTATTCTGTTTGTTGCAATATCGAATGTACTTCTTCTCAATGTTCTTGTCGCTTTATTCAAGTAATAATAGATTATTTTCTTTTCTCTTATTTTATATTAATTCTTCTAGTGTAACTATTGAAAATGTTCAAGATCAATCACATGATATTTGGCGTTATCAACGTTTTCTATTAGTTAATGAATTTCGACAAAAAAGTTTATTACCACCACCATTTAATACATTATATTGTCTTATTAATGCTATCGTGCGTTTTATTGCACATCGTCAAAAACGATATCGAAATCATAGACTTAGTAATTAATTATTCATTTCGTAATTTGAAAATATTTCTTTTTATTCTATTTAACTAGTACCGGATGAAAAATTAACAGTCGATATTATTGAAACAGGCGATGGTTTAACGGTGCCACGCCTTAAAAGTAATAGAAAAACTTTTTTTTGTTAAAAAGGAAATATCTTTTTTTTCTTCTTCTTGTCTTTTTTAAGTTACTGATTCCATGAAACGTGAAAATGCAATAGTAGAAGATTTTTGGCGAGATTTATTAAAACAAATGGAAGAAAAAAAAAACAAATTAAAATATGATATCTTGTGATTATTATTATCTAGTGTATATATAATTATTTTGAAATAAAATATAATAAAAAACAAGAAACCTTAACTATTCGAATTTTGTTTTTTTTATATTCTCTATAAATATATATATATGTTCTCATTCAAAGATATTTTACTTAAAATTGATATATAAGAAAATAAGCACAAATGCTGTTAATTTTATTGAGGCTTAATTTGAGACAGATGGTATGAGTTAAATACTCGTACAGATAACACAAGTATGGTGGTCTCTGACGACTTCATGAACGCATATACTTATTATGAGAAGATAAATGTACTATTTTCAAAAAACATGTTAAATTTGACACTGATATTTTTTTTATTTATCACAGTTGACGTGATCTTCTCTGATTCATAAATACTCGAGATTATCCATTGCTGATTCAGATTTCTATCGAAATGACTTCAAAATCGTAGCCAACAGAGTTGAAACAAAGCTTGAGATTTAGTCATATATTTTACTATCATACTGACATACATTGCAGATAAAACATGTTGCTTTTTGAATTCTACTGTAAAAACATACATGAAATCAAGATGAATTTTTGACCTACATAATCATGTCAACTTACAACTATTTTATTAATTAATATTTCTTTAATGATATTAATGTATCGTATTGAAAGAAAAACTTGTTCAAGGTTGTTTTTTGTTTTTGTATTAGCGAAAATATTGCGTAAGAATTAATTCCATGAGCGATAGAAACATAATTGAAAGGTATGTCATTGTCGATCAACATGGTTACCATAACATCTTGATTATATTTACTCCTTCTCATGGAAAAAAGTGACGCAGATAAAAAGGTCACATGGGTAAATAACTTCATTTTTTCTCTTTTATTTTTATCTGAAGAAAAGAAAAAACTCTCTACTTATGAGAGTTGAAACGATGGCAAGGCAACAACATGTATGTGTATCACTCGATTGTATGTTTTCTTTTACATTTTTACTTTGAAAATAAAGCAGATTTTTTTTTATACACTTTAGTATTTACGAGAAAAATAACATGTACGAACTAATGACAAATTAAAACATGGCGACGGAAATTGCACAACGGATGCGATATGTCAAACAGGTATTAAAAATAAATAGTATTCATTATCTACTAGTTCACTCAGTCTTAGACTAACGAAGTAGCTGTACTACTAAAATCTCATTTATACATTCATTCTGTTTATAAATACATGTATCACTAATCTATGAAAGTTTACTGAATAATGACACACATATTTTTCATTTAGGCAGTTGATGCTTTACCGATTCGTTCATATAATCCGTAAGTTTAGTAAGAAAATTAATAAATAAATGACTAGCTATTTTATTTTACTAGTCCCGATGTAGCAACTCAACAATACGGTTTTATGAAATTTGATGAAAATGAACTTGATTCTAATACACGTCTTTCACAATATATACGATTAAATCTTGAAACAAATGCTGAAACAGTTGTTAAATTTATGCAACAAGGTTGGCGTTTACCAACACCTGATTTAATTATTTCAATAACTGGCGGTGCTAAACATTGTGATATGTCAGCACGTCTTCGAAAAATTTTTCAACGTGGTTTAGTTGCTGCTGCCGTTACAACAAGTAAATTAATTGAAATTAATTGTAAATAATTAAGAAATAATTTGTTATTTTACAGATGCATGGTTGATTACAGCTGGAACAAATACAGGTGTTGTTAAAGAAGTTGGTGAAGCACTTAATAATTATCGTTATAAAAATCGAAAACATGGACTTGATGTACCTTGTATTGGTATTGGTAGTTGGGGTTATACAGCAGGAAATGAACAACTTGATGACCAACCTAATTTAAATTCTACGAATATGAATAGTATTAAATCAACACGTTCGTTTACAAGACAGACTCAAAATCAAACTTTACATGCTGTTCGTATGGTTGGTTGAATAAATTGTTTGTAAAATAGAGAAATACTTGTTTTATAATATTGATTTTAGGATATAGCTGATGAATATTGTGTTAAAAATTATGTTGTAAGAGAGAAAAAAAAGAAACAATGTGATTTAGAACCAAATCATACACATTTTTTATTATTTGATGATGGTCAAATAAGTGCTGATACTGTTCTTCCATTACGAGCAGAAATCGAAAAGTATTCTCGAAAAATTAATACAGATACTAAAACAGAGAAAACAGAAGAAGCAGCAGCAGCAGAAACACTTCTACCAATAGTTATGGTTTTAGTTGAAGGTGGTCCATCATCAATTAAAACAATTTGTCAAGCATTAGAATCAAACACTCCAGTTGTAGTTATCAAAGTAAAGAAGAAGAAGAAGAAGCAATATAATTTCAAAATATGTAGATTTTTGTATTCTAAAGGATTCAGGTCGTGCTGCTGATCTTGTTGCTGACTTACATGCTTGCTATTATGATAGTGAAAATACTACTGGTGGATTTCCCGCACGACCAAAAACAGGTCATGTTAAAGGAGAATCTCGAGAATCAGAAATCAATGCAATGTAAAATTTATTATTTTAAAAATAAATTGAAAATTCCATTGTTTCTATTTTATAATCAATTTAGTTTGACAAAAGCTCAAGCTGAAAATGATTGGGTTAAAGATATTAAAAGTGAATTATGTAAAGCATTAGATAATCACAAACAATTCGTAACTATCTTCAGATTTGATAGTAAACGACATAATGGTAATCTTGAAGATGCTATTCTTGAAGCTTTATTCAGCGGTAAAGAATTATTATTGACATTTGTTTCTAAAGAAAAGTTTCTATTTTCTAGCTGCAAAATTTTCCGGTGATGATAATGACAAACATCGACGTATAGCGGAACTTAAATTAGCTATGGTATTTATGAAAAAAAGAAGAAAAGAAACAGAATACTTCATTTAATATATATTTAGGCATGGCATAAATTTGATTATGCTCAAAAACATCTTCTTACTGATAAGACTATATCAAAATGGAAAGTATGTTTTCTTTTTCTTCATATTTTTAATTTCTATTGAAATAAAGGAAGATGATCTTCGGCGCGCTATTGTTGATGCACTTCGTCGTGGACATGTTGATTTCGTTGAATTACTTATTGAATTTGGTACACCACTTGAAAAACTAACAGCTGGAGATCTTGAGTATCTATATAGTAGACAAATTGTAAGTTTTCTTTTGATTGTAGTATAAAGTTAAAAAGATTATTTTAGACTGGTGATCAATTACCACTTAAATACAAAGGAAAATCAACTACATCGATAAAAGATAAATTTTATTTTGATTATTTTCGAAATATAGTAATGAAAAAATTTTCATTTATTTTTCTTCAATATAATAACAAAGATTTTTACAGGGTCATGTGAATATGAATAACAATATAACATCACTAGATGAGACCCGACCATTGGGTGAAGATGCACCACGTGATTTATTTTTATGGGCAGTTTTTCTTAATCGATTTGAACTTGCTACTTATCTTTGTTCAAAAACTTGGGTAAAATTAAATGTCATTCAATTGAGTTAAACGTCTTTATATTTTTTATGTACAGAATTCAGTAGTAGCTCCATTATTTGGTGCACAAATATATAGAAGAGCAGCACGATTAACACTTGATTCTGACACAAAACAAGAATATGAAGATAATGCAACGTAATTTGAAATATACTAAATAAAATTTGAATTTTTATATCTATTATAGTCAATTTGATATTCATGCAACATCAATTATCGATCGATGTTTTGAGAATGATGAAAATTTTGCTGTTGATCTATTAAAACGTCCTACTGCTTCATTTTATGATGCTGATCCATTACCATTAGCATTAAAAAGTAATTGTAGATCATTTTTGGCATCAAAATGTGTTCAAAGATATCTTGATAATGAATGGTAAGTATTTACTTTATTTTAATAATATCAACAAATAATTAATTCTAGGTTTGGATATATTAATTACAAACGAAAAGCTATTAATTTTCGGGTAAAACAATAATAATATAGAAATATTTGAATAATATCTAATTCTTTTAGATATTTCTGTGTACATTATTTTTTCCTTTACTTCCAATATTTTGTTTTTTTCTCCCGTACGTAAAAAAACATAAAAAGGTTAGGGAAAATCTGTAAATTAAATAAATATTTATATATATATTACAGATGGCTCGAAGTGCTCGAGATCATTCAAAAGTTAGTCAACCAACTATGATTCACAATGTTATTGAGTAAGAAAATTAATAATTATCATAAATTATAATCATATATTTCTATTCTATAAGACCTGAAAAACGTAAAAGAATAACATGTTCTCCAAAATTAGAAAAATTATCATATTTTTATCATGCACCAATAGTACGATTTTATTATTATATGGTAAAAATCAATCATATATTATATATCTACAATTTATTTGATTCTTTTGTATTAGATATTTTTTGTTTCATTTCTTGGTCTATTCAGTTATGTTCTTCTTGTTGATTATTTTCCATTTAATATATATAATGAACGTCGTTCTGGTATTCAAAATCTACATATACCAATCACAGAAATCATTCTTCATGTTTGCGTATGGTGTTTAATTATAGAAGAAATTCGTCAAGTAATAATACCGATGATATGTTCAACGGATTCTAAAAATAAATTATTGTATTTCTAGTTTTTATTTATGGAATCCAAGAGAGAATATATATCAGAAGTATGGAATTGGATTGATATACTCGCAATATGTTTATATCTTGTGGGTTTTATTACACGATTTTTTGTTATTGAGTCAGTATTTGCAGTATCAAAGTAAGTTTAACAGAAAGAAAATTTATATTTGAAAAACATTGGTTTTTAGAATATTTTTATGTCTTGATTTAATACTTTGGTATATACGTACATTACATTTATTTGCTGCTTATGAAAAACTTGGACCGAAATTAATTATGATTTTTAATACAGTAAATATATGAATAAATTGTTTTTCTTCATTAATCTTTGTTAATTTATAGATGCGAGATCTGCTGTTTTTCATTTGCTTTATTTTTATATTTTTACTTGGATTTTCAATAGCATCATGGTCTTTGCTTGCTACAGATAATCAAGTTACTTGGTCATATAATAGCGATGGATCATTATTTAATGTAACATCAGCAGGTGATGCAAGTGGTCTTTGGTCATGGGAATTATTACGCGATGTTACAAATTATGGTGTTTGGAAAGTTTTTGGACAAGTTGATCCAATAGGTTAAGATAATTGCATTGAAATTGTTCATTATTAGAAATTTTCTTTTCTTTTAGATGGTACCGATGCCTATTCTGCAGTAGCTTTTGTTTTAGCTATTTTATTTGTTGCTATTGCCAATGTACTTCTTCTGAATGTATTGGTTGCCTTATTTAAGTATGAGAAAATATGTTATAATAAAATGTATATTTATTTCATTTTTCCAATCAAGTGTAACAATTCAAAATGTAGAAAATCAATCTCATCAAATATGGCGATATCAACGTTTTCTACTTGTTTTTGAATATAGTGATAAACCACCACTCCCACCACCGTTCAATCCTATATATTATCTATTCAGTTCTATTCGATATTTAATTAGAAAATTGAAATCTCTACGTCAGCGACGACGAAATGGTAATTCATTTAATAGATTCATAAAGTAATTCTTTGTTTTCCTATTGTTTAGTCACTTGTGAGCCTACACCAATGGAACTAACTACTATAAATGGAGATCGTATTCATAAAGCATTTAAAAGTAAAGATAATTATTGGATAAATTTGATTTCTATTCTTTCGTATTGATTAATAGTCACTGATGCCATGCAACGAGAAAGTGCAATAGCTGATGACTATTGGAGATATGCCTTAAAAAATGGAAGAAAAGATCAAGTTGAAGTTGCATTACAAAATATTGAACGAAAGTAAGAGCCTTTTTATTTATTTGATTTTATTGAAATTTAATCGTTGTTTTATTTGTTAGACTTCATGATTTGAAAGAACGCATACAAAATAATACTACTAATCAACTATTAGTAAGTTTAATGAAACTTATTTTTATTATTGATTTATTTTATTCTATAGAATAATGATATATAATGATCGACATTAAATACGAATATTTCAGGAGATTTTATTTTTATATCAATTTAAAAAGTTATTTTAATATAATAAATAATTTATGTAAGTCAAGAATAATGAATGAAATTGTTAAAATTTTGCAAGTCTAGCAGTCATTGAAAAACGGTTTAAGTTGGTTTGATGAATGACGGCAGTATTGATGGGTACGACAATGGCATGTTGTTGTGGAAATAAAAAAGTTTTCAATTTTTTAATAAGTTCAGGCATTGACATAAGGCAAATCATAGGGAGAATGAGAGGTACAATATAAACAAGAAAATTAAATGTATCCAATTGTTCGAAAAGAAAATTGGAATCAATATAGATTTCTCCAAGTTGTATAATAGATAATGGAATCCAAACAGCAAGATAAACAAATGAAATAAGTCCTAATTGAAACGCCATTTTTCTATGACGTTGCCAATTATTTTGAACACGACCAACCACCATCATACTCTGATAAACAGCACGTATGAAAAGAATAAGATTAAAAATAAAAATAGTTAATACTGGAAAAATAACATCAAAAAATAGATCAAATGTTCCCCAATTTGTGAATAAATAACACGGTAAACCACATAAAAGAGCATTATAATCTCTTGTATTTGTACACATGGGACTAATAATAATTGCAAGAAGATAATAGAATGGTCCCCATAATGAACAAACTATTAATGGTATTGTATGAAATATTCTTCGTTTCCAACCATTAAGATTTCGAATAAAATTATGATGAAAAATTAATATATAACGTTCAATAGAGATCCATGCCATAAGAAAACCATTTGTTGTATTTAATGAGAACTCATACCAAGTCCACCAAGTACAATAAGTTGATGTTGCTGGTTGAACAATTCCATTTAAATGAAAAAAACTCATAGGCATAGGAAGATCTGTAATTACTTGTAGAAAATTAATTACAAGTAAAACGAATATAGAACGATTTTGATCATTTAAACGAGTCGTATGATTATAACCGAAATAAATTAAAATTAGAATTGAAACGAGTATTGAAGGAATTTCAAGCGCAATTAATACTGCAAATTTAATTGAATATGATAATGAATAATTTGGAATTGAAATTGTTTCATTTGTCGACATATTTGATCGTACAAAATACTTTTTTTAAATAGAGTTTACTATAAAAAAGAAAAATTGCTTACTATAAGAAGTACAGATGACAGATATGTCAATGATTTTTCTTCAAGTATACTTATATATCTTCATCATCATTATTAAGTAATGAACAAGATTATCATATGATATTTTTGACTGTCTGCTTACCGGGAGCACGTACTTTTTCTTTGTGTTGTCTGAAAGATTTCTTATAAACCAGTATGACGTACATAAAAATTTTTTTTCAGCTCTCATTTAATTACTTAGAATGCATAGTTAAAAGCATATCCATATAACATATGTTCCCTATTAAATTAACGCACGAAAAAAACAGGAAATGAATTAATAAGCTATTGTAATTATTATAGATATTAAGAAAATTTGTGCATTTGAAGAAAGTTTTATTAACGTTATAATTAACGTCTGTAATAGTATGTACTTGACACAGGTGTACAAAGAAAACAATACTTTTATTAGAAATATAATTGCAGTAAACGATAGATTTTCAACTCTATCAAATAATAACAATATTAGGCTAACTATATTCGATTATAAAAGAGAAATATGATCAGTATAGTAAATCTCTGACAGATTATTTATTAATATTTAATACTTAGAAAACTCTTGTATAATTTGTTCAAGTAATCAATTTATTTATCTGTTACATCATTGAGAAAAAGAGCAACGGAATAAATTTAACTACTATCTTGTATTCGTGATTGATCAAAAAGAAGCAAAAAAAAAAAGAAACGAAACGAAAAGAAAACTAACAAAGTTTACAAATAAACATTATGAATATCAAACATATTTGGTGTATAAAACGATGATGCTGAATGTGTAGCAGCTGCTGTTGGTGGTGGCGGTGGTGGTGGAAGAACTTGTCCATGCATCATCATATTATTCGGATTTGCAGATGAATATGGAAATGTTCCCGTTGATCGATAAATTTGCTCATAATCTATATATAAAAAAAAAGAAAAATGATTTCTAATAATTGTAACGTATAGAATTATTATTAACTACGAACCATTAGTATACCGGGCATAAAGAGATTGTTGTTGTTGTTGCTGCTGTTGCTGTTGCTGCTGCTGCTGTTGTTGTTGTTGTTGTTGGTTACCAAATAAAAGAGTTGTTGTATTTGTACTACTGCTACACTCATTTGATGGATGAAAAACTGACGATGATGATGATGTTGATAATTGATTGTTCGTTGATGAGGATGTATCAATGGTTGGTAAACAAAAAGGTGTGAAATGTAGACGAGATGATGTTGTTGATTGCCCTGGAATATTAACACTACTTGTTGCTGTCGGTCCTGTGGGAAACATCAATGGACTATTAGCAGATGGTAGATGATGTGTCTGTTGTTGTTGTTGCTGTTGTTGTTGTTGTTGTTGTTGATGTTGATGATGAACAGAGGCAATTTTTCGCCAACGAGCTCGACGATTAGAAAACCATACCTATTAATTTTTATTGAATATACGTTTTTTTTCAGTCTATTATTAATTCAATAGATTCTCTAAATACCTGAACGCGAGCTTCACTAAGACCAGTTCGTCTTGATAATTCTTCTCTTGCTTGTACATCAGGATAATGTGTTCGTTGAAAAACATGTTCTAATTGTTCAATTTGATCTTGACTAAAACTTGTACGATAACGACGACCTTTTGTTGTATTATTATTATTTGTTTTATCTGTTGTACCACAACGAGCATTACCTATTTAAATATTCTCTTTCATAAATATAACAAAGTTTAAATTAAAAGTTTCAAATTACTTTTATCTTCTTTTGAATCTTCATTTTGTTCGATCATATTTATTGATGATCGTTCATCTGCAAAATTACTTCCATCAACATTACCACCAGCATCACGTAGCATTCGTGTTAATGTACTTAAACTTGGTAATGATGTTGGTTTACAAACACCATCACGTACTAATCTTTCTCGTATTTCCCAAACAAACATTGTACCATGTGGATATGAATTTTTATATTCATCAATTTTTTGTTCAATATCAGCAGTTACAACTCGTGGTTTTGAGCCGCCAATTGAACCTGGCTTAATCGATCCTGTTTCAGCATAACGTGCCAAAATTTTTGAAACACATCCATGTGAAACACGTAACTTTATTAAAAGAAAAAGAATAGATATAAATTGATAATAAAATAAGAAAGATTTCAATACTTGTCGACTTATAACACAAGGTCGAATTCCTTGTGCAGCCATATCAATAATCTTCACACGAAGATGATTGGGTAATGGACGACCATTGATGAAAACGCCACCCAATTGATTTACACGACCTTGGCCTTTTAAAGATTAAATTTATAGTTACAAATAAAGAATCAATTGTCATTCTTAGTTTAGAATTGAAAATCTATGATTTGAGATTAATGATTAATTAAAAGAAAAGACTAGAAAATTTTTAGATATTTTCAAAATAAGAAGAAAATATAATCATCTATGTTTAAGATAAGTATAGATTTTTTCTTTAAAAAGTATTTTCTAGAAAAGAAACTTTCTGTTAAATATTACCTTCATAACTTAGTGGATGTGAATGATAAATCATTGGCGGAGGTGGATGAGACCATGTTGAAGTTGAATTAGTTATACGATTTGTTGTCGGTGTTGTAGTCGAATTAGAAAGCATAACTTTCAATATAAAATATATACGATGATACGCTAAGGCACGCGGCAACGGATAATTTGTTCGTTTTTTCACGTTTTCCGGCCTCTTTTTCTCTCGCCTAAATCGGCTTCTTCGTCACTAGTATGTATAAAAGATGCGGATCGACGATAGATACTTTTTCTTTCGTTTATAACGATGAGACACGATCAAGAAAAAAAAATTGAAAAATGAAATGTCGTCTTATTCGATAGTTAATAAACTGTATCCAGATCGGCCCTTTTCATATACATAAAGTGCGAAATGTGAGTTTCACGCGTATTAAACATCATCATCAATAAACATAAAGAAAAAGACAATTTACCTAACTAAATGATAGAGAAGTATACACGCATCTTCCTCCTCCTTATTGCTCATTTTCAATTTTTTCCTGTGTCGCCGACGACACTATTCAATAGATGCAATCTTCATATACGTTTGTATATTAGGTTTGTTTTATGTTTCATTCGTTTGACGCGGGTGTTATCATTCGGTCTCACCTTTCTCTCAAATCATTCGAGCATCAACATCATTATTATCTTCGCCGTTGATTGCATAGGACAAGAAAATGAATAAATAAGAAAAAAAAAGACACGATTGGTTTACAATAACCAATCATTGAAGAAACCGAAAAAAAGATATATTTTTTTTCTTTACTTCCGTTATTAACCAATTACATATTGTCTTGTTTTTATTTAATATACAGAGTCTAAATCAAAGATTAATTCTAATACTTCAAAATAAAAGACCAAACAATCGCAAAGATAAAAAAAAAAGTCAGAATTATTTCGAATACTTGTCATGTTTTATATTAAATTTACCTGACATATAAAAATTTTTGTCTTTTGAAAATATGTCAAATAACAAAATTTCTTTCATTTCTCAATAATATATACAGGTGTGCACATCTATATTTGTTAATTATACGATGACAATATTATGCATACATTTCGTCTGACTATTATTCAACAAAATTCTCGTTTGCAAAAGTATTTATACTGATCTAATTGTGATTTACTCGACTTGTTTAATATTTAAATGAACATCAGATTTTACTCGTTTATATATATTTAATAGTATATGACTAAAAAAATAAGCGTCAATGGTTTTTTTTGCATCGCATATTAGTAAACATCCATGAAAAAGTTTGCCACATATTAAATCAAGGATATTTAATCGACACTATTTTATTCTTGTGTTTAAACAAGTATATATAAAGTCATTGATGATTTTTTAAACAAAATAATGAAATAATATACTATTATCTTTAAAACTTTCTAATAAAAATTCAATCGTTTACATAAGAATAAAGGTTTAAATTAACAATTTAAATTTATCAGTTATTACCATTAATTTATATATACATGTATGGTACATTTCATTTAATTGATTAGATACACGGCAAACGATTTTCCCATAACGGATGATTTATACGTACCATATAAGGATAATCATATGAAAAGAAACTCATGGTATAGTTATCAATTAAACAAGATTAGTAGTAGGATGATTGAATGTCAAATAATCTTTCTCATCAATCTCGACGTATTGAGTTTGGTAGACATCTTTCTTATTTTTTGTTTTTATTTTTTCGCTTCAAATAAATACAAAAGAATGTTATCTGATTTTATTGTCGAAGATAATCAAAAGATACCTATTATTTGCTTGCTTTGATATTAATAATACAAATAAATTCAATTTTGAATTTAAATTGATTTTTGAATATATGTAACTGAGTTGCCGACAAATGACAAGTATATTAATTTTCTAATGAGTAAAAACAAACAACTTATGTATTCTTTCGAGTAATAGACTATTTTTTAAGTAAACTATTGATCCTATGGTATTCATTATATGAAGTCCTGTACAACTGAATATCGATGATTTGTTTGATTAATAAATCATATATATTCAATAGATTATGCAATCGAAATCATTTTATAATGTCAATGGGTTTTTATATTGAAATATTGTTTTGATAATATGGACTGAGTTTACATATAGTGGTTCATATTTTGACTTAACAATTACCTAATCGATTTAAATCGTCATTAGACAATTATTCACGAATTTATAAATGTTTATAGGAAATCATGGCAACATCTAAAAATATTTTCTTGAATTAGAATATATCTGAGTATTATTCGAGCATACGTCAAGGGGGAACAAGCGAACTTCTGGTACTTCTCGAAGATACGTCAAGGAGGAGCAAGCGAACTTCTCGTACTCCTACATCTAAAAATAACATTTTTGTTCCGTTCTTCGGAACAGGGTTTTTGACATCTCTCGATGACAGAGTACTTTATTCTGTTTGTAAGTGCAGATTAAAATAGAAAAAATGTACTGCTGTCGTACTTTTTGGAGCTTCTCGGTACCTTTACACATCAGAAGTCCGCTTATTCTTCCTCGAGATACGTGTTAAATCAAATTTTATATATTTAATAAAGAACTGTTTTTCATAGCAAAAGTTACATCTGTATGTTCGTAAAAAAAACTAATCTTCATGATGCATAATATTTAACTTTATGATTCTGATAATCATATGTCAGACGTCATCAATAAAGATCGTTATTATTTTATGGGAAAAATAAATTATAGAAAACACAACATTGTGAATATATGTGAGAATATAATCATAAAATAAATCATTTGTAATAATTACAAAATATTTTTTTGATTAGTTTGTTGACAAAAAAAATCTAATTAATCGAAATAAATTATTATGTCATTTTATTTTTATGACGAAATGATACCTGTATTCCAAGCATTAATAAGAATGTATCTATATATACTTTTTTTTGTTGTTCGGTATATTTCAATACATTCACGCCCCGATATCGAGTAGCATTATTATACATTTTATTCTTATACAGAAAAATTAAATGTTCTAGTTCTTTTTTTCTTTATATGAAATATTCTTGTTATTATAATGGTATAAAGAATGAATGGTAGGTGAAGAACTTTTTTTTGAATACAGGTGGGCGTTTCATTGAATCTCATGTCCATGATTTATGTATACATATTGATTATAAGAGCGACTAGATTTTCTTTGACTCTTTTATCATTATTTTTATTTTTTATGTTAGTATAAGATTATAAAATGCTTCAATTATAGTTTTTTCTCTTATCTTGGTTTTTCATGGTGTATGTCTACATGAATACTAGGTAAAAGAACAAAATATATATTATATTTATGTGCAAATCACAACTGTCGTAAGCAAAAAGCATTACGTTCTTTCTTTTTGAAACACGCGTGTTTTAAGCATGTTTTGACGTTATTGACGTTGAGTCATGCGTCTGCTTATATAAAAGAGACGGACAAAAAAAAATGTAACCTATCGTTTTTTTCTCTTTTACTAAATAAATCATACGATTATCACTATGCATTTGTTTCTTGGCTGGCGTGCAATGGAAGATCGAATTGGTTCAATAGCATATACATTTGAACGTGTTTTATGGGGTGATAGTCGTGCTCGACATACATTTTTAATTGCATGTTCTGATGAACATCCACTAACTTTAATTGAAATCGATGTGGGCAATCGTGAAAGAGGTATTAAAAAAGGTATGAAATTAAAAATTGCTGAATTAGAAGAAATACCAAATTCAGTAACAAAACTTGAATTAATTGGTGAAACAACATCACCAACAGCATTACAACAACTTATTCAAAATGCACAAACTTATGTACAAGAACATCCTAATTATCATGTCTTATTGAATAATTGTCGAACATTTGTTGAATCTCTTATTGATGAAATACCTGAATTTCGAAATTCTATACCACGTAAAAAAGGTTCAATACTTGAATATTATCATTCACAAGCAAAACATGAACATCCTGGAGCATTAGTCAAAAGTAAACAATTATTGAAAGATGTTCGTGATGTTCATCGTCATAATAGACAGTATAAGTACACTAGTAAATTAGTATTAAACATAGAATTACCAACACTAGATGTAGATATTAATACTGATATTATTGAAGTACGACTTTAAAGAAGAAAATTATCATATTATTATTATAACTGGTCAAAATTCTGTTAAATAGGAATATTATTTAACTGAAATTACATGTGCATATATCGCGGCTTGGAGTGTCTAGTCATATATTGAAACAAAAAAAAGTTATTATAGTATTGTATAATAGAATAATAAATTGATGTGAAAGTACTTTTTTGTATTTTATATCGAAGCAATTTTGTTGTTATAATTTGTAGTAAATTTGAGAGATATTCTATATTGATTTTTTCGAAAATATAATAAAACAAAATGTATGGCAAGCGCTCTATTCAAAGTCATTAATATATATGAAACAAGCATGAGTTGGAATGTATTGTTGTTATATTAGTAGAGCTACTAATCTAAAAACTGCCATAAACTAGCGTTTAATCACATCACAAATATACGTGTTAATATGCTAGAAAAACAAGCTTGAAAATATTATGCTTATCAACTTCATTTTTATTATACAAAAAATTTTTAATCAGTTAACAGGTGCGGTTTTATAGACATTAAAATATTAATTTTATTTTAGTAAATAGCTGATTATATCTAACGTATGACAAAATAAATTAATATGACATATTGTACAATGTTAAAAATGAGTCATTAGTTTTATTGATTCTGACTTGTTTTTTTTCTAGGATTGTAATATTTAACTTCTACAGCCATACGATTATAAGATTAACTGGATTCCATATAAGAAAAATCATTTTATTTTAGAATTTTAGTCAAGGAAATTGCGAGTTATATTTTTTACTTCAAATAGATTTTTATGTAATCTTTCTATACTATCGGTTAATCAGAATATTTAAGAAGCAGGTATTGTTCACAATTATCTACACCGTAATATTTTGGATTTTATGCGTACATAGATAATATTAACATGACTATGTCGAGTACATAAATTCAAAGGTGAGTAAGAGGTAAACTAGTACATTTAATAAAAAATTTCTATTATAAAAAATCAAACTTAATGCTGTACATCTATGTTCAATTCCATATGATAATCATATAATGTCGATTGTTTACTAAACAAAAATTATAGTCGTTATGGACAGTATTCTTATAGGTGATCGAAATACTTGATTAAGTTTGTATATTAATGTCCACTTAGAATACTATTTTATTTGGTGAGAATTCATATTTAAAATATTATAGGAACAAATTCATACATTTCTGAATATTCGCGATTGTTTTCGAATTGAGTGAATTTATATATTACCAAAATACGGGTGACACTAATTTATACAAACATATATTGAAAGGACACTGGTGATTTATTGTTTAATTATTTATAAAGAATGCAACATGTCTTGTGTTTTAATGAAGCTTGAAAAAATCACAACTTTTCTTTATATACTATGATGCTTATAAATTCTTAAGATTAACTTGTAACGATCGTGACAGTGTTCCATTTGAAGTATAATTCGTATATTTTTTAACGCTATATCATCAAAACCTGATTGTAGCAACAAAGCTTTGATAGACTTCGATAATATAGTTTTGTTTGTTTGATTTTATGATCAAATGACAATGTATAGTTTAAATGAAAATAAATAAAAAAGAAAGTAATTTAACCATTGCTGATTATAGTCGAAAACACACTCTTCTTGTCTGTTATATATATATATATCATTTTGTGTCAATAGAACAATGTTAACAAAAACTTTGTGTACAGTTATTATGGCACTTCTGTCGTTCTGTAGATGACATCATTCTTTTTCGTTTTTTACTTTCATCAAGTAATTACAACATCATGTGAAACCAATGGCAAAATAAACATCTACTCATTTAATAGAAAGAAAAAAATCACAACACACCATATAACTCTACACAGTACACATTTCATCAACAGTTTACAATGACAAATACAGCTGTCACTAACTTGCTTATGTTACCGGTGGAACTGGTCTACCGGGTTCTCGATCATCAATCGGATTTGACAATTGTATGCTCAATGAGAAATGTTTGTCAACGATTCAACGAGATCTTAGACAGTTATCATAGATATCAGGTAAACGTTTTTTTTATCATAACGCTCTCGTTTTTTATCTACTGACCCCAAATAAAATATACATGAATGAACTATCTCTCACTTAAAATATTTTATCAACTATCCCTTTCTTATATTATGACAATACGAAAATACTGTCCTAGTAAGTCAAAACAACAATTCCTTTTTCTTCTTTCTTTTCAATTCCATTTAAATATTCCACGTTTTAAACCAGGTATGATGTCATACACATTCAATGTTTAGACAAGAATAGAAAAAAGAATAAAATATTGTTATTTTCTATTAACGTGTTTCTCAGCACTTTTTGTTTAAAATACTATTTCAATAATAAATATCAGTATTTGAAAGAAATTACCTATCGATAAACTAGTTTATCTTGTTACAAATAACCTCTTCAATATTTTTATGAGGAATATTTTCAACAAATACTCACTTAAGAACATACGAGGGTATCGGTAACGGTAGATATAGATGAAGAGAAGTTTGACTCACAATAACATCTATATTCTCATTCAATCACATCACTCACACCAATATTATCACAGTAGACAATTTCTTCAAGGAGTACTACTTTTAAAGCTAATATTTTTGTAAAATAATTCCTCCGAAACAGATTTTATTTGAAGCACACTTTCTCATGAACTAAATCTCGAGAATAGTTCGACAGCCAAATTTTTTACATGATGTTTCCACATGCATTGGTCTCCTGTTCATAATCAATCTAACATTCCGGAATAAATTGTTTGATTTTTACTTTTTATAACTCAATGTTCGTTGATAAACATATCTGTATCGTCTCTTTACCTCCACTTTTTCATCTAGACACTCACCGCACTTGACCTCTCTGACCATGGAATCGGTGATGTTGGAGCACAATATTTGGGTGATGCATTAAAGCACAATACAGTAACTCTCCTTCTCTCCTTATCTGTTTTATGTCTTTGATTCCACTTTTTCTTCTAGACACTCACCATACTAAGCCTCGCGATCAATGCGATCGGTAATGTTGGAGCACAATCTTTGGGTGAAGCATTGAAGTACAATACAGTAGTTGTCCTTCTCTCTTTATCTATAATATGTCTTTATCTCCGCTTTTTTATCTAGAATCTCACCAAACTAGATCTCTACTTCAATCCAATCAGAGACATTGGAGCACAACATTTGGGTGATGCATTACAGCACAACACAGTGACTCTCCCTCTCTCTTTATCTATGCCATGCCTTTATCTACACTTTTTCATTTAGGCACTCACCACACTGAGTCTCTGTGAGAATTACTTCGGTGATGTTGGAACACAGTATTTGGGTTATGGATTATACCACAACAAAGTAAGTCTCATTCTTTCTTCACCTATGTCATGTCCTCACCTTCACTTTTCATCAAGACACTCACCACACTGGATCTCTCGGAGAATAGCATCGGTGATGTTGGAGCACAGTATTTGGGTTATGGATTAGAGTACAATACAGTAACTCTCCTTCTCTCTTTATGTATACTATGTCTTTATCTCTGCTTTTTCATCTAGGCTCTCACGAGTATCAATCTCGGATGCAATCAAATCGGAGATCTTGGAGCAAAATATTTAGGCGGTGCACTAGAACGCAATTCAGTAACTCGCATTTTCTCTTGATCTATACCATGCCCTTACGTCCACATTTTCAACTAGGTACTCATTACACTAGATCTAGCGGCCAATAAAATCGGTGATGTTGGAGCACTGTATTTTGGCGATGGATTGTATCACAACACAGTAACTCCTATTCTCTCTTTATCTATATCATGCCTTTACCTCCACTTTTTTCATCTAGACACTCACCACACTAGATCTTCGCTGTAATCAAATCGGAGATTTTGGATCACAATCTTTGGATAATGGATTGCGTCACAACACAGTAAGTCTCACTGTTTTTTCATCTATTCCAGGTCTTCAATTTCACTGTTTCATTTAGACACTCACCACACTAGTTCTCTTCAAGAATGAAATCGGAGATCGTGGAGCACAACATTTGGGTGATTCATTGAAACACAATACAGTAACCGTCCTACTCTCTTTGTCTATACTATGTCTTTAGTTCCACTTTTTTCATCTAGACACTCACCACACTAGATCTCTCATGGAATAAAATCCGTGATGTTGGTGCACAAGCTTTGGGTGATGGATTGCATCACAACACAGTAAGTGTCATTCTTTCTTCATCTATGCCATGTCTTCACCTTCACTTTTCATCTAGGCTCTCACGAGTATCAATCTCAGATCCAATCAAATCGGAGATTTTGGAGCAAAATATTTTGGCAGTGCACTAAAACACAACACAGTAACTCCGATTCTCTATACCATGCCCTTACGTCCACATTTTCATCTAGGTACTCATTTCACTAGATCTGGCGGTCAATAAAATCGGTGATGTTGGAGCACAGTATTTTGGTGATGGATTGCATCACAACACAGTAACTCCGATTCTCTCTTTCTCTATACCATGCCTTTACCTCCACTTTTTCATCTAGACACTCACCACACTAGATATCTCCTTCAATCAAATCGGAGATCTTGGAGCGCAATGTTTGGGTGATGCATTGAAGTACAATACAGTAACTCTCCTTCTCTCTTTGCCTATACTATGTCTTTAATTCTACTTTTTCATCTAGACACTCACCACACTAGATCTCTCGTGGACTAACATCCGTGATGTTGGAGTACAATCTTTGGGTGATGCATTAAAGTACAATACAGTAATTCTCCTTCTCTCTTTATCTGTAATATGTCTTTATCTCCGCTTTTTTATCTAGACTCTCAGCAAACTGAGCTTGGAGCGAAATCAGATCGGAATGGGTGTGATGCATATAATCGATGAATTACTTCGACGGAATGAAGGACAGAGCAACCCGTAAAGGATAATATTAAATGTATTTAGATGAAGAATAAATCACTGGTGATGATCATGTGAGACTATTTTTGTGTTATAGTTTAGACAGAAACAGTAAATAAACTTGCTTGTTTTCAAACTTAATATATATTGTGATGATAATGTTTGCTTCGTATTCTTTTATATCTGACGAAGACGATGAGAATGTTCTTTAAAAACAGAGATCTTGTAGCATTATTTTGTGTGTGTGCACCTCGTGTAAAACCAGGCTAAGGTGGTTCTCTGTAACAGTATCAAAACCCTAAAAGGTTTTGTTAAATGGGGCGTCATCAGAAAACATTTTGTATAATAGTAGCAGAACTGTAGAAGATTGTTCCAGATGATGAAGAATGATTAAAGGTTTCCTGTGATAATAGTAAAACCCTAAGACATTATTCCCAATAATGCTAGATCAAAGAGCTATGTCCGATGACATTGAGTTAGAAAAGTTTTCTCCAATAAATTTGAACCGTAAAATGTGTAGTATGAATTAGTGCTGGATAAAGAAAGATTCTGTGTTCAATCCTGTTGAACCAAGTATGATTGTTTTAGTTTTGCAAAATTTCGCAAGACTTTGTAGTTGAATAACTGAATCATCAAGAATTTCTACCGTTCATATATGTGTTATCTAATAAAACTGACAGACAAATATTGTGAATATGATTATACAATAACATATATTATATCTTTTTTTATATAGACATATGAGTCAAATAATACATTATAGAATGGAATAGGTCCCGAGAGGATATGACTATTATTATATCAAATACATGTATGTTGATACGTGATATAGTCAGGACTAGATACATTGATAGCTCTTTTGCAAAAAATAAGTCATAAATACTTTCACTGGATGCATGACAGTAGTCTATTGCCAATATCAGTCAGTTAAACATAGGTTATGATTTATTAGATAACCGAAATGTTTATGTTGTTAAAACAAATAATAATGGATAGATTTATACCATGTTCTGAAAAATCTTCGAAGAAAAACCATTGAAGAGTAAGTATTCTAGTTTGCCTCTATTTATTACAATGTACTCTCAAGAAGAAGCACACGATTATACACTATGACTTATAGACAATCTTTACACTAAAAGAAAATCGACCTAAAAAATCTCAAATGTTTACAAACTATTTTTATTCATTATTAGGCAATTTATAGAAAATACTTGAATGTTTATCAAAAGAGAGTTTTAATTCAATTTTCATTAAGAATTACTTTCGAGCTATTGATAAATTAGGAATATTTTTTCAAAGATGTTTAAAAGGAATTGTATTTCATAGAAAATGAATGTAGTTACAACACAACGAGTAAAATGATCCAAACAATGAGAATATCGACGTTCATAATTCCTTTTCTCGAATACAGCTGCATCGAGTATGTAGAGCATACAACTATGATGGTTTTTATTATTTATAGCAGACAGCAATATTTGTAATAAAACAATTATTTGATGCAAATTTAACTAATAAACGCAGTTCTGTTCATCTGAACAGATTTTAAAAACTTATTAATTAGTTGGGTTTATCTTCAATAATAAAAATTGTGCTTTTATAACACTTCCTGTAAACTAACTAAACGTCATATTGAGAATCAGAAAAACGAATAATATCAGCTCAATCTTAATGTATTGATCTCTTGTTCAAACGAGTATTTCGGGATGTTCCGCTGTCGAGATCATCACGACACAAAACTAATGCGTACGTCGAAAAAGCAGAAAAGCCTCACGAAGGACTTCAGAAATGCTTTGCTTCGTATCGCAATAATGAATGTATGTATAAGGAGTTAACTAACTTTTATTAATAGGATTACCGAATTATTTATTAAAGTGATAAACGACTTATTCTATGATGAAAGATGAATCCTATCTGACAATAATCAAATTGATATAAAAAACCATACTCAAACAATACTTCATCTGTTGATCATAAATTCATTTAATTAGTCATGTTACATATGAGTAACAACAGATCTATATACATGTATTTATAGAATATCAGAATATTTCTAGGATTTTTTTTCAGAGAAAAAATCTTATTTATCTATATGCAATTGATATGCATATGTGTTCGTTCTATGAGAAAATATAAATAAAATGCATGTATATTAATATACGATACTCTACTAATTTTCCATTTGTAAATTTTAATTTTTGTATAAAATAAGCCAGACATGATGATGCATCTGATTAGACATTCACCCAATAAAATCTCTATTAACATAGAATGTTCTTCCAAACATATTATTAGAATAGAAGAATTAGCTAGTTCTCTAATAATCCCAATAAAATTAATGCAAGAAACATAGAAAATGACAACTATAATCAAATGATATATCTATCAATAAAATTACTCATATATTCATAAATTGACTTCCTATTCTAGATTTTCGAATGTATACAAAAAGGAAAAATTCGAAGATTTAACCTATAATAATTTGTATAACTTATATTTATCAACAAACAAAAATCTAAAGGACTTTCTGTATCTGTTCTATGTCAATTTCGTATTTACATCAATTAATAATGACACATTATATCTCTTTCATTTATATAAAGCTTTCATATGAATTTATAAATAATAAACTAAAACAAAATATAATTTTCCACATTGAATAAATAAAATAATTAGCTTGATTGCACGCATCTTTATCACATATATGTAAACAACTTCGAAATCGTCTAAATGGATGAATCCAATGAAGTTTTATAAAACCACAATGACTAACACGATTTATTCCATTATCATCAGCTTCTTCTCGACCACACGTTCGATATATATATTGAATAGGCTTAGAGTCTACAAATAAATGAATATGATTATTTATTATAATAAAGAAGACAATATTTTACCATCCGAGTAAGCAACTAATTTAATACAATATGTTGCAGGAAAGAAACCTTTACGGTCACGTAATTGAGTCATACATGGAGTATGAAGAAGTGATGGTTTACCAACTATATCTCCCTGAAATGAATCTTCACAGATTGGATTAGTTCCATTAATTGATGAACATTGATAACAAGACAATGATGATACTAGAAAATAATAATGAAGATTTTTAAATATTTAAAAAAAGCACCTACTTTTATCAATATTAGAAATCACAATTAATAGAAAAATAGAAAAATTCTGCATTATGATATTTTCTATTATTTCACTCTATCAATGTCGTTTTTTAGGAAATAATCTATATATATATATATATATATTTTGTTGATCTTTGCAACCATATATGTTGTCAATTCTTTTTCTCTCATTCAAATGAGTCTGGCATACGAATGATTATGCCGACATGCTAGTGTTGATAATCAACTCTATATTAATCCATATGAGAAAGCCCACTTATCGTGCCACGATAGATGTGTACTAAAAACACATGTTGCGTCTTATTTTCATGACAGACAAGCATAATACCAATCATTAGAATAGAACACCTGACACATATATATTCTCCAAAAACAAAATAAAATAAATTCAACAATGATAAAATATTTTTCATCAGTTGACGACATTCTCATAAAATTTTATTAAAAGAAAAACAAACAAATCAATTCATATAATAGATAAATCGCACAATCATAATTTCTTAACATTGACCATAAGGATATCGATCATAATCACTTGTACCATGTATTTTCTTAATTCCATCACAATATAAATATAAATTTTCATAAGGTTTCAATCGACGCATATTTGCCCAAAAGCTAGATGTGAAAAAAAAATATAAGAATGATTTAAATAGATACAATGAAAAAAGATTTTAACTAACCTAAAAGCACTTTTACTCATAATCATTGTACGACATTGTGAAATCATATAAAAATCTAATATAGTTTTTTCTAAACCATGACAAGCAAATTTTTTTCCTGATCGATCAATATGACGTATCATACCATCGACAGTTAATAAACGTGAATGAAATTGTTGTTTTGCATATGTATGTACTTGTTCAGAATCAGTTGAAACAAATATTATTTCATGTGATTTAGAATTATTTTTTAAAAATCCTATTACACTAGTATTCATATGTTCACGTTTTGGAAAAACAACATCATTTGGATTTGATGGATTTTTTCCAATACGTATATGTGCACATTGAAGTGAATTTAAAGAAAATTTTTCTGCTATTTCATCCATATGAGATTGTGGATGAGGTTTTAATTTAAATAATAATTCATATACTAATGTAAATATACTATGAACAAATAATATTGAACGATGTAAACCATAATCTAAATCAAGATTACGATAAAAATCATCACGCCATAATATTAATCGATAATAACTTAAATCTTTAACTTTAAAATAGATTATATCAATATTTTTCCATGATAAAACATCATCATAATCTTTATCCGATGAAGTAAGTTTATCAATCGTACGATTTGTTCGTTGAGAAAGATTTTTTATTGTTTGATTCCATTGTATAAAATTTGGTTCTAATAAATTTGTTATGGAACATGGCCATGTCATATTTATGAGAAATGTACGATTTAATGCTAATGATAATAAATAAGCACCAACTATTTTTCGTGTACGATCACCCCAACCACCACATGGTTGATTACATGTATAAATTAAATATTTATTTGGTTTTACTGATGGTTTAATTAGATGAAGAAAATTAACATGACGAGATTCATATTGTTGTAAAAGAGGTTGATGGTGAATACGTGTTAGAAGAGATTTTTCATAGGAAGATAAAATTTTCTGTTGGTTGTTAGGAGGAATTCGAGATGAGACGAAAATATTTTTACAAGATGAAAACCAACAATAATTATGAACAGAAAATGATGAAAAATATAAAATTTGACTAATAAAAACTATAAACCAAATAAAAAAACCAATTAATATATAAATATAGAGTCGTTGGGATCGTCCCATCGATAGTATTTTGTCAATAATATCATTTAGAAATATCAAACAACATAAAATAATTTATGACTAATGTCATATACTAGAAGAATAAAAGAAATCATTATATTCGATATTCTATTTTTATTTATTTCTTTCAAAATGAAAAAAGTCATCATAAGAACAGTGAATATTACATATTTCAAGTGACATACTAATGTTAATCATAATATACATAGATATATGAAGGATATTTTTGTGTTATTTTTATGTATAATAATAAGTAGTTGACTTACCTATTCTTTTTTTTTCTTCTTGAAGTGATTGTATAGAAAAAAAGTATGTTTGTTACTATAACGTTATCGAGTACTACTCAGTTGGAGTCGTTTTATTATTGAATATATAATGGGGGTATGTACCAATCAAATGAAAACGAATAAGATTATAAATTATGTATGTAGGTATGCTGTTGTATTTAAACCGTATGTTTAAGAAGTAAAACAGCCCTCCGACTATTCTTTATATACATGTCTGTAAAGGTGAAATCGGCAAACAAATGTACATCGTATAAAATAAGACGTCGATGAACTTATATTTATATTGTGACACAGAACATACGAAAGACAGAACGAACAATCGTCAATTGGAATTTATTTTTTCTCTTTTCATTCTACACTTATACATTTTCTTGATTGTATTGTATTATAATATATATAACGATACGAAACTACATACTATTTATGACTACTTCTATAATGCCATATAGCTATTAAGAAAATGCATAAGACTATAGATCTTATTCAAAGTTTTTTTCTATATCATTTAGAAAAAAAACAACGATTGTATTATGAAGTATTAAAAAAAAAAGGAATTAAAATATATGAAATTGTGTATGCATGTACTGTTGATTCTATATTGTATGTCACATATATTTGATCCATTTTAATCGAATATTTATCTTAATTATTTTGCTGTCAATGAAATATGAAAAGCTTTGCTTAATAATATTTATCTTTATGTAATTTTTCTTTGAAATTTATCAAAATTTGAATGGCTTGAAAAATGATGACATATTCTTTTTTTTCCGACAGTAAAATAATTACATTAATCTCATCGTTAGACTAGCATAAGTATGAAAATTTGAACTTATTCTTGATTCATGTTTAATATTTTTCTCATTATAAATACAAACTGACATGTTAAAATTTAATCGAAGCCGTATTTGTTACTTTTCGAAATAAAACATAAATTTATTTTATATTATAAACAGGAATAATTACATTTTCGAACCAGACATAAATTCATCGATAATTCTATCGGTTTTGTTTTATGATCGAACAAAGAATTTTAATTTGTATTCTGTGATCCTGTTAGTCTTACAGTGATAATCGCTCTTTCAAAGGTCAAAGCACTATTAAATGAAAATGAAACAGAATCGCCAATAATTAGAAAATAAGTAATAAGCGAACGCTCACAAAGACACTGTTGAATGACTTCTAAGTTGATTTTTGCTGTTGTCAATATGATATCTAGACAATGATAATGAAAACTACATATTTAGAAACTTTATAAAATTATAGAAAATGATTAAAACTCTTCTTTTTTATACATAACTTTGAAATTCAAAATCCTATAGATTTTTTTCTCATCTGATTTTTAGATATTGATAGTGTCTTATTATATTTTCTTCAATATAGAAAACACACAATCCGTTTTGAAAAATAAGAGATTAATGAATAGTAATATAAATGTAAACTAGTGCAATTATGAGAAAGATTTCTACTGTATCATCATTACCTTAATTTGTCTTTCTAAATTTAGTTTTTAATCATAGTTAGAGATATTTTTATCGTTTGCACCGAATCATCATGATAATATATGTTAGAGTTATTTTTAAATAATTAAACAACATCATTAAATAAAGTCCCTGCAGTTAAGTAAATGTATTTCTGTATTCTAAACCCTAGTGATCATAACAAGGTATCTCAGGGAAATAATATAGAATTACTGTAGTTGTACGAAAAATTCAATTACAATAATCAGATGTTCATTTACATGCCTAGGCAAAAAGTATTTTTCTGTATTTATAGAAACTATTGATGCATAATAAGGTATCCAATGAAGAACATTTATCAAATACACTAAGTTAAATATGAATTCTATCTTATCACTTCTATGGACTAAGATAGTTGAGACATATAATAATTTTAATGACAAATCGAAAAATATTTCATTTATTATTAAGGTTTGATTTAAGAAATGAGAATCTTAATTCTTAAAGAATAAATTAGATTTCATCAATTTTTAATCTAATATTAATATTCATATGAAAAGTATTCTTTTGAATTCTTTTCTTCTTAATTTCAGACGGCAAAAATCTTTATCACATCAAGGTATTAAGTAAAACATATCTTTTTTATAATTAAATAAAAAGGAAGTAATACTCAAAAACGTCATACTGTTTTTTAATTCATTAAAAATCTTAGAAAAAAAATCTAACATTTTCCTATTTATATAATGGATCTTTATTCTATACAAAATTCTTCGGTATTCACCTTGGAACATTTTTCTAAAATGTCAAATCACTGTATAGCATGGAATAGACAAGAATCGTATTATAATTCAATGTGTTTGATTCTTTTAACTCCAACATTTTCATGTCATGTTTTATTCTGGATTCAAGTTTGTGCATATAAATCTCTTCGTCATCCTTCGTTATTATGGCTTTATAATTATCTTATACTTGATATGGTTTCACTTTCGCAAATTTTCTTAGAATATTTCACACGTCATTATAAGATTTGTGGACTAAATCCTGTTATATACGATTTCTTATGTGTATTAGAAGCATATGCAAATAATTATACAACAATGGTACAATCATTTGCTCTTACTCTAACAAATATTTACAGGTTATATGTTATTCATAACAATCGTGGGTGCTTATATTGTGGAAAATCAGAAGTTTACTTATAAAATATTCATATTATTAGGATATGTTGTAATTATATAGAGAAAACTGTAGTAAAATTTTCGTTTCAATGATATGAGATGTTCCAAAGTTATTCATCAAGTAAAGGTCAAATATAACTGATTTAAATAGACAAATATGTTCCACAGACTTGATTTTAACTGATTAAATTTTTTTTCGTTTGATACAATATGAAAAACCGCAGGTTAGAGAAATGCGTCTTTTAATATCATAAATTGAATAATCTAAAAAATTTGCCAGCAACGACTATATCTTGCGGTTTAATATATTACTTTATATAAAAATAATCAGACATATAGAATGATACATGCGAGTAAGCTTTGCCTCCTCGAGCTGATTATTTTGAATCTTTATTTGATGAATATCGAAGGATAAGCAGTTAAAAATTAGATTCGGAGTTAATAACAATAATTCTCATTCGAATTTGAAAAAAGATCGATTTTATCTATTTTCCAAGTGTAATTCCACAATATTCTGAAAATAAGTGATTTGGATATTCTAGAAGAAAATTTTTTAGTTATGTATATTAAATATCTTAAATACTTTGTGTAGGTTTTTTTACGAACTGCGTCATATACATAAATATATAAACAATAAAAACAATGTATTTTTCACTTTTGTTTCAGGTATAGGCTGATTGTTAAAAGCAAGAAAATCACATTTCATTCTATTATTCTTTTGATATGTATTCATTTATTTATTTATTCAGTACCATTAATCATTTTCATTCTACAATATATTTTTTCAGCAACTATACTCGTTGAGGTTGTTGGTTTATCATGTGATCTAGATTTTTCTGATTTTTTTAATCAATTTATCGATATATTTTTTCTTGTTGTCTTACCTATTTGTATCAATATACCTGTTATAATGCTGATTATTCGACATGTTCGTTCTTCACAAAATGCAGTTCGATCCGTTCGACGTATTCATCGACATCTTATCATTCAATTTATTATTCTCTACTCAATTTGGTTTCTCTTTTTTCTTCCTCAAATTATATTTTTATTATCTGTTGCTTCATCGACTTCACAACGTTTGATTACAAAAGTTCTTGATATTGCTGCAACACTTTCTGATGTTCTAGTTATTACACTATTCGATCGTCGCTTTGTTGATGCATGGAAATTGACTGCACAACGAATTCTAAGACTTATGAAGCGAAATAATAGACGTATTAATCCAACAACAATCACTCAACCAATACAATTAGCACGAATTCAACCAGATGCCACAAAAGCTCAGACTCGTGTGGTAAATGTAATGTGAAGCTATGCCGAATGTTGACTATCAAGAAATCGAGGATTAAAACTAACATATGTTAAAATAACACTGATGATTCACTATCTATCATCGACTGTATTTATATTCGAATTTCACTCAAGTACGAAATGACGATTTTAAGGTTTTCACAGATTTCTCAATACTCACAATTTATTCTAGAATAAAGTCAAATTTATATACTGTCAGAAGACGGCTAATATTAATTCAACTGATGAGTTCATCTAAATCGGAAATTTAACCTAAAATATGTTAAAAGAATGCTGATGATTCATTATCTGGCATCAGCTTTAGTTTTAGCTGTTTTCGTTGAATTATCTTCAGATATGAAAATATTGTATTCCGTATCTCATTCAAAGCTTCCGGCCCATTATAATACAAGTACTTTATATCTTAATTCGAATTTCTTGAAATTCAGACATGATTTTTGCCTAATCTTCAAGATCAATATCATGTGATGTCTTTGTGTGCATGTATCTATATTTACCAACGACTATACTTTATTTATTCATTTTTACACCAGACAACACTTGAGGTGCATTTCAATAGAAGTTAAGTCAGAATATTTAAGAAGAACAGATACATATATTGCATCATATCACTATATAAAAATGTAGCTGACTTCAGAGTTGTTGGATGACGATTTGATGAAAGATCAATCATCGATTCGAGCAACAAATATGAGTATTTAAGAAGTTCAGTAATAAGTTGACAAACTTCATTCATTGATCATAGTTGTAAAATCCGATTGATGATCCAGAATTCGATAGACAAGTTCTACCGGTAACACGTAATGAAGGTGGTAAAACTTTGATTTGACATTGTAGACTGTTAATGAAATGTGTGTTGTATAATATGTTACTTTTTCTTCCCATTCAATGAACACATATTCGTCATGCATCATATATTTTACATGATATTGCGATCACTTGACGAGAGAAAAAGCGAAAAAAGAATGATATCACGTTCAAGGATCGAGCCTCGATAGGAAGTATAATCAAATATTTTACTATGATTACTTTAGTAATATAAAATGATATATAGTAGGCATGACTATTGCCTTCCTGATTATAATTATAGCGAAGTTTGAATAACTCTCTTTCTTTTCATTGATGTTCAAAATGTAGATTGTTATTTAATTATAAAGTCGAATGAAGATATTTTATAAGTTGGAAGAGAATTTGTTCTCAAGAAACAGAGTCAGATGAATGTGGAGTGAGTGTTGATATACTTGATGAGATCAATCTTATATCCACACCCACATCCTCTAATTGAAAAAACTGAATATAACATATACCAATATCTCTTTTATTCATTCTAACGTCTTCGTTAAATCCCATAATAAATATATAATAAAAAATAACTGATCACAATCCATAGAAAATAAGCAAATAATAAGAATCTATCTCTTCTTTTTAAAATCTATAAAAATCACCGGTTTATGAAAGAATTAAAAAAACAGATGTAAGCAGAGCAGTACCAAGAAGATCTCCAATCGCTGTTAAATAAGGTATGCAAACATTATCTGGATCTCGATTTTGTCGCCAAACAAAACCTACCATCCATTGAGCAATATAAAGAAGAATAATAACCTATAAAACAAGATTAAATGAATATCAGTTAATTAATAAAAATAATATTTTACTTGGATAAGTGCCGCAATGAGATAAAGAATAATGAAAGGAAATGAAAGACGAAAATGATCAGCAGTGAATTGCCAAATAAGAAAAATAAATGTTAAATGTCCTGGTATAACCAGAGATAATAGGACTCGTGCTGTTGATGAATTATTTTCTAAAATATATTAACGTAATTTCGTGAATTCTAAAAAATTTATTCATACGTTTTGAACAAAAAACTTTATATGGATCTAGACAATTTGTTGAAGTATCATAATCTGTATCATTTTGAAATTCTCTTGATTTATCTTGTCGATGAAATGCAGTTGATAATCTGCTTGCTTGTACAGCAACTAAATTACCACCAACACCTATTAGAAAATCGAACGAAATTATTTTATTAATAAAAAGCAAATTTCTTACCATTAATTACAGGTTGAAAGACAGCTATACCACGGAGTGTTTGAATAGCAAAGTCAAGAATTATACCACCAGCACTAGATTTATATTCGATAAATAATAATAACATTTATATTATCATTAATATTTACCTGGAAATAAACATTGCAGCTATAATTGGCGTCCTAAAAGATTATTTTCATTAGAAACAAAAATTGTGACTATCGAAATTTTTTATTCTACCATCCATGAATCAATACATCTTTAACATATTCATTTTTAATTATAATCATAATCCAAACTGGGATTAGAAATAAAAATAAAATTGTTGTTATTATTGGTAACCATGTATAATTATCTAAGTATGATTTAAACAAAAAAGAATAAAATATCTAATATCTATATTTTCCTTTACCAATAACCTGAAATAAAAACCCGCCAATACCAGCTAAAATACTAAGTGTTGTCAGATCACCAAGTGATGCAGCTATAGGTGTAGCTATATTATCTGGATTAATTTTACACTTATGTGATAAAACAATAACTATGATCACAATTGTACCTAAATAAATAATAATTCATCTTTAGATTTTAATATAAATCGTATGTAAATATTTGCGCACCTAAGACTAATGAAGTGATGGATGCTGTTGAAACACTACTGCTACATAGAACAAGAGCATGTCGGAGATTAAAATGACCTTGTGGTATCCAACCCATAGTAATTGAGACAATAGCAGCAAGAAAACCAACAACAATAGCTTGTAATTGTATTAAAATTATATTGCCAATAATCATACTCTTTAATTCATTTCTTTTATCCATATTTCCAATATTTGCCTATTATTTATAAAAAAACCTAAGTTTCATACATAAAATAAAATAAAAAAATATTATACTTGTGTAGATAAACGAGAAGCTAATGTCATTTCTAAATTGCCTTTCAAGCCGAGTAATGCTGGAACAAGTATATATATTTCTGGTATTTCTTGAAATAAATTCAATGTCTAAATAAAGAAAAATACCAAAGTTCGATCCAACTCATATAACTGGATTTAAAAAAATAGAATCTTTTGAAATTAGATTATCATATGATCTTCCAGAAATTCAATTTTATAGATTAATTCATAGAATACGAGATTATATCATTTGATATTCTTCCTTTTCTTCCAATGAATATCAAACATTATTATTCATTCTTATTTTATTAGAATTAATAATAAAATTCCAAAAGAAATATAAGATCTTCTGGAAAGAACGTATTTTTCATGCTAAAAATAATCCTATAATCATGTTAATAATCTTACGGTTGACCTTGTTGTCATCTAATAATTTATATAATCCCTCTAATATATTTTAGATTTCATGACAGATAATTTATTCCAGTATGCAAATAAATACCTTAACACGTTCAAGCACAAGTCCAGCACCCACCATACCAAATCCAGCAATCATAAATGGCAGAAAAACTTGACTTGTTATAGTATACCATTTCTCTTGATTATCACTATTATTATTATCTATAGTTATTATTGTTTTTGTGTCATCATTTTCTATGTAAAATAAAATAATCTATTCAATATTTTATTTCTTTTATTTTCAAATCGTATTTAGATTCTAACCATCACCATAATTCAACTTTGATATATCGATTTATTTTATAAAAATCATATATATAAGCAAACCAAAATAATAATTCTATATTCAGTCTCCTTTACCACCTGTATGATTTTGTATAATAGAAGCAACTGATGGTGCTTCTCTTTTCAAAATCTCCCATTTGATAAATTTATATAATTATTTTTCTATTAAAGAGAAGTCAAAATACCTTTTTCATTTGCAGCTGTCGACAGCTCATGCATCATTAAAAATCAATTATGTAAAGAAAAGAAATAATTTCAATATACAATATTCAATTTTTCTTTGAGAGCGCTACAGTCAATGGTAATGTATGAATTATTAATTTAACAATAAAATTTAATCTAAATTCTAAAAATTCGTTTCTAAGAATATAAAATTTGTAACAGATTAAAACTAAACATCTTTTCCTATTTAATCTTCATTGATTTGTCAATATATATTGTCCAATAAGATATATTTCTAAGTGTCACGATTAGAAAAAAATGTCTAATGATGAGATGTTTACTCAGATATCCATCGGGCGTGTTTTACTCTCGTTCGATCAATATTTACTTCTCTTCTTACTTCGACATTCAATATATATTATAGATATTTTACAGTATAGTCAAAATTGTAGCTATTTCAAATTGTTGCTATGTTTGCACTCAATGGTAATAAATCCATTTGGGTACGTGATAGTGAACATGGATTTCTTCTTGGTAAAATAAGTGATATTGGTTCAGATAATCTTACTGTACAACTAATTGATAATAGAAAGGTTTGAAGAAAATTATTCTCTAAATAACAAATTAATTAATTTCTATATCCTTTTTTTCATAGACATTAGTTGTATTGTATGATTCGGTATTTCAAACAGAAGAATATGATAAAGATGTTGATGATAATTGTTTGTATTTATTTGAATTCATATTTCTTCAATTGAATTTATTTTCTTTAAGGTGCTCTTATGTATCTCAATGAAGCAACTCTATTGAATAATGTTCGTCGTCGTTATAAGGCAGATCGGATTTATGTAAGAATTAAATTAGAAGACAACAAAAAAAAGATTTTTAATTTTATTCTTTAGACTTATGTTGCAAATATTTTAATTGCAATTAATCCTTATAAAGAATTGTCTGGTCTTTATTCTAATGAGACAATTAAACGTTATAATGGAAAATCACTGGGTACAATGCCACCACATGTTTATGCAATTGGTAAGATCTTTCTAACTTTTGCAAAGGAAGTAGAGATAAGAAAATTGATAATATGAGTCATTGTTTTTAAAGGGATAAAACAATATAAGATAAAAATCTTGTTTTTTTATCAGAAAGAATGTCTTATCAAATTAACATTTAACTGACCGAAAGAAGAAAAAAAAGAAGAAGTGACTTGATTTAAATTCTAACCGATCACATTTCATTACATAAAATGATCAAATTACTGTTTGCTTACATTATGTATATGTGATGTTAAATGACTGATATATTATGAGAATTAGTGAAAAAAATTTTGTGAATTTAAATATCATAAATTGATCGACGACATTCTTTCGAAGGCTTTTAAACTACTAATCCATCTCAAAAATATTTGTTAAAGGTTATCAAAATCCAATAAATGATGTTTATTAAAGAGATATGAATCCTTTCAAATTTTAATCTATAAGGTTATATTTAGCTTTAAATTTGTCTATATAATAAATCCATCAATATGTCAAAATGAAATTTAAATATGAAGAAAAAGTTTTATTAATAAAATCTTGTATTTGTTTTTCCTCTAAGGTGACAAAGCCTATCGCGATATGCGAACTGTTAAACAAAGTCAATCGATAGTCATATCAGGCGAATCAGGAGCTGGTTTGTAATACTAATTTATTATCGTATCAATTTTATTTGTATACATATATATATATATATATAACAGGAAAAACTGAATCAGCTAAATATGTTTTACAATATTTAACGGAATCATATGGTGCACATAATGGTCAAATTGAAGATCGTATAAATAAATGTAATAAGCTCGATTAAATTCAATATTTTCTCTTATTTATTAAAATCTTGTATTTTAGCTAATCCATTATTAGAAGCATTTGGCAATGGTAAATTAGAAAAAAATATCTCTATATAATAAAACATAAATTTCCTTCTAGCTAAAACAACTCGAAATAATAATTCCAGTCGTTTTGGTAAATTTATTGAAGTTCATTTTAATGATAAAGTATAACAAATAAATGAAAAAGAAAATCATGGAATTATATTTCTTTATTTAGCATCATGTTGTTGGTGGTTATATATCACATTATCTACTTGAAAAATCCCGTATATGTGTTCAATCAAAAGATGAACGAAATTATCATATATTTTATCGTTTATGTGCTGGTGCATCGGAAAATATTCGTAGTGCATTACGACTTACATCACCAGATAGTTTTCATGTTTGTAAAAAAATAAGAATTTTGTTTTTTGATTATTTTGTTTTTTGTTTAGTATCTTAATCGTGGTTGTACACAATATTTTTGTAATAATCAAACAGAAAAGGCTTTGCCAAAAAATCGTCGAAGTCAAGACGTGAGTTTAACTATTCGAAGAAAAAAAAATCAGAACTTTTTTTTTCATTATTTTTTAATATATTAGAAAGAATCTGTTGATGTAAGATTTATTTCTGTAGCTTTCATTATTGTTACCCTTTAGTTTTGATTTCTGAATAACTTGAATTTTATACAATTCTTGTTTTTTCTTTAGTTTGTATCTAAAGGTGCATTACGTGATCCACAATTAGATGATGTGAATGATTTTAATCAATGTGATCAGTCAATGACTCAAATGGGTTTAACTGAACAAAATAAATTAGATATTTATAGTACTGTTGCAGCTGTTTTACATCTTGGAAATATTAATTTTGAAGATGATCCCGAAAGTACAAAAGGTGGTTGTAGAATATCATACAAAACTGAACAATCTTTAATTACAACAGCTGAAATGCTTGGATTAGATCAGCGTGATTTACGTAATGCATTAGTAACAAGAATTTTAATGACAAAAACAACGAGTAGTAGTAAAGGAACTGTTATACCGTATGTAAAATTTGATTTATAAACATAAAATCTATTGATTTTACCCTATAAATAGTGTTCCATTGAAAGTTCATGAAGCTCAAAATGCACGTGATGCATTAGCAAAATCGATTTATGTTCGATTATTTGAGCAAATTGTTATTTTTATTAATAAATCAATACCATTTAGTTCATCGCAATCATATATTGGCATTCTTGATATTGCTGGTTTTGAATATTTTCCTGTAAATTCATTTGAACAATTTTGTATTAAGTAAATCAATAATAAATGATTTCAAAAACAAAGTATTTCTGATCATATCTTTTTTTTAGTTATTGTAATGAAAAATTACAACAATTTTTTAATGAACGTATACTTAAAGAAGAACAATTATTATATGATAAAGAAGGTCTTGGTTTAAAAAAAATTAATTATATTGATAATCAAGATTGCATTGGTATGTTAATGAAAAACTTTTTCATATCTGTTTATCGTCTTTTATTTTCTTCTTTCTTTTACATTAAACAGGAGCCTGGTAGGGGCGAAAGTTTACTTTGTTTTATTTTAATAACTACAGTCTTGTGCGTGTGTGTGTGTACTTGTGTATTTTGCATGACCGTGATAAAAGATATGTGACATATGAGTATTTCGAACAATGGAATGACTGAAGGATATCGTATCAATGAAAAGAGGAGAAAAAAAATTAATTAGTTGAAAGAATCAAAAAAATATTTTGTATGTCACATATACATTAAGTTGTTTTTATAGTCGATAAACTTGAGATAGCAGAGGTATACTATTCAGCAGTTTTAGGGGATTATTATACGGATTTTCAAAGGATTCAAAATATAGTAAAAACTTGATTAAATTCATCTTTCATATGAATTAATCTATAAACAAAGAAATCAATTAAAAAACTGCATTCGTTTTTCTAAAAATAGAAGATAAAATTCAGCTTATACGTCACTTAAAACAAATTGGCCATAACCCTTTTTGCTTTTCTTTTTGCACAATATTTATATGCATATAAAAAATAAACGTTTGGAAGTCAGCATGATTCTTCCTCCAGCTTTCTTTTATTTGCATGATAAATAAAAGTGTTTTTGTTCAGTTTTATTTTCATTTACTTGTTAAATCCATATTTATATAATTCTATCATATTTAGATTTAATCGAAGCAAAAACAACAGGTTGTTTCGATTTATTAGATGAAGAAAGTAAATTACCGACTCCAAGACCTGAACATTTTACAACAGAAGTACATAATCGTAATAAAGGTCATCCAAGACTTGATGTAAGGAATAATTGAAGTTGTATGCTTTTTATTCATTTCTGTATTTAGTTTCCAAGAAAATCTAAATTACGTTCAGCACGTGAAATTCGTGATGATGAAGGATTTTTAGTTCAACATTTTGCTGGTAGTGTGGTTTATTCAACAGTATGTTAAGGTCTTATGTAAAATGTTTGTTGATCATATGATATTTTTTAGGCACAATTTATTGAAAAAAATAATGATGCATTACACGCATCACTTCTTATTCTTGTTCAAGAATGTAAAAATGCATTTATTAAAAATTTATTTCCAAAAGCACCTGAACGTGAACAATCAGCGGGAAGATTAAATTTTAGTTCTGTTGGGTCAAAATTTCGTTCACAATTAGCTGATCTTATGTTTAAATTACGCAGTACTGTAAGTTAATAAATCAATTATATTAGTATCGAAGATATTGATAGAAAATCTCTGGACATTTTTCGATATACGATACTTCTAAGTTAACTAATACTATTTTGTATTTTTTCTTAAAAGGGCATTAGTTTCATTCGTTGTATCAAACCAAATCTTAAAATGGTTCCAAATCTATTCGAAGGTGGTCAAATTCTAAATCAATTACAATGTAGTGGTAAGTAACAAAAAAATGTTTGCTTTTGGATTAAACCTAATTATCTTTTATTTTGTTTACAAAAGGTATGGTATCCGTATTGGATTTAATGCAACAAGGTTTTCCATCTCGTACACAATTTTCTGATTTATATTCAATGTATAAATCATATTTACCAAGAGAATTAGCTCGACTTGATCCACGTCTTTTTTGTAAAGCTTTATTTAAAGCATTGAATCTTCGTGATTCGGATTTTAAATTTGGTTTAACAAAAGTTTTTTTTCGTCCGGGAAAATTTGCTGAATTTGATGAACTTATGAAATCTGATCCGAAAAGTTTAGCTGCACTTATAGCAAAAGTTAAAAAATGGCTTTTATGGACACGATGGAAAAAAGCACAATGGTGTGTTTTATCAGTTATTAAACGTAAATTAAACTTAATAAAATTTTTAACGATTAAATCTAAATTTTATTATTTAGTTAAAAATAAAATTTTATATCGACGTCAATGTTTAATCGATATTCAAAGTCATATTCGTATGCGTTTAGTTTATAAACGTTATGCACCACGGTAAATATAGAATATTCTTTTTTCAATATAAATTTATTGGATGTTTTTGTTTTTTCTATAGAATTCGTGGTTTAGTTAAAGTTAAAGCATTACATGAACAAGCTGCATCTATGGAAAAAATTGCTGGACAAATGAAAGCTAATAAAGAACAAGTACATAAACAAGTACAGCAATTAAGACAAAGAATCGACCAATTGATTAATGATATTACAGTAAGTATATTTTTTGATTTTATAACAGATAATTGGACATTAGTATAATGAAGATTATAAGAACATGTCTAGAGGCAAAACGAATTTGATTTGTAGAGAAGAAAAGATGAGTCCATCTCTTCTTTTAGTACAGTAGATATTTGAATAAGATGAAAACAAAAAGAAATATGCTGAATCGTATTCTTTTTCTTGTTTTGCGATACTACTGGACAATGATCAAGATTTTTATTTGTTTCTTTGAACTATTAAAATATAGAAACAAATATTAGAGATCGTTCTGAAATCAATATACGAACGTCTCCACACATTTTCTAAGTACTCAAGTAGTTTTGGAAGAATATTATTGACATTGTGAAATGATTAAGTTAGTTGTTTGAATATAGTCTTATTTTGGATATATTTATTTGAGCACCAGCTTAGTACTAAATGGCACTTTTATGAAGAGAGCTCGAAATATTGATTGTAAATAACCGTTAGACATTCCAACACAAATCAAGTAACTATTTCGTCGTTTGGCACACTTCAATGCCAATTAGTAAACTTTATAAAATACCATGAAACTTCAAGATATTTCATGTCTGAAGTTTCTTCTGTCTATCAATATAAATTAATTTATGTCAGATTAGTAAATAATTCGAATTCTAAAAGTAAACAGTAGAGTTATAATTGTATTAAATTTAATCTTCATTTTAGAATACATCTATGACATCAGTACAAATTGATAATGCATATAATGATCTTGTTACTTCAATTGACCGTGAATTTCGTCGATTAAAACAAGTTCTTGCTGAACAAGAAATAAAGGAAGAAGAAGAACGTTTAAAAAAAATTCAAGTAAAAAAAAATAAAATCATTAAAATAAAATAATTTTTTATTGAATATTTAGGTGGAACTTGAACGTGAAAAAAATAAAAAAGTTGCTGAAGAAAAACGTGTACAGGAAGAAAAAGATGAATTTCGACAGTAAATATTCAATAAATCTTTTAGTTCTTATTGAATATAAATCTTCTTTTAATTTAGACGTACAATTATTGCACAACGTCAAAAAGAAGAAGAACAGTTTAAAGGTAAACTTGCTGCTGAAGAAACAAAACGTCAAGTAAGAATTAAGAAATAATTTATCGTTTATTAAGAAAAAAAAATCTTTTGTTATTTTATAGCAAGAACGTCAAGCAAAAGAATCGGCTGAAGATGCTCGTTTAGCTGAAATGAATGAACGTGAACGTCGTGATTATGATTTAGCACGACGTCTTGCTTTAGAAACAGGTAGTGAAGCTGATTTACCACATTTACAACGAACACGCCGTCCTGTTATTAATCAAAAATTTGATTTAACGAAACATACATATGCTCAACTACGTGATCTTATTAATACATCTTGTGGTAAATAAATACATTTTAAAAGCAGAATAGTTTCTTTTAATATGATATTTATATTAGACTTGGAATTACTTGAAGCATGTAAAGAAGAATTTCATAGACGTTTAAAAGCTTATCATGCATGGAAATCAAAAAATCGAAAAGGAAAAAATCCATCGGCCGGAGATGATAAAATGGATGAAATGGATGAAGAACGAGCTCCAACTGATATTTTAAATAATGGTAAGTTTAATAATTCACTCAACTACACGTATAAAGAACTTGTTTTCCTATGAATAAAATATATTTTCACTCATCGGCTGGATAAACATTAAGAAAGAATCTATTATATACAGGGTTTTATCTAACCGGTGAACTGAGTGGGCGGCGCCCACCCGAAAAAGGAAATCTGGATAAAACACTGACTATATATTTTTCACACTGTTATAATTACTAATCCATTTTATTCCAAATGAGCATATAATTATTCATAATAGAAAAGTCTTTTTTCAAAACGCAAACATAAATAAATTTTGTTTTATTTATTTTCACTGATATTCTTATCAATATTTTCTTTTTAAAGCACCTCCTCCATCTGCATCAGCTCTTAGTAAATCAGCATCAAGTGAAACCGTTAAAAGAGGCGCACAAGCAACGACAACACCAAGTGCTAGTTCAAAAAAAGCTAGTAGTGGGAAAACACCAGAGCAACGTTATTTTCGTATACCATTTGTTCGTCCTAATGATCAAAATCGCGATACAAATAGTGATCAAAAAAAGAAAGGCTGGTGGTATGCACATTTTGATGGTAAGCCTAAATCAATACTATCTTTTGAAATTCGTTCAAAAAAAACAAATCTTTTTTTCTTCTTAGATAAATGGATTGCTCGTCAAATGGAGATTCATCCAAATAAAGACGCAGTACTTCTTGTTGCAGGTGTTGATGATATGAATATGTGTGAATTAAGTTTAGATGAAACAGGTTTAACATCGAAAAAAGGTGCTGAAATTCTTGAAAAAGATTTTGAACAAGAATGGCTCAAACATAATGGTCAAAAATATTTAAATACGCATTTCTCACAAGTTAGTTCGAAATATGTTGTTCAATTACTTCAAAATTATAAATAAACCGAACAAAAATATTTCTTATATTTACGCGCGCACAGTGGGCAAAATTTATTTCTTTTTCATTTTGTTCTATAATTTATCTTGTCTTTTACAAAACAAAACAAAAGTATACAAAATATATCTATTCGTCTGATTTTATTGTCATTGTTGTGATGATACATGTCTTTTTTTTTATTTATTCAGATTTTTTTCGTAAGAATGAACAAAAAAAAATGATTAGCGCATTTCATTTTCTGCTTGCTTTTTTTTCTCTCTTTTTTTTGTCACTGTTTTATGTTTAATTTAATCGTTTCAGTCTTATTTAACAAAAAAAAACAAAACAAAAATATTAATCAAATAAATATTTGTGCTTTAATTATTATTGCTGTTTTTCTTCTTCAGATAATCATTACAGAAATTAAAAACAAAATATAATATTATTATTGTTAAATTGAGTATAGAAATGTAAAATTTTCAATTATAATATGATGAAAATAATGAGAAATTTTACAATCAACCACATATGGGATTATGGCTTAAAAAAGAAGTAAGAAAAAGAAAAAATTTATGTAAATTTTATTCATTATGCAATATTTAGAAAGTATGATACATTGAATTTTACGGTATATTGCGATAAACATCAATTGCTGCATACATATGGATCTAATCGACGATGAAGAGTAATATTGAAGTAAGAAACTATATGAATATTTCTATAGTAGATTAATTGAAAGATATAGTATGAAAAAGTTTTGAATTATAATTGATATGAAGAGAAAATAGATTCTTTCGAGCAAAATGAAGGAGAAGTATTTGATTTATAGTTAAAAGAATGCCGTATTATGAATTTTCAATAGAACATGACATGCAGAAAGTTCTTCATTATTTTTCTATTTTTTGACTGATATTCCGTGATAATAAGTAGTGTGAATCTGCTTTTATGTTTGACAAAAATTATGTCCTTAATATCCCCTGAGGTTTAAGATCAGAAGAGATTAATGGTAATGTGTTAGAATGTCTAGTGAAATGGAGGCAAATGACACACAGATGAATGTATTGCAAACTAATAGTACAGAATAAAATCTAATAGAAAAATTTTTATGTATAGGAATATAATTATATATTATTAGAAATCATTGACAAATTTTCAAAACAAACAATATAAAAATATGATTTTCTTCTAGAGAAAAACGTCAATTAAAAACAAACAAGAATATTTGACAATGAAAAACTAATTTCCGTTGATTGCGTATATATATAGTTTCAATTTACATTTCTCTTGAAATATTTCTGCTATATAGTTTTATTATAAATAATAAAATATTTTAACATAATAGTTAAATAACTATTCTATGTTTACCTTATCTAGTCAACGATTATAATATTTTATATTATACTAAAATTGACTTTGTAATAGCTTGGATTATATTAATTATACTTGTTTTTTGTGTATCATTCATTTATACTAATCATGTTTATTCGATAGTTCTTAGTCGAGCATCATCAATAATAACTAAGCGTAAGTTAATAGTCGATGATAATAATATCAGTTAGATTAAATATTTTATTTTAATGACATTTCAGTATATTGATCTATTTTGTACTGTTTTTAAAAGAATGTCCTTATTGATACTACGCATTTTTCTATAATATATAATGATGATCGTGTTTTCAGTTTTAACTGTCAGCCCTCTGACAGATTTCTTTTGATGACAAAGAAAATTAATAATTTTTTAACATATTTATATAAAAATATTCTTTGCTTTTATTTAGTTATTCAAAGAGTTAACAGGAACACAAGAGAAAACAAAAGAAAGATCATTTCAAGCACCATTTACTATAAAAGCACATACATTACTTCATACTTATCTCCATCGACTTGATACATTAAGTGAGGATCTTGAGAAAAATTTATTCATAAATATATTTAAGTTTAATATTTAGTTTTATTTTATTTCTACTACAACGATATTGTGGTACAATTTAGTGCTATGGGACATACTGCACGATGTAAGTTAGGATTCAAAAGAACCGTTTATCTTTAGATTTTGAAACAAAAAAAAGATAAGAAATTCTTATGCTGTATACATATATAAATGATTTAATATCGAGAATAGGAATCGAATTTAACAAGTTCAGTTAGACTTGACTAAACTTCAATCGTAAAATCTCAAAATAGCAAAAACTAAATGAAAAAAAATCATCCATAATTCATATAACTCAAAGATAAACTGTATCCTGAAATAATCTTCTCTTTTTTAGTGTGCAATTAAATCTATTCGAAAATTTGTTGCAATGGATGATGATCAACGTCATTCTACATTACATAGTATTACTGATAAACAATATTATGATTTGTTTTTGATATGTAATCACATATAAAGGTATTTATTCAGTACTCATCAAAAAATAATAAAACAGAATTTGCTTTTTATTTAGTCTTTGATGATGATGATGAAGGCGAACATATAATAATAATAGCAGGAGTTTTTATTATATTAACTGTGCATGAACATCGTAAAAATATATCAACTATATTTAATAAAGATATGAATGAAGAATAAATTAATGCAAAAGGTAATCGAGTAAAGGTGGAGAGAACCTTGTTTTTTTATTTATTGTTATTATTGAATATGTTTAATAGGAGAATGGTGTAACAAAAAATTAGTATAACGGATCAGATAAGAAACAAAAAACAATTAACAAATATTAAGAATTCTAACCGTACGTACTTGTACTTTTCAATTAATAAATAAACAGGTTTCTAGTATAAAAAATCTACTTCAATCTCTATTTAATCTAATTACAATTATGGATGAGTTGTAATCAGTAGATCGTATTTTATCGTGATTTAACATGCAAATCTCAAGAGAAATACAGAGATAATCTCATGTGAAAACTAAATTTATCGAAAACAAAAAAAGATGTTTTTTGTATCTTTTTTTTAAAGTTTTTACAAAATATTATCTAATATAATACAATCCAATGATCTATATTTATTAGCACATTGAATTAGAATTCTATAAGCAGATGTTAGAGATAAAGCAAATATCGTCTATCTGATTCTATTCCAATTCGACTTCGGAAAACATTCAACCTATAAAAAGACATCTATAGCTTAGAATTTAGATCAGTATCATGACTTTCGATATGACTTGAAAAATGACCTTGGTAATGCTGGTTCTAATAGATAAAGATTTCCAAAATTTATATAAATAGAGGAAATATGACTAGCGCTGTTTAATATAACACACATAGAATTCAATAGTGAGTAAAGCATAATTTGGATTTCACTCATATCAGTTTCATTGAGGTGTGATTTATTGTTTAGTTAAAGTTCATCGAGCTAAAAAAACAAAATGGCAATTCTCTGTTTATTCATATGATTAACTTCCGAAGAAAATTTATTCATAAATTGTCATGATTGAGTAAAACATATCAGCAACTATTACTAAGAAAAAACTGACAGATATTTCAAAAAAGTATATCATGATATACTTGTACTTTCTTTTCACGAAATAAAAGCAAACAGTTTCGTTTTTTTTCTCTCTCTCTTGAATTTATAATAAAACTCAGAAGTTAAGATCGATATAAATTCGTTCATAGAATCCTTATTATATAGTTCGAAAGCCATATTTTTATAATCTTCTAACCGCTAGTCAAAATTTTTATTAACATTCATGTGTTTCTTTTCCTTTGAGAGCCATAGGTTTTTTTCTGCACGTAAAATATTTCTCATGAATAATCGATTACAACTGGTGATCGTTCTTTTTTACTAATTGAAAAAAAAACATCAGTTGCACTTTTACCTTTTTTTCTTCTCCATTATTAGATGATGATGATTCGTTGAAATATTCCGATCGTAAACATGTCCTACAGGTAATCAAGTACAATACATCTATATTATAGTTATTCAGATTATCCATCAAATTCACATCAAGATTATGAAAAAAGATCCAGGATGGTTTAAATGAAAGTGAGAATAATAAATAATGAAAAAACAAATTCGATAAATCATCAATCATTTTTAAATAAAACAAAAAAGAAAAATATAATGAGAATAAAAATGATACATTGCTTAAAAGATATCAACAACAACATAAACGAGATTATTTTGAAACGGAAGAAACAATGAGTCATCATGTTTTTTGCTCATTTTTCAAAAGATTAAACACAAGTGTTGGTAATCGTATGTTACTGTTCGAAAAGAAAAGATTTTTTTTTCTTAATAAATGCACCAGTTTATTTATGTACATTAAAAACCAGGGACGAAGTATATTTAAATAAATATTCGTTATTCTTTTTTAACTTAATATTCAAGAAGTAAAGAAAGTTAGTGACGATGAAAGATTTGTTACTCAGAACGATAGTGATCATAATTAAATTTTACAAAATCTCGTACGATTTTTTCTAAAATTATTTCTCATTTTATGTGCATTTGTATTTATGTTATTAATTTTCTTTTTAAATAAAATTAAATATGTATAATAATGCTTCAATGTTTTTTTTCCTAATTAAAATCTAATGAATAATTTGTTTATTTCAGACAAATTAGTATGTGTATGTCTCATTGGAAACGACAAGAACTAAAATTAATCATAGCATTTATCAAGGTTTGTTATACACGTGAAATAAAAATATGACAATACATGTATTGTATGTAGGGGTAGTTATTTAATTAAATGAGAAGGAGTTTGTATGATTTTTTTTCTGTACAATCAATAGTATGATTTGACTTCGTTGATAGAATTGATCAATAACGGAAGCGTTGTTATTTTTTTGCTCGTCATTCAACACACATTGCCCATTTTTTTGTTTTCTTTTCTTCCTCCATCTTTCGCGGTCTTCTAGCGCAATACACATACACATCTATTTCATTCATTCAATATACGACTATCATATAACCTTGTGTGCCATTATTACCATCGCAGAAAACAGAACGCAGAAGTATTACTTTTTCTTCTATTTTTTTTTCTTATTTGCTTTCTATCATGTAACTCAAGTCTTGAATAGATTGACAAAATAGAATAATGATGATGACAATAATGGAAACGAGCATATGACATGGTTTTATTGTGAGATACATTTCACTCGAATATTGACATACACACACACATATATATATTGAATGATATTTTTAGACTATTCAAACAATTGTCTATTTTATGTAGCAAAATTGAAGAATATTTACGATTATTATTAAAATACGAAAGAAAGAGAAAGCCACTTATTTCTAGTTGTTATTTTTTGTAATAGTTTAAGTCGCGTTTGATTTTCTTTATTATATTTGATGAATTAATCTTTTATATTTCGAGACCATAAAATTCTTGTTTATCATTTTCTTACTTGGTGTTAGCAAGGCTAGACAAGACAGATGAAGATCGCCTCCATTACTCTTCTCTCTTGATGTAGACAGTAACAGAACGTTAATGTATTGTAGAATTGATTCAATAATACTTGCTTTTTTCTTGTTTCTCTTGTTATAGGTTGATTCTGTAATAAGAAAAATCTAACTCAAGACAAGTCATTGACAATTATATAATCTCCAGTTTTTATTCTTTTCTTCCCATCCGTCCAATTTAGTATTTATAATGTATCAAAACAAATCAAGCATTTTTCTCATTTTAATTTTGGGTTTGATTATTCATAAGTATTATTGTAAAGAACAAACATATGTTCATAATCAAGCAAAACCAGCACGTTTTCATGTTGCGGAATTTAATTTCGATCATGTATCAGATGTTTATGCTATTACATTATGGATTTTACTTGGTTCATTGGCTAAAGTTGGTAAGTATTTTACATTTTAACATAGAGAAAAAAAACAATTTCTTTCTTATTATTTTATTTTTATCCAGGTTTTCATTTATCACATCGTTTAACAGAGAAATTTCCTGAAAGTTGTCTTTTAATTATTCTTGGTCTTATTGTTGGTGCTTTGCTTTATATTACTCATTTAGCTGAACAAAAAGCTTACGTATTGAATAGCGATACATTCTTCTTATTTCTTTTGCCGGTAAGAATAATATTAATAATAATAATAAATGAATTTTTCCTTTGTAAAAACAATTCTATTACATATCTAGTTTTCAATATTTATTCAATGAACTCTTTATTTTCTAAAATAATATGATATTTAATTCATATCATTATCTGATTATGTTACAGAACATAAACCAAAAAAGAAATATTTTAAAATATATACACTTTATAACCGTATGAGACTAAAATAACTATTGTAAATTATGTATTATATAGTACATTCTTTTGTCATGAGAAAACATCTCTTTGATAAAAAGTACACAGAGGAGGAGTGCCGGATATCCTCTCAAACTAAGTGAATTTCTTAGGTTACTTTTCTTCTTTCCGCGTATATAACAATTCTAAGGATGTTCTTACTGATAATCTTAATACACTTGATTACAATAAAAAAACATATAAATTTATTTAGCCAATCATTCTTGAAGCTGGTTATTTCATGCCGAATCGTCCTTTTTTTGACAATCTTGGAACGATTCTTTTACTTGCTATTGTCAATACTTTATTTAATACATTATGTATTGGTTTAACATTATGGGGTTTTTCATTTACATCACTCTATGGTGGTACAGTATTTGATATGTTACCTTGTTTTGTTTTTGCTGCACTTATATCTGCTGTTGATCCTGTTGCTGTATTAGCTACATTTACGGAAATACATGTTAATGATATGTTGTATATTGTTGTATTTGGTGAATCATTACTTAATGATGCTGTTTCAGTTGTTCTTTATCGTATGTTTGATTCATTTGCTAAAATTGGTCAAGAAAATTTAATACCAACGGATATTATATTGGGTTGTTTATCATTTTTTGTTGTCGCTCTTGGTGGAGTTTTAATTGGAATTATATTTGGTGTTGTTGCTTGTTTTACAACGAAATTTACTGAACATACACCTGTTCTTGAACCACTTATTATTCTTGTTTATGCTTATTTAGCTTATCTTACATCTGAAATGGTTTCTGTTTCAGGCATTTTAGCGTATGTATAATTATATCTTAAACATTAGAAAATTATTTTTTCTTTTCATATATTTAGTATAACATTTTGTGGTATGGTTATGAAACAATATGTTTCATTTAATATTTCAAAAAAATCTGACGCAACAACAGAATACGTTCTTAAAATGTTGTCAAGTATTATGGAAACAATTATATTTATGTTTATGGGTTTATCAACTGTTAGTGATCATCATTCATGGAACACTGGTTTTGTTCTTATGACATTATTATGTTGTCTCGTCTATCGAGTTATTGGTATGAAATAACAAAAACTCTTTTTTTTATATAAATATTTATATAAATTAATTCTTTTCATTTTTGTATATATTTAGGTATTGCAATTTTTGCTAATTTAGCTAATTGTTGGCGTTTACTTGAATTAACACGTATTGATATGTTAATTATGTCATATGGTGGTCTGCGTGGTGCTATTGCATTTGCTCTTGCTCTTATTCTTGATGAAACAAAAATACCAAGGAAAAAAGAATTTGTTACAGCAACTATTGCTGTTGTATTTTTCACTGTTTTTGTTCAAGTAAAAGAAAAAAATTTGGACAAAATAAATTACTTATCTATGCATATATTTAGGGTATAACCATAGGTCCACTTGTTAAATGTCTTAACGTTAGACGTAAACAAATTGAAGAACCAACAATGTCTGCTAAATTAACAAATCGAGTACGTAAATTATCTATTTTTAGTTTGATATTATTAATTTATTTTAATTAAAGATGATGGATCATGTTATGACGTGTCTCGAAGAAATATCCGGTAGTGGTGGAAGCAATTCTTTACGTGATAAGTAAGAAAAAGATGGTCTTTTTTTAAAAAAAAGAATACATTACAATCAATTTTCTAGATGTCGAAATCTTGATCGAAATTATTTTAAACGTTGGTTATTACGTGAAACACCACAAGAAAAAATGGATATTAAATTATTACAAACATTTAAAAAAATTAATATGCAATCAGCTATGAAAGTTCATGATACATCAAAAGGTCTTGTACCAGCACCATCATCATCAGCTATACATACATCAGCATCAGGAACTAATTTAAGACCTGAAAGTACATTCGCAAATTTTTCACAAATATTAGCTGCAAAGTTTGTTAAATTCTTTTCTATGAAAACAAGAAAAAAATATAATTGCTCTTTTCTTATTTTTTAGTTTACCAGAACAAACTGTACCTGATCTAATGTTTTTTGAAAATCATCACGGAGCTGAACAATATCGTGATGATGCACAAATGCATCATTTTCTTGATACAAATCTTTATCGTGCACGACCTAGAGTAAGAAATTATCAATATGAATAATTTAAACAGTAGTTAATTTTTATGAGTTCACTTATTATAGAAAGGTTTCTTTTTTGTCAGTTATTTTCAAAAAAATAAGTCTGTCGTCGTAGGATAAAGAATTAATATTCATTTTTACTTCATTTCATATGACTTGAAAATAATAAAATTAATTATTTTAGGCTACTATTCATCTTCGTAGTCAAGATGAATCTGCTGGTACAGATGGTGTCGCACATAATCGCTTTGAAAAATCTTATCATCATCGTAATCATATATATATTCCATCAAGACTTGATAAAGAACAAATCCATGGACGTAAAGCTGGTAAGACTAGTGGTGGTACTGGTCGTTCAACAGCTTCAAAAGCTGGATCATCAAATATTACTCATAGTCATACTCATTCACATTCACCTAAACATCATACAAGTTCAGTATCTAAACAACAGAATGAAAAACTACGATCAGCATCTCCAGTTTCTGACCAAAAACAACAACAACAACAACAACAATCAAAAACAAGAAGTAAAAGTCCATCACTTTCGTCTGATCAACCAATTAGACCATCATGTATGTTTAGTTATAGATAATTTCAAGATGAAATATTTTCTTTTCTAGCTCCTACAGCAGAAATGTATCGTCCATCTCCTCCTATCTCAATCCGTATTGATAATGACGGTATTAATTCTTATATATTTTAATTTAATTTAATTTTTTCTTCTAATAGATGACAATGAAATATTGGATGGAACTACAGCTGCTGAACGAATTTGTCCTTGGCGTCGTTCATCAATACCTGACGCAGCAAGATCAACTTCAACATCACCAGTAAATGATCCATCAAATACTACTCAAACAGCTTCAAATACAAATGATCCAAATCTTCATCCAGGTCCATTAACTTCTGCTAATTATAGTGGTACATATCATAAATCACCGGAATATTTGGGCGAATATGCAACTACAACAAAACCAGAAGAACATCTATCAAGACCAAATATTCGTGATTTATTTAATAATCAATCGCGTATTCCAGATGAAAAACAAGAGAATGATATGGAAACTAATTCGGATGAAAGTACAACTCAATTGTGAACATCTTATTCTTTTTCTTCGTTTTGTTTTTTATTATTATTTTATTCGACTTTCTGTGTCATTAGACTAAAATATGATTAATAAAGCAATATTAATAATTCAATCTCGAAAAATAAAACCCTTGTAATTATACGTAATTCTATTCAATATAATATTCTATCCTAGTTCTCCTTTACTATTGATTAAAACTATATAGATTGATAAAAATCAAACTTTGATAGTCATACATTCATTATATGTTTCAATTTAATGACAGGACAAATATTTAATAGCCAAATCAAATTTCACACTGTAGTTTATGCTGAGCCTTTATTAATTTTTTGAACAACACAAAACATTTCTGTATACTATCATACATCTGTCATTGAAAACAAACAGGAATATGATATATTAATACAACTATCTGCATATGTTTTTGTATTTATAAATTTATATTGAATAAAATATTTCTTATACAAAAAACAAAAAAGAACAATTAACCTCATTTTTTCAAAAGCATGACTTTTCCATCTAACAAAAGTAGATCAAATATACTTAGAGATGTATTTTCATTATTTCTATATTTTAAAACATTCATCATTTATAGAAAACAATTCTTTCTAAATTGTTGCCGTAAGACATCCTGTTCTTACACACATTGTCCACCTGAAACATCACAAACATAGAAAGAAAAACAAAATACATGTCTTCGATGATAAAACTTAACAATTATCTTAAGAAAAACTATTTGATATTCTCTCTATACTTTATAGAAATTATACACTTGTCTATTGGTTTATTTATTTAAATATTGATAAAAATATGTTCACTTAAGTTATATTTTATTTTATATTCTTAACAGCACTTGAGTTTCGTCATTCAAATCATCTTCCAGAAAAGAATACAGAAAGAAGAAATTGATGACGAAAAAGAGAACAACATCAATTGATTAGTATAAGCAGTTTTTGTTTTTTTTTTGTCAATTATTAATAATGAATATGAGTTTTGTTTAATTAGGTTGAGCAACCATTGGAATACGCATGCCAGGTTGTACACCTAAAAAATCAAACCAAATAAAAATTCACAATTAATTATGTTTACAAACCTCGCATTTGCATTTCTCTTGCTTCTTGACAATTGGCACAAGCAGATAAACAACATGTTGAAAGAAGATCACTTGGTTCTTCGACAAGATTGTATGTTGCACGAAGTTGTTGTCGTCGTGGTTTATGAAGTAAACAACAAAGACCACATCCTGCTAAGCATGAATATCCAATACACATAGTAATTTTACTTGATCCATCGATTTGTTCAGCATTTTGACCGAATAAATAACATGGACAACACCAACCAAGTAGAAATGTATTAATATCTTCAAAACATCCAAATAATCCAACTAGAATAAAACAATAGAATAAAAGATTAAATATAAATTTAAGAAAAAATACTCACCTCGCCATGGTTCACCCATTAATTATGCTGAAAGTGATGTTTGTCTAAAGTTTCAATAAGGAACCAAGAAAAAAAATGAATGTTTCCTGAAAGACTACTTCTTGCTTTTATGGTTCGATTTTCTCTTCTCTTTCTCTATTTTTTTATTATTTATGAACGTCATCATTGTTGCTAACACCTCCTCTCCTTTAGATCGTAACTAATAGAGAAAAGAATTCAAAGACACAAAAGCAAACACATATTGGCATGCAATATATTAGATTGGTCTAAAGAAAATTTAAAAGTTGATTTCAGAAAAATATAGAAGAGAAAGAGAAAACTCAACCCATAGTTGTCAAGGATATTTACTTTTAAAATGTTTTGTTATAATGTATTTAAAAAATAGAAACATACTTTTATTGAGAATGAATGTGTAAATATATTGTTAAGACAATCGGTAACTATAGTCACCAATTGATAGAAACAGATACAAATATTCAAACAAAAAAAGAAAGAAAATATTTATACAATGTTATTCAGTTTTTTAACTATGAATATTGTATCATTGACAGATGATACAGAAGTTTTTTTGAAAAATATCACTTCGTTTTCCATCGATCATACTACAATATGTTTTGAAAAAATCAAGAATATTTGTTCAAAATCCACATTGAAAGCACTATCTAATTATATATGCAGAAAATATTTGCGATGTCTTGCCTTGGAGTAATGATCACGTCCTTAGATGACATTAAAATGCAATCTGCAATACTTGCGGCAAATGGAACCGATTTTCTATCAGGTACGACGAGCAACAATATATGATGTAAAGCATAGAAGACATTTAAAGAATACTAAAATATCAGTTTCTTCTACTATAGTCATTTTTCAGACTGTATTTTAATTTTATTGAAAAATATGTTCGTTACTCAAAGGCAACACATGACACAGAGAATTGTGGTGAAATCAAATTTGATATTATCCTTTTGTCTACGATATAGTTTATGTAAAATTCTTAGTTTTACTAAACAACTAAAATATTAGTTATTCTTTAAATGAAGGTTAAGATGAATATCGAATTTCTCTATATGTATTGTTCTGGACACTACTTAAGTAAGTACTTCCATAATTATTACACATAAACCTACTAACGCTTACTTGGCTAATAATGAATAATATAATTTCCGTATTGTGTTAAACGTGTCTACAAGATTGACATACTTATATAAAGTGGATACAACGTTCAAAACGCTTCTTATGTTAACATAAATTTAAAGAAGAATTATAGAAATCTATTACAAAGCTTATATATTAGTTATTTTAGTGTTACAATTCTATATTAATTCTAAAAAATGTCCGATCACACTTAAAAGATAATGTGTCAGTTTTCATTAAAATATATATTTAACTTGTTGTTTGTTACAACTATCCGAACAAAAAATAAATTCTTCTTGGAGAATAAATTCTTATATAGAAAAAAGTATTGAATTTTCAACGGATCTTTCCAAGAAAGTATACGACAATATGAATTTATCTGATATTTTCGTTATTTAAATAATGAATTATACGTATATGAAACATGGATATTATTTTTAAATTAAGTAACATTTCAATATGAATATATCATGAAAAGTTATGTTTATCTCCAAGAAAAACACGTTTGCTTTATTCATTGACCCATATTTAAAGTAAAGTGCTGCTATAATAAATAACAACTTCTTTTCTTTTATGTTGCCGTATGAGATGAAAAAATAATTGGGAACGTTTATGATATGACTACTTTTTAACACATAAGCAATATTGCATGAAAAAAGTTGTCGTATGACTTTTATGCAATGAGTTAAGTGAAAAAAAATTAAAGAATGTTTATCAATTACTTTATTAATAACACAAGATGTCATTAAAAGTACAGAAAAAAAATCTTGCTCCGTTGATTTCCTCTGAAAAGCTTTTGATCGTTAAAGCGAATCATAGCAATGAGGCTGAAAAAAAAGACTCTAAAAAGTAGAGCGTTTACTTGAACATGAACAATTAATAAATAAGCAAACGACAATAAAGTAGTTTTCTATCGTCATCATTGGCAACAAAACAAACAAGATGTGACATTTATTACTATTCAAGTTATTTTTCTTTGATATTTATTTTAATTTAAAATATGCACTGACGTCTGAAGTATCATCTACAGATTATAGATACATAATTATAGCTATGAATTTTTATTGATTATATATAATACTTAAAAAATATATTTCGTTCTCTCGTTATAATTATCATCTGCTTTGTTGCAATTAATTGTGATTTAAGTCATGAATGATGCCTAGAGACTGATAATGTTCATAATCATAAAGGCTGAAGAATCCAGCTAATATTCAAACTATATAATTTTTATTACAATTATAAAAATTTCATGTGATATTATTGTAACACTATTTAACATACAAATCTTCATAGTATGATACTTTTTTACATCTATTTTAATAAATCAATAAGAGAAAAAGAAGATTAATATGGAACATCTGTATATGTATCAATAAAAACTTCTTGGTAGAAGAAAAATATCATTTAGTCTGCTGTTTTTTGATAAATGTAGACACATTATTTTAACCCTTGAGTTAAAAACAAGAATATATAATTTTATCGAAAGTTTTCGAGACACAAATATCATGCACAAACTTTATCAGACAGATATTTGCATGGATATCTAGGTCATAAATTTTGTATGAATATATCAAAAAGACATCTGTGTGTATAGACTTGAAGCGACAGCGAAAAGTTTACCAACTACTAAATATCAGTACAAGATCATTATGCTCACTAAAATTAATACTGACGAAATTTTGCATTGACATGCAACACAAGACCTTTTTTATAAAAGATAAAATTCTTAATACTCTAACACTTTGCAAAATATTTTTAATATCAATAGATAGCCGACTAGTGAAAAACTTGTTTGAAAAGAGATCATATATAACTATAGATCTTATAACTTGAATAAGAGTTCCTTGTAAATAAATACAATGTTGCTATTCTCTGCACAATTCACTGAATTTTATATAATTTCAAAAAAATAACTATCCTACTGATAGTTATTTTCTTGTATCCTTTAAATTTCACCAAAAATTCTAGACAGTCCGCGTGATCAAAGAATATTTAATTATTAGTTCGTTAGTTTTGTTAATTACATATCTATTTCTGTTCATTATCTATTAAACCTTGTTTTTATGTCACATATGATAATTTTGATACAATTATCAGTCTATATAAAATTATCTCATCTGCACGACTTCTCTTTAGAAATCTTGAGTTTTTTTCAAAAACATGTAGGCGATGATCATATGATATTTATTTTTAGATATCCTCTATTATATTTTTTATGAACTGATTGTACATCTAACTTTTCATTTTATATTGAATAATGTCAGTCAACGTTAGTTGAGTTTTCGTTGTGAAACAATCTATTACATATTTATGTTAGATTCTAGCAATATACTTTCTGATTTACAAAACATTTAGATAAAAATTTATTTCTATCGTTTTAAGTCTTGATTTATATGACTGCCTGGCAATATCCATTGCTAAATAACCATGGAATAAGTATGAAAAACGAGTGTAGCGAACATCGTAAGAGGTGGAATATATATATATATGTAAGCTTTCGCATAATATTTTTACTGTTTGCTCTAATTTATAGAAGAAAAGATTAATGCATCACATGATACACTTTGAGAACTTTTATACTGTTGAGGTAGATTTTTATAAAGTAAATTATAGATATACTTTATTTGTTGTTCTTTTCACATGTTCTCTTGTTAATTAACTATACATGGAATATGATCTCAGTTTCATCTGTTTCACGCTTGACTGACATATAAAATAATATCTGGAAGAAAAACTAGAGAAAAATATTAAAGAAAATCTTAATGTCTATTCAACGTCTCTAATTATTAAAATTATCGTATCATTCATATATTATTCAAGGTACAGTAATACACTCTTATTTCTCAAATTCTAGTTTTATTTCTCATTAATCGAATCAAATGAATATAAATATTTCACAAACAATTTTTCCTGGTCTTTTAGATATCTATTTCCAAAAGAGCATATATTTTTGAATAATGCCAATAACACTTGCTCAAGCTCAACGAGCTATGTCTTCATATGGTTTATCTACATTTTATATTCTTGGTACAATTGGTAATTTTCTTTTAATATGCATTCTTATACAACGAACACATCGACAAAATTCCTGTGCACTCTATTTACTTTCAGCTACAATTGTTAATTTTATTCTTATACAATGTATTTTACCAGCCGGTATTTATTCTGCAGATCATGTTGATCCACAAAATATTTCACCTATTTGGTGTAAAATTCGAAGTTATTCATTCAATAGTCTTCTTATGTTATACCGTTGGTATAAAATGGCAGCTTGTTTAGATCGTGCAGCAATGTGTAATCGTCATGCACGGATACGATCATTTAGTAATGCTCGTGTTGCTCGTCGAACTATTTTAATTATAACAATTGTATGGCTTCTTATACCTATTCATTTAGCTGCTTATTTTCGAATTGAATCAAATCGTTGTATACCACAATCCGGTATTTATGCAAAATTTTTTAGTATGTATTCAATTGTAATATCTGGTTGGTCACCACCGATAGTAATGGCTATATTTGGATATATTGCATATAAAAATTTAAAAAAGGTAAAAATGAAAATGAAATTATGCCTATTTATATTTGTAATTTTAGGTAAAACCAAGAATTAATCCATCAACAGTTCCCACTGGTATTATTAATGACCACTTGAATAATAATATTGCGTCAAGAACATCAGATTTTCATTATATAAGTAAACGAAATCGACAATTATTATTGTTACTTATTTGTGAAATTATTTTATATATGTGCACAAATTTACTCTACTCAGTAAATATAACTTATTCAGCAATTACTTCAGATGTAAGTAAAAGTAGCGACAGAATTTATATTGAATCATTTATTGCTTATTTTTCATCACCATTTCTTATTATTATTAATAATTGTGCACCATTTTATCTTTATCTAATAATTTCAAGTAAATTTCGACATGATGTTCAAAAACTATTTACTTATTGTTGTTATTCACATAAAATTACACCAACACAAAATAATCAACTAACAACAATTAGCAAAAGAGGGACCATTATAAATCATAACAATGATCTTTAAACTTGACAAAATTTGTATTTTTCTGTAAATATTTATCTATATAAAATAAAATTTGTTTCATGAAATAATTAAATTAAAACTATTTGATTGAAAAATAAAGTTTTATTAAGCTTGAGATCAATATCTTATAAAATTGATCTTTCTCTATTTTTATTCAAGATGTTATTGCTAAAAAAAATACTACTAATAAAAAAATGATGTTATAATTTTTGTTTTCTAAACTAAAACTTGTTGCGTTATTTTATTTATCTTGTCGTGTTGGACAAAGAAGAATTTCTCGAATACAAACACGTTGTGGTTCTCCATAAGCAAACATAATACTACGAGCGATATCTTCACTTTGCATTGGTTGACCCATTTGACTTTTCCATGATTTATAATCATCCACAATTTTTTTATCTGTTGAATGACTTAATAATTCTGTTTCAACAACACCTGGTGCAATATTAACTAAACGTACATCATATTGTGCAACTTCTTCACGAATTTGTTCAGTAAATGCATGTACAGCAAATTTAGTTCCACAATAAATAGCATGATCTGGAAGTGTTTTTCTTCCAGCAATAGAACTTATATTAATAATAGTACCACCACGACGTTCAACTAAAATAAAAAAGTATGAAATAATAGAAATAAAGAAGAATATTATTTGATTTACTCATAGAAGGTAAAACAGCGTGAGTACCATTAAGAACACCCATTAAATTTACATCAAACATTCGTTGCCATTCTTCAGGATTTTGTGTTTGTACTTTACCTAGAAGCATCACACCGGCATTATTTACTAAACAATCAACAGGTCCATATTTTTCAACAGCTTTTTCAATGGCTTCTACAAGTTTAGGTCTATCTGTAACATCAACTTGTGCACAAATAACATTTTCAGGTAATTTTAAAGCTTCTAATCTGTCAATACGACGAGCAATAAGTAAAAGAGGATGACCAGCTTTAGAAAATGATCGTGCACAGGCTTCACCAATACCTGATGATGCGCCTGTTATAACTAATAATGGTTTAGCTGAGGTTGTTTCTGTTGAGGTAGAAGCCATTGTATTTGTGTTCTAATGCAGAAAAATAGAGCAAGCTAAATGTATATAAAACAAAAAATAAGATGGAATTTTATCTCTATGAAACTGATAAGAAAGAAAAAAAATACAAGGTTATATTTTGTTTTTTTTTCTCTTGTGACATTTTCGTATATGAAAGGTGTGCATAGGAGAAGAGTAGTTTGTAGAATAAACGAAATCTATCTCTTATGTTCCAGGTATATTCAAGATTGATAACGGTTTATATTGCTTATCAATGCCAAGACTATTAAACAATAAGACTATTGTTAGTCTGTAAACTAACTTATACTCTGTTTCTTCTTTTATTGTTTTCGAAACAACTAATGATTTGTGCAGATAATCAATCGAGAGGAATAGAGAAGAGATAGCACCACTACCAAACATCTCTTTCGTGTACCTCTCTAAACAGTTTTATCTGTTAACGAAAATTGATGTAAAAAAATAGAGCATAGAATAAATCAAAGAAAGAATAAGATATAATAACATCCTGAGAGTATAAGTGTGATAATGAGAACAAAGCCACTTACTCTCGCACCCAACACCCATTATCGTAACGATAATACAAACTCATACAGAAAACTTCGATGTTAATAGTCATTTGAAAGTGTTATAATTATTTTCTTTGATATAATAACAATGAATGTGGTTACTGAAAAATTAGTTATAGTATATTAAATATTTGTAAAAATTGAATATATTACAAAAATATATTTTATACAAAGAAAAGAAAAGTTTTAGTCTCGAATTAATTGATAAACCAATAGTACTTTATTTTGATGTGATAGGTATAAGACGACGTGGTTCACTATTCTCAGTAGATTGTAGTGGAGAAACATACGAATAATTTGTATTGATTGGAGAATTTGGTTTCGATAATATTCGCGGTGTAGTACTGATAGTCGTTCTTGTTGTTGGTTTCATTTCTGAAATATATCCTAAACCTACTCTTGAAGGTGCACGTGATATAGTTCTATGTAAATCTGAACGACATATTGATGTTCGTGTTTCTCGTATTGGTATTTGTGTACGCATGTCATTAAGCGAATATGAACTTAGATTACTTGTTGTTGTTAATATTGTTTTTGATCTTGAAAGTGATGATGGTAATAAACGTGAATTAGTTACAGGAATTAATGGAAATGAAAGGCGATCTTTTTTACGTGGAGCCTGTTCTTTTATTTGTTTGTTTGTATCTACTGTATCAATAATACGATAACGAACAGTATAACCAGAAAAACGAAAATATTTTTTTCCTGTTTCATCAATTGATTTATCATTTGGTGATTGAATACTTTCAAGTGTTTCTTGAATATGTGATTTACATAAACGATCAACAGCTGGTGGTGGCGGTGGAGGCGGTGTTGATGGTGGAGGTGGCGTAGATGCAGGTAACTCAGTATCATCAGCCACGTTAACAGCCGATGCTTCTTCAGCTTCTTTTTCTTCCTGTCGAAGTAGTAAAAGAGCAGCACGTTCTTCTTTACGTTTTAAATAAGCTTGACGAAGCTCATCAATACGTGGTTTTACACGTCGTTGTAAAAATCGTTTTGTACATGGTTTTATATTCGTACCAACTATATCAATTAAATCAACAAGATCCATCATACCTTCGTCATATGCTAAATCTCGTGATGATAGATTACGTTCTTGAATAGGAACTTTCGAACTTGTATTAAATTCAAGAAGTTCACTAGTTTGATCAACATTTATTGCTAATTGATCAATTAAATATTCAGCTACTTTATGTTGTTTAGCACGAATAGCTGTCATGAGAAGAGATTCAGTATACTATAATATAATGAAAAAAATTTTAAGGATTCATTTTTTTATTTGATTAGTTTGTTTTTTTCTTCTTACATGTGTCATATTTGGATTAAAATATGGTGTTTTGTCAAATAATTCATCTAATCGTTCAATAGAACCTTCTTCCGTTGCTTTAAAAAATTCCTACAATATTATTTTCTATTTATTAATAAACAATATGTAGCTTTCTTTTTTTTTAACCTTGATTTGTTCTTCAGTAAGAAGGTTTTCTTCCGGATCAACAACATCTGATGCAGTAATTTCTTCTTGCTAAAAATCAATCAATAGATTATAAATTCGAAGAATATTTTAAATAGAATCAAGCATAATTTACATACTAATTCATTTGATCCATTTTCTTCTACAATGACAGTTACTTTTGGTTTTTTTTCATCAACTGTAGAAGCCAAAGGAGGTTGATTCGTATCGTTAACCGATGAAGGCATTCGACGAGTCGCTTTTTCTATATTAACATATAATTTTAATTAGTATTTTTTGTTAGAAATTTTATTATAACTATCTTACCGTTCATAAGAAAAAATTATTAAACGTTCTTAGTTGTCTCAAAAACATAAACTAACCAAGCTATTTAATTGTCATACTCACACAGACAAACATATATATTCTTTCACTCTTATTGCTTTCTGCACTCTCTCGGCAACAATCGAGCAAAGTAAATAATACAAAAAAAAACTGTTTTCATTCGCTCATTTACCCCGTTTGTTCTTTCTTATATTTAAAATATAAATTTAAAACATAGAAAGCATCCCCGCAGGATATATTTGAAGACAGTTTAAAAACTTAAAGAAGATTTTTTATCTTCTCAAACCAATTATGTATAAAATATCGAAATGAAATTATAATAATTTTCATAAAATATCCTATGAATGTCATTTAATTGACGATTCTTTTGAATTACTCATGATTTTTAATATTAAAAAAAAATCATTTAACATCAAATTTATGACAGGTTTCTCGCGCACAAATACTGATGATTGTATATGACATTTCTCTTTCTTTTTTGTCTGTGTCGTGCAAAAATATGAGAGATGTAATAAATAATTTTATGAAATTGTTGTAATTTGATCGTTGTTGTTAAGGATTTTTATGTCATCTTTATACTCTGCAAAAGTCTAAAATATTTTTTGACGTTTTGATTTATCAATTATTTAACTAGTATCAACATATGTCTATAGAATATCATAAGATTCTATTTGATAAGGCGCAGAAGACGAAAAATTATCTATTGGTTCGCCTATGTGTGTATAACGTGACTATCTCTCTTTATTTACTTATCTATAGATAAAAATAATGTTTATAAGGCATATTATTTATCAGTCTTTTCATCTCTTACAATCTAATAATGGCTAACGCGCTCTTTGCCGGTTCATCACCTCTTGAAGAAAGTTCTATTATACCCACACGTAAAACATCTCGTGCTAATTCAACCTTAGCAAGTCGACACTTATCAACTTCTCATGTATCACCCGTTGTTCATGCACCATTTATGACTGAAGCCTTAGCTGAAGCTCGTGCTGGTCTTAATGAAGGTGGTATACCAATTGGATGTGTTCTCGTTCGAAATGGTCAAATAATTGCTCGTGGACATAATCGTCGTATTCAACGTAGTTCAGTTATTTTACATGCTGAAATGGATTGTCTTGAATCAGCTGGACGACAAACAGCAGCATTTTATAAAGAATGCACAATCTATACAACACTTTCTCCATGTGCAATGTGTTCAGGTGCTATTCGTCTTTATGGTATTCCACGAGTTGTTATTGGTGAAAATAAAACATTTGTTGGTGATGAAACTCTCCTTCAAGCAAATCATGTACATATTGATGTACTCGATTCGAAAGAATGTTACGATCTTCTTCAAGATTATATTAATAAGAATCATTCTACTTGGTATGAAGATATTGGTCGTGAATAACATGGGAGTAAAGACAAAGAAAAGAAACGGATTATATTTATTTAAATAAAAGTATATTGATATATGCAAAGCTTTTTCATTATATTTGTGAATAAATTTAATATCGTTAGATATAATCAATTTAGACGATTTTATTTTAATCTTAAATATTATTAACTAGAAGTTAATGCTTTAATAAGTTCTTCATAATTAATTTGTCCTGTATTATTTTTATCAGCTGTACCTAATAATTCCCATATTTGTTGTTGTGATAATTGTCCTCCATCACCAAAAACTTGTAAAAGATTCATAACTTCATCGACAGGAACTGTACCTGTTCCTTTCGGATCAAGTACCATACGAAATGCATCACGAACATCTTGTTCACTTCCAAATGTATCTGTACCGAGTGCATTTGTTCGTCGTTCAATTAAATTAATAAAATCTAATGATGTAAATTTACCACGTGGATCAAGATTAGATTCTCGAAGGACATTTGGTATTTCATTATCATTTATTGATTGACCAAGACTACGTAAAAGTAATGGTAATTCAGATGAATTTATTAAACCATCACAATCTTTATCAAATAATATAAATGCTTCTTCATATTCCGCACGACGATCACTACTTAATTCTTGCTGTTGATCCTTGTCATTCATGATTTATATTGAAAATAGTGTGTGTGTGTTTGTATGCAAATGTATATACATGATAGTTATTGATGCATAACGAAAGTCAATAAGAATAATGATTCATATTATGATCGAATCAGAATATTCTTTTTGTTTGATTTATATTTATCGAATATTTTAGAAAAATCTATAGAAAGAAATTGTATATATTTTGTAATCGATTTAACAGTTTTTATTAAACAAGATCGTGTAAAAAAAATATATAACGGGATAAAAACGGTATTTATAACAGAAAAAAAAACCTAAATAATCCTAAACTTATTATTGTTCTACAACATGCATCTGATGTTCACCAGTTGCATTATTCATAACAATCATAGTTAGTATCTGTTGTTGTTTACTATTTTCACTAGTACAAATATTTGATATAAATTCATCTTGTCGATCATTATTATGTCGTTCAACTTGTTTTACTTCACCGGTTCGATCATCCATTAATGTTAAGGCATTTGGTGTAACTTTATATCCACCTATAATTAACCATTGATGATCATCAATAGCTGCTAACATACAACGTTCCATAAAATTAAATGCACCAATACCACAACCAATTGTTAAACCACGATGAGTACGTGTCATTGTAGTATAATCAAATAAATCTACACGCCATTGATATGTTTTACGTTGTCGTAATGTCATACCAATTGAATAACCATTTGTACGTATACATGATATTCGATCATCTACATTCGTTTCACGTATTTCACTACCAGATAATGTTTGAATACGTTCAAAATTTGGTAATGATAAACGCCATATAGATTCAAGACCATCGGATAAAACAACAAATAGTTCATTACTTAAATACAAGAAAAGAATATATAGAGCTAATTTAATCAAACAATGATCTCTATTGAGTTAATAACTTAACAAAGAAAAAAAGAAGAAAATCAATATACTAACTTATGACAAGTAATTGACCAAAAATAATTATCTTTTTTATTGGCTACATTAATATTATCTATTGATGTTAATTCATCTTTTTCTACATTGTACATTTGTAAACGATCATAACCAGCAATTAAAAAAGCATTTAATGTACTTGACCATGCTAAATCAAATGCAGCAAATGTTTTTATATCGATTACACGTTTTTCATTGCCTTGTATATCGAAAAGTCGTAATGAACTTGAACTTCCACCACCAACTAATATGTATTCATTTGATGAAGCTATTGCTAACCATTTTTCATCTTCAACATCAGGTAAAGTACATTGACGTGTTGTTGAATAACGACTTAATTGTTCTAAATTAATTTTACGTGTTACACGATTTATTGTTGAACGTGAACGTGGCTTGACTGGTGGTGGTGTTCGAAGTATAGATGTTAATTGTCGATTTGTACCATTTGATAATGGTGATTTAGTTAATTTAATTTCCATATTTTTTTCAAATTTATTTTTATGTTCACATAGATCTTGTTGATTATTATTTGATAATAAATCGAAAGTCATTGCAATAGGCATCTGAAAAGTCTAAATATAATCTTTTTTTTTAAATAGAATTGAATTCATATTCATCTGACATTGTAGAAAATAAACAGAATAAACTTTGACTAACAAACAAAAAGTGAATACATATTTTTACAAAAAATCAAGTTCTTCATCATCAATTACTGATGGATGACTTGGTGTTATTATTTCATCCGTTTGACTTATAGCCGGCGATCGTCGTTTTAATGATGGAGTATTTTCGCTTTGGTCTTCATTATGAATATCATCATCCCCATCATATTCTAAGGTTCGTTTTTTTGAAAGATCGAATTTAACTTTCAGATCTATATTGGTAGCCCATTTTAATTTAGGTCGAATTTCTAGAAAATATAAAGATCAGGATAAAAATCAAAGAGGGGAAAAAAGTTGATCTCCGGAGATCTACTATTTTCCCTTCGATAAGAACAAGAAATACGAGTCAAAATCAAATATTTGAATACATAGAACAAGAAAGACAAAATTCCTACCGGGTAGTGCTGATATCATCGTTGTTTTTTTAACAATTTGTTTTTCTTCAATTTTATTTGTATTCGATGATCGTTTTTTCGTACTTTCAATCATATCTAATATAATTTCACAATTTTCATTATGAACATATTTTGCTTTTAATCCTGGTATAACATAACACACTGTTGTATAAGATGTAAAATGAAAATCTTCTTTTAAATATTCATCTATAATTAATTGAAGAATAAGTCTTTGAATATCGATTTTAATCATTGTTTTTATTGTTAATTGTTCAACTAATTTCAATGGTGTTATACGTTGTTTGTCATGATTTTGTAAATAATCAATTATAATTAATGCTTCTTCACGACAATTTCTTTTGCTTATGTATGTCGGTGGTCGAGTACATATATCACACATATGATTACAATCATGTGATTGCCATACTTCATCAAAATATTTTGCAATTAATTTTCGACGACATAGTGATTCATTTAAACAATATGAGATCATTGAATAAAGATTTTTAAGACCATTACCAGATTTATCGGAAAATGCCATTGGTGCTAAACGAAATACATCACCAAATCTATTCGAAATAAAGAATAAATTACACAAAAATATATGTAAATATTCATTTTACCGAAAGAAAAGAATACAATATGATTGTTTATCATCACGTCCAGCTCGACCACTTTCTTGATAAAAGTTTTCAATAGATTTACTTAATGAATGATGTATGACAAAACGTACATCCGGTTTATCAATACCCATTCCTACAAAAATTTTAAGATATGTTTTTTTTTGTGTTTAAATAATAAACAAACCAAAAGCAATTGTTGCACAGATAACATGAAGTTGATTTCGAAGCCATTTAGAATGAACTTGAGTACGAGAAAGAGCTGAAAGACCAGCATGATAACAACCAGCTTTGATGCCTAGAGTTATTTTATTTTGAATAAAAGTAATTTATTTAAATAAAATATTATACTTACAGTGTCTTTGTAATTCTCTACATACCTCTTCGGCATCTTTTTGTGATAAACAATAAACAATACCTATTTTTTTGTAAAATAAAAAATAAAAATTGAATTAAAAAAAAATTAATTTCTACCTGATTGTTGATCAAATCGATGTTGAATACAATTTACAAGTTCATGAAAAGCATCTTTTCCAACATCAGATTTATGTAAGACTTCATAAAAAAGATTTTTTCGATTAAATGGTGCTCGAAATAAAATACAATTCGGAATTTTAAGAATTTGTTTAACATCATTAATAACTTTTATTGTTGCGGTTGCTGTTAAACCTAATATAGATAGTTTTGGAAATTGTCTTTTAAATATTGATAAATATTTATAATCTAAACAAAATTAATTACATTTAATTAAATTAAAAAAAATGTTCAAACCTGGTCGAAAATCATGTCCAAATTGTGAAACACAATGAACTTCATCAACAATTAATCTTGTAAATCTATTTGTTTCATAGAGTTTCTGTAATTTCACCATTATTGTTTTACTTTTTGCAATTTTTTCTAAAAATAAATTAATTTTATTTATTTAATCTTTTTTGTTTTTATTTACCTGGTGTTAAGTAAAGAATTTTTAATGTTGATTCTATTGTATCTTTACCATCAAGTATACGCATAATATCTGTTTGTTCATCACGTGGTGTTGCTGAATTTAATGCACGTGCATCGATATTTAAATTTTTTAATGCATATACTTGATCTTCAACAAGTGATAATAACGGTGAAACAACAATTGTTATACCTAAAAATTTTAAAAATAAAAAAAAATAAATCAAATTTCTTTTTTCTTACCATCGGATACAATTGCTGGTAATTGATAACATAATGATTTACCACCACCAGTTGGCATAATTAAAATACAATCATAGTTAGATAGTGTAACATTGATTGTTTCAAGTTGCCATTGTCGAAATGAATTTATTTTGAAAATTTCTGTTCGAGTTTTTTCAACCTTTGAACTCCATGAAAAATCTAATTAACAAGAGAAATATTTAATAAAATAAAATTTATTTTTTTTATTTCTACCTGTTCGTTGCCATTGATCAATTAAATTAGTATTTAATGTTGATTGATGATTTATTTTAATTGAATCTTTTAATTTTTGTTTTTGTTCAATTAATTGCGAACGTTTTTGACGAAGACGAACAATTTCTTCATCGATTTCTAATATTTCTAAATCAATAGCATCGATTTCATTATCTTCATTAGTTTTATTAATTGAATAACTAAAGAAAATATTTAAAGTTAAATAGAGTGAAAAACAAAGAAACTTTGCGCTTTCAGTTTACTTTCGTCCTTGTTCGAATTGCTCGGCAGCAGTGGTGAGTTCAAGGTCATCGAATACATCATTTTCGTCGTCTGAAACCACAACACAATCCATTTATAGATGAAGAAGACTCTATTTCAAATCGGACGGATTGAAAGAATTCAATGAATTGTTTTTCTTATGGATGATATATGTACCAATAGAAATAATTAGAATTAAAATACATCGAGAAAGAGGGTGGTCTAATCATATGGATGACTATGAGAAAAATGTAGTACAAACAGAATAGATTCAGTTTTATTGTCTATATTTTGATTCTCATAGTCAGCTGTGATATCATATGGTTGACTATGAAAGAAATGTAGTCCAGATAAGATAAATTCAGTTCTATTATCTATTTATTTGATTCTCATAGTCAGCTGTGAAATCATATGTTGGCTAAAATGTAAATTATTGATGAACTAAAATAAGAAAGAGAAAAATCTTTGTAATATTGATCTTGAAAAAAGTTTTGTTTGAAACGTAATGAAGAACTGTATATATTTTCTTTGTATTGCAATCGAAATCTATAACTGTAACCTTCAATATCTCCGTTCAAAATGCATATTCAATGATTTAGTTAAATATTATATAAAGTTGATAGTTTTTATTTTTACTAACATTTCGAATAGAAGATATTTATATATTCAAGACATCCACGTTTTATCAAGTGTATTCTAAAGAAATATATTATAGAGAAAATTTGACAGTAAAAACTTTAAACGGTTCTCTCCTTATCGATAATGTCATCAGTAATTTCTTAAGAAGTACTGTATCCTAATTCCTTTAATGTTGTAAAGACTTCAGCTCTCATCAAATTCAAAAAAAGGCTGAAATTTCATTAAATCTACATGCTTTGTTATTTTCTAGAGTAAATTTATTATCGATTTTTTGTACAATAAACATAAAATCATTATCGTTATCCGATTGGAAAGTTAATAAGATAATAGGGAATTTTATATCTGAGAATACTGAAGAATTATTGTATTAAAAGTCTCAAAATGGGCGCAGTATCATTTGTGGTAGGTTATATACACATTTATGTCTTAATTAAATGAAAAAAAAGGAAATTTTGTGTTTTGTTTTAGTTTTTGAAAATCTGTATGTGTAGTAATCAATATGGAGGATTATTAATGATTATGGATTGGTGAAAAACAAAGCATGACTTCGACTGATTGCCTTGTACTTTTCTATTCTGTAAGTCTTGTTTGTTCTCTTGGGTACAATAAAAATCGTACTCTCTACTCTCCCATTCACGTTTTTCTTGTTAAAATCAATATTGAATAAAAGATTACAAAGAACAAAAGAAAGAAGAAGAAAAAAACAAACGAGAACAGAAATATATTTTGTTGCTTTCGGCTACCCATTTCATGATATTTATAATTTAGATAAAGCTTCTTTCGTTAACACCGGGCTTATGTAGCACATTAGACATATTAACTATGTACCACACTTGCCAACGGTGCATAAAGAAAAAAGACTTATCAATATTTCATACGCGCTCTTTCATTTCTTATTCAGTTAATTTTTCAGATTGAATGTCAGATTTATCTAATACAACTTCGTATGAATTATGTGAAATTAAAGAAATATCACCTTTATATCATCTTTTTAATGAATATAAAAATCAAGAAATGATGTTAACAGTAACATTATTCATTCTATTAATGTATTTAGAAGAATTTTTATTCGTTTTTCGTAAACAAAAAAAACAAAGATTTTATTCTTTTGTATTTCTTTGTTTTCATTCCTTAGAATATTTACTTGTTCGCTTGGGTTATGCACGACCACATATTATTCAAACAATAATTTTTGAAAAAAATGATTAAGTTAAATAAACTGTTATTGATTTCTATCCTATAATTAACACTAAAGTGTCAATTCTCATCCTCGGAAGATGATGAAAGTATTGGCGGATCAGATAATTTTCTTTCTTTATCATGTAATGATAATAAATAAATGGAAATGAAATCAAATAATAATTGTCGTTCAGCTAGATTTTCATAATATATTTCAAGTAATTGAAGATAATAAAATACAGTATAGATGGGCCATTGGGTTTCAGTACGATCTTGAACTAAAATAAAAGAAGAACTAAATAATATTTAGAAATTTATTCATTTACCAAGTAGACGAATTTCATCTGAAGTAAGACGAATCCATTCATTGAATTCGTCATCGTCATCATCAGTAGAATTAATATGTGCAAGAAACGAAGAAAAACTCGATGTTAATGATGAATTTTTAGTTAGATTTGTATCATTAAGAGGTAAACGAGTTTTCGATATAATATGTTTTATATCTTGACTTAATTCTTTACGAGTTTCGTCGAATGTACCAACCTATAACAGAAGTTTTGTTTCGTAAAGAAAATATCGCGAAGAACATATTTACCATGGCTCCGATCAGCAATGGATTTAGTACATAACCACCAAAGAATAACCAACCAACAATATATAGATCAATAATAAATGGACTAATTTTTAATGAATACATTTCTTCTTTTATTTCAAACCATTCATCTTTAGTAAATAAACGAAAGACTGTAATAAATGCTCGAGGTACTATTAAAAAATAAATGAAAATATAACAAAATATCTTCATTTAATTATTAGTTAAACCTGTTCCAAATAATAAATTTATCTTTTTCATATCTTCATTTGATGTTGTATTTAATCCAAATTGTGTTAAATAAAGACCAATAAGTGCAAAAAAATAAATAAGTACAATAGTTAAGAGAACAACATGAAAAATAAGTTTCACTGAACGACTAAGTGCATGAAAAACAATTCGTACTTGTGTAAAACGAAATGCTATTTCTAATATACGTAATATACGTAACATACGTAATGTTCGTAATAAAGATAATATTGTTCCATAAGACCTATATAAGAATACAATCGTATCTTAGACATTTCATTGTATAAAATTAGAGAGAATAGAAACAGAAAAAAAATCTATCTTGAAGGTATCCATCAAACACGCAGTACTAATGTCCACAGGAATATTTCTATTTCATTCTTAATGATCCTTGGCTAATAGATAGCTCAAATTGGAATACATTGTAGTATTCCATATGGAATGAATTTGCATTCGAACAAAGTCATCTAACGTAAGATACTAAGATAAGATTCTTCTACTATTCATTTCGAGTTTATCATCTAACATACCGAATACGTTGTAAAGTATCTGTTGATTTTTGATTATTAATATTACTAGCATGAAATTTTCTATTTATTTCTAAATTTGTATTATCTTTTGTATCAATATAAATTTCACTAATTAGATTTATCAAAGAAATAATCGTAAGAGTAAATTCAAGAATATTCACAGCTGAATACCAAAAATTTGTAAAATTATCTAAAAGAAATTCTTTTATTTCTCTCTACGATTAAAATAAATATTTACCAATCCATTTGAATATGATTTCAAATAAATAAATAAATACAATACAACGATTTATAAATACTGCAATATTATAAATAATAGATTGTAAATCATTTGGTGAATTATATTCTGATGTAATAGCAACACTAATCTGTAATTAATTTTAATTACAACAAAACAATCAGATTAATACTTACAGCATCGAAACAAATAACTATACTAATAAACCATTTAAAAAATGAACTATGAATAAAACAATGAACGAGATATTTCAATGCATTCCTCGATAAATAACGTTGTAGATTAGAATCCATTGTTGATTGTCTTGAGTTTGTCGATCGATTATTTAAATTATCTGATGTAATAGATATATTACGTTTTTCATTTGAAGATGCAAGTAACTAAAAATAAGTCTATATTTTCGAGCTGTTTTGTTCGATTAATAAGCAATATACTTGTTCACGAAATTGTTTATAATTTCGAAATTTTAATGTTGCATTTCTATTAAGATTTATTAAAGCATCATTAACTTGATCTAAATTCGATATTTCATCACCTAATGCTTGTGTCATTGATTCATTCGAAATATCATTAACGAGAAAATGAAATAAATGTTGAAATTTCGAATGAATCAAGCGACTTTCAGATGAGATAAAATCATTCGAATCTGTATGATGTGATATTAATGAACTTAATCCTAATAAATCGTTAATATCTTCTTGTTTATTATCTGATAATGATAACATCGATATACATTGATGAATATATTCATTTGTACAATCTTTATCATTTTCATTAAGAACTTTCATATGATCAGTATTCATGTATTCTATTGAAAGCAATTCTAATTATCGCTTTCATAATCTGATATTTAATGTAATTTAAGAAAGATTTTTTTTGATCATGATTCAATGTTATAATTAATAATACATTGTCATCAAGGTTCAAAAAGACAAAGAGCAATCAATATTTCCATATGGGAATAAATAAATATTGTTCTATATTTGTTTTATATCTTAGATTTGCATTATATTGATTATTTTTCTCATGCAATTACTTCGATCATAACGAGATACACAGAACAGATGATTGTCTGGCAAATTTTATGAGTTTATTAATTCTATCAAATTATTCCTAATTAATATTTATAGAACAGGACAATAGGATCGTGGTATCTGTAAACGTCAATTTAATAACCAGAATTTTTGCTTTTATCAGTCGATACATTGTCGAATGAAATTCATGTTTAATATTTGAGATAAACGCGAATAATGAATAATTTTTTTCAAGTGGCAAACGTTAATACTAAATGTCTATTTTTATTCGTTCTACTTGTCAGAATAACATTGAAAACTACAATACGAATTATTATACTAAAGAAAAATTTTGTTATAAAACAAACATTCAGTTTTCATCTAGAAATTTGATATAAAAATAATCAACATCTGTTTTTTTTCTTAGGAAAACGTTTGATATTAACATGTGTAAGAACAATCACTTTAATTATTTTCTGTAAAAATCGAAATATAGTCAAGTACTCTAAACTTTCTATAAAGATCACTTCTATTTAATCAATTTGGTATTGATAATAAAAAACAGTGCACCGCATCAATAGTTGTAATCATGTTAAAGTTCAATCGTTTCTATGTTATTCTTATTTTCTGCCGTCAATTGTCATAAGCAATGACAATAACATCATCAAATCAGTTAACACTTGTCGAGACCAAGAAAAAAAAGAACCGATGAATAGAAACAGTAATTTCTTTTCTTTTTTTTTCTCCTCTATTTTATAATATAATTCCAAATAACCTGTGAATAATAATTATTGACATTTACTTAAAAAGATCTTAGATAAAAAAACGTATAATGCTTGCTGCTATACATTACCGTATTTGTCAATCGTTTAATATTCTTCAAGCAACTATTGTACGTCTTACATTTTGTATACACAATATAATAGCAACATATTTTCTTTATGATGATATTAAAGATTATTGGTGTTTACTTAATTTATGTGGAACAATTTTTATATTAATTGAACTTGTTGTTACAATTATTGAACGACAAGGACTTGAACCAAAATGGTAATAGACATTGATTACTAAGTAATATAATATAGTTTTGATATTTTTATTATATTAGGTTTTCACCTTCATTTCTTATTTTTATTCTTACATCGATGCCATCTTTATGGTTACTTGAAATGCGTCGTGTTGCTCATCGACGATTAAGTTTTAATCAAAATAATAATATTACAAATACAGCACCATTCGATCAATTGATACTTCGCATGGGTAATGATGAATTTGATTATAGTCATGCACTACCATATAATGTTTTAAAGACAACGGTAGAAAATAAAAACTCCTTTTTTGTTTTTTTTAGAAATATATTTCTGTTTATTTAGTTTCAAATGAATGTTAATTTAGATACGAAAATTATGGGTCTTGAATTATCACTTCTTCTTCTAATTGTTATTGGTCGTTGGGTATTACCAAAAGGTATAACAAGTCGTTCAAATTTATCTCAACTTCTTCTAGTTTATATGTCAATTGCATCGGATATTGTTGATTTATTAACAATATTTAATGAAGATCATGTTCTTGCTTCACAACGTATGTTATTTGCAACATTAATTGTTTTATCATGGTCATTATTACAATTTGCTACAAATATGTCAGCAGCTGGTAAAAATAATCGTTCAACACATTCAGATAGTTTTCGTAATAGTGCAAAGAAACGTCGTCGTCGAGGAATGTTTCTTTTGTATCCAATGCAACGTTTATTTGAAAATGATGCATGGTATTTATATGAATTAAATTTAATGAGTTGTTCAGCAACACAATTAGCTTTACGTCTTGTTGCTGTGATTAAATTTGATGTTCATAGTTATTCAACATTATTTTTTACATGTAAAAATGGTATTATTCTATTTTTACAATTTTATCGTCTTATTGCCGTATTAACTGAACATGATAGTTATGATGTTGGATCATTATATCAAACAACATCAAATACTGATCCACAAATACAAACAGTTGCTAGTAGTATAAAAATAAAAAATGAATATAGTTCAAAATTATCAACACAAGAAGATATATCATTAACTATGTAATTATTTATTTTATTATATCCATTAAGGACTACATTACTTATGAATTTTTTTTTCTCTAAATGACAAGGACGGAACGAAAGACACGTCAGAAACACACATAGTATTATTTACAAATATTTTTTTTTGTTTGCTTCTTTCTTTTTAATACACTAGATATCTAATAATTGTACGCTACAATAATGTTGTTTGTGTATATTTGTGAGTAATTTTAATTTAGATAAGATCGAACTAAAATAAAACAATATATACATATATTCGAGAAATGTTTTTTTTCTACATACAAGATCTTCTTCTTCGCCATCTTGTTCATTAGTTGTTGCTGCATTAGCAAGAGTTTCTGCTGGTGTTTCTTCTTCAAGAAATTTCGTTGCTTCAACAGGTATAACATTCGATTCAACACATTCTTCACTGGTAATTAAACTGAATTTTTCTAAAAAGAAAAAGTATTACATGATTTCATCTTGAAGGTGAATGTGGGCGTTTGAAAAAAGAGAAACATTCACAGCCGAACCAACTCACACATCTGTCCACACCCACACCTATAGCCAGAGACTCGCCTACTACTCAGATCGCCATCTTCACCCGCCTCTATAACCAGAGTTGACTACTATTCAGAGCGCCATCGTCGCCCACATCTTTCAAATGCTGACAATCAATTATATTCTTATAAACATACCATCAACAATTTTTTTCCAAAAATCTTTTCGTCCGTCAACAGTTGATGCTTGTTTTTTAAGTAATAATTCTAAATCATTAAATATTTTTGGTTCTAATTTTTGAATACATGTATCACGTAAACATTGTAAACATTGAAAAGCTTTTTCGAATAAAGCATCACCATGAGAATTATTAACAAGTTCAAGTATGAGATTACACATTTGTTTACATATTTCAATAAATGATGGTGAACCTTGTTCCATTAAAAGTTTGAAATCTTCAACTGGTGTTAATGTACCAACATTGCGTAGAGCTGCTTTCTTTTTCGCTGCTGCTTGAGCTTCAAATGATGCTGAATCCATATTTGTTATTGATGAATCTGTTATTGGCTCTTCAATATTTTCATTTTCATCAAGACGAGGTTTTTTCGTTGAACTAAATTCAATATTAACATCATATTATTATAAATTTAACACAAATTTTTCTTACCTATCAATATTACCAAAAAGTGCATCACCTGTAGTAATTTTCTGTCGCCGATCTGTATCTCGAAGAGTAAATTTTTCATGAATTGTATCTAATGTTCGTTTACACTTAGATGCAACTGATCGTAATAATGTATCATTCATTTCCATAATTGTATTTGATAATGATAATGGTTCATCAGGTGTAACAGCACGTCGAGCAATAGACTAAAATTTAATTTATAATTCGATGAAAAAAAATGAATAGAATATATGAAAATTAACAAACTTGAAACATTCGTTGAACATATGGATTAAAAACATATTCAGGTCGAAGTGCTTCCTCGCCGCTAGAAGAAAAAAACATTGAAATTTTCTTTTTCTGTTTGTTATCGAAATAAATTTATACTTTCGATCAGCATGAGTTAAATCCATTGATGTTATTAAACTATCAATACATTTTAATTGTTCATCACTCGGTTGATTTCTTTTTGTTCCATCAAGATTTTCAAACTCAAATTCACGTAAATCTTCAGCAAATGGTAATTTAACATAATACATACACTAAAAATAATTAATTTTCTCAGTAACGAAAATTATATATATTTTTCTATGTATTTACAATATGATCATGTGCAATATGTGGACGTATAAAGCCAAGTTCAGGTGCACTTCGTTCACTAAAACATTTACGAACAATAGCAACTGTATTTGTATCGTACATGGCTTGAACAAGACCAGCAAATGCTTGAGCTTCTTCCTAAAATTGAATGGAAATTATTTATCACTTTTCTATGCCTATCAGATACTATCCACACAAACTTATCGATTCTGTTTTTTTAATTAAAACTCATTAATTTATATTTGATGAATACTTACTTCAAAACCTGGTTCAGAAATGACTTCATAAACTGTATCACCTAAGTAAACACTTCGTCGCATCTTAAACAAATCAAAAGATATAGAATTAAATAATATATTATTGAATTAACATACCATACTAGCATCTGAAAATGCAATAACTGAAAAACATTTTTCACTTTGATATTTCATTTCATCAAGTGTTTCTTTATTAATAGGTACAAATGTCGTACCATAACGAAATCCATCAGTTAATTCTTCTTTTTCAATTTCTTGATCTTGTTCATCTTTTGTATAACGTCCACGATCCACTTTAATTTCTGTTGTTGGATCACGTGCATAAACTTTTTTTAAACGAAATATTGCCGGTTTATTATCCTTAACCTATTTGAAAAGAATTAATCTTATTAATAAATTTTGTTTTCAACACTTTCAAACCTGAATATAAGTACAAATATGTAATTTAAGATCGGCTAATTGTAATATATATTTTGTTGCAGTTGGTTTAACTACTTTTGCTTGATGAACACTAAGAATTGTTAATGCTTCTCTAAAAAATAAAAAATATATTTTCAGATCGATTAATCTTTCTCTTTTTTGAAATGAATATACCGAAATGTAAATAAAGTTCCTTCAGTTGTATTAACAATTTCACCAATAACTCGAATACCAGTTTGTTGTTGTTGTGTTAAAGGTTTTCTTTGACTTGAATGAGAATGACCATTTGTTGTTGGACGATTCGAATCTGTATGATCATCACCATTTTCATGTCCATTTGTTTGTGCTGATGAATCTGAAGGATTATTTTCATCAGTTTCATCTTCTTCATCTGCTTGACCCCATGTAGGTCCAATAGCATCAACAATAATATCTTGTCGTTGAAGTGAATCAAGAATTGTTTTAAGGCTATGATCACTAAATGTTGTTGCAGCATTTGTGAATAACATAACACGTTTTGCTGCAAAACCATGTTTTCCTCTAAAATTCGAATTTTTGTCATCTTTATCTCTTTAAAAATATTTTCTTCTTACTCAGTCTCACGACGAAGATGATCAGCAGCAACAACGACTGCATCAACCACTAGAAAATTCAATTGAATATTAAAAGATATACATTTTAAATGTTTTTATATTACTTACAATCAGCAGGATTATTCCCGGGTTTAATTTTTTGTATTTCTTCAAATAAATGCCAATTAGCTATTGAAAGTGGAAAAACAACATTTATATTTCGATAATTATCTTCATCAGCTAAATCATTATTTGATTCATCAGCACCATATAAAATTAATGCCAATTCATCTTTACTCTCTTGAAACATCTATTGAAATACAAAGGAATTTATTATTTTGTTATAAATATTATTTTCGTTAGATCAAGCATTTGTTATAGTATTAGAAGCATCTTTAGAGAAAAGCAATATCTCATTACCTTATAATTGTTTTGATCTATACATAGTCAACATATGTATGCAGATTTTGTAAAGAGTCATAATAATATCTCATAGAGACTATATTGGTAGACTAATTTAGATCGATTTCATTGCTGCGATATGTTGTTCTCAAACTATCAAATTTTTCAACACAGATTAGGTCGATAGATTCGTAACACAATTATAAGCCTTCGTTTTCTTCTCACATTTTTATTAATGTCAATATCTTTAATCCAATGAGTCAAAACAAAGTTGAAGTTCTCAAGTACTCGTGTTATAAGCATAATAGAAACACTCGCATATTATTGTATCAAAAGCAACAAAAATATTACTTGGAACAGATATCAAAAGATGTTTATCTGTTGCTATCAATAAATTAATAAAATATATAGTGAATCATTATACACTGAAGATAACATACTTTTCGTTGAACGATCATTTGAAGAATATCACTTGCCATCTGTAATGGTGAATCATATCCAGGTGCTGCCTCACACATACCAGCACCGACATCCACAACAAGTGCTAATGCTTCCTACAAATAAAACCATTAAAACAATTATGCTATATTTAAACTATCTAATTACCTTATTAGAAGCCATTTTGTTAATATATATATATTTTTTCAAAGCACAAAAGATCTAGAATTATTTATTAATTTGATAATACATTAACAATTCAAATTTTTCTAGAGAATCATTACTCTAGAATACTAGATTGCATTCAGTTCTATAAAGCCATTTAAAAAAAATCGAGGCAGTATAAAAAAATCAAATTCAAAAAAAGAAACAAACACATAGAAGGTATGAATGAAATTATATTGTTCAAAATTATTATAAAAACTAAAATCATATATTATAAGAATAGAAGGCGAAAAATAACCATCACACCTGCAGCAATTCCACCAGTAACAGGCACCGTAACAATCCATGCAACAAATATATTTCGAAATAATGACCAATCAACACCTTGTTTTGAACGGACACGACCAATTGCTACAACACTGCCAACTTTACAATGAGTTGTACTAATTGGAATTGATAAATTTGATGCAACAAGAACGGTGAATGCAGTTGAAATTTCAATAACAAAACCGCTTCAAATAAAATAATCAATAATTGAAAATATTGAGGAATAACAAAAAAATCATTACCTTGATGGTGTAATTTTTGCTAAGTCTTCACCAATTGTTTGAATAACACGACGACCCCAAACCCAAAGACCAACTGACATACCAAGACCACCATAAAAAAGTACCCAAAGTGGTGTTGGTTGTGAAGTAGCTACTTGGCCACTGTCATAGATTAACCAAACGCCAATCAATGGACCGATTGCATTACTTAAAAATAAAATTATGATAAAGATCTATATATCTTTCTCTTAATCTAAACAATTTACCTAACATCATTTCCACCATGAGCAAAAGCACCAAATATAGCCGTAAGAATTTGTAAATATTTAAAAATACCAGCAATTTCAATTGAATCATTTGTTGTATCAATTATTTTCTAAAAACCATATCTTTTATTATTTTTATAACATCTCTCATTTTCAAACAAACTTCTTTAGGTGTTACTTCTGGCATTTTATCTTCGATTTCATCTATTTCTTCATTGGAACTATGTTGATTCGCTGATACTGTCGACATATTATCATCATCTAATAAATTATATAACAAAAAAAAAGAAAGATAATTATATTGAACAAGTAAGCTTGTTTTTATTATATAACTAAAGGCACGCCCAATAAGAAATATAGCATTAGCATGAGCAAAAATAAATATCTTATTTAATTCGCTGAAATAAAAATTGCCTATATATATAAATCACATGCGGAATGATATATTAAAACATGCTTTAAATCATTTCAGCATATAATCTTTTTAAATCTATCTTATATAAACCCATTTATCTCACTTACGGGGTATATATACTAAAATTAATATTTATATATATACATAACTATCCATCACCAATTAAAGAAAAGAAAAATTTCAAATCTTTACCAGCAGATAATAATAAACTTTTATTTTCATTTGATATTGAACCTGGTACACCAGATGCATTTGCATATTGTGGAAGACGATAGATTTTTGTTTTCTAATTAAAAACGAAGAAGAAGATTTAAGAAATACATTTCTTTTTATTTTACTTCACGATTATTTAATTGATTTCGTTGTCCATCAACTGCAAGAATCTCATTACGTAAACGATCACTTTCTCGACGTACACGTGATCCATTAGTAACACCTGAAGTTGTTGATATTTCAGGATCTTTTCCTATACGTTGCATTTCAACTGAAATAAAAATCTAATTTATTGAACAGAAAATCATCTTCGAAAATTATTTACCATAAGGACGAAACTGATCGGGATGTTTTTGTTGATGACTTAATAAATCAAATTCTTTAAGCATTCCTATATGATCAATTTGAGTTTCTTTATCAACTGTATTTACGTTTTCCAATTGAGCAACTAAAAGAATTTCATACTATCTATTAATATCATTACATAAATGTATCAAAAATCTAATTTAGCAAATATATAACGAGCTTCGATAATCAGTTGTTCATTTTTCATGTATGAGTAAAATAAATGAAAAGACAAATTATTATTTACCGGTATAAGTTTCAAATCTTCCATCAGTTTTTGTTAATTGTGAAACTTCGTTTCCGCCACCTGATCGACTATCAAGATCATGTTTCTTTCTTAAACTTTCTAAAAACACATAGGTTTTTGTATTATTTATTAAAAACTGAAATTTAATCAAACCTTCAATGGTTACTTTCATTCGTGGTTTAACAATCAACAGAACGAAAAATCCAATAAGAAGTCCAACGAGAATTGTCGTTACAAATTTTGCCCATAATGGAATACGATCAAAATATAGAACTAAATCGATTAAAATAGTTTGATTTTTTTTTCGAAATAAAATTAAAACTAACGTGGTGGTGCAGAAAGAAGTATTGAAAAAACATTAATCATTATTGTTACACTATAAAAAACTGGTAACCAACGAAGACCAACTTTTAAGTGCTCAGGCTTAAAAAAATAAAACAATATTAAATTTAATATTATAATGACAAACCTATTTACTTTTTCGAGAATAAATTTTTTTATCACTAGAAAAATACCAACCGATATAATGCCAGCTAATGCTGGTGAAATAAACCATGAACCAGCTAAAAGAATATTTTTATTTATTTGATTAACTAATCAATTGATTTTTATTTTGTAATTACCAATTTTAGCAAATTCAAGCCATTGTATACCTCGAGAACCGTGAGTAACAAGTGCAAAACCAATTGTTGCACCAACAATACTATGTGTACCAGACACAGGTAAATTAAAGAATGTAGCAACTAATAACCAAATACAACAACCTATTGAAAAGAAATTTTCGAAGATTTATCGAAAAACTACATGATCAAATATTGAGTATGATTTGAAAATGTATTTCCTTTTTAAATTTTTTCGTCAAGAATAGAATAAAACTAACTAGAGTGTTATTCGAATGCATACTCATTAGGATAGATTCTCATTAATTCAATGTCATCAGAGAATTGGAAAAGTTTCTTTTAGTTCTACTCGAAGTGTTCATATCAAAATAGGTAATATAATCTATTTAAAATCAAGAAAAATTGATTTATTTACTAAATAAAGATGATACTTGACCAAGCATTAATTCTTTTGGATTGGTAAATAATGTCGGATCAATGATACCTTTCCGTATCGTATCCGACACTTTCGCTCCTATAAAAAATCAATAGGAAAAATATCTTTGAATTTATATTTTCTTTTTACCAATTAATATTGATCCAAGTATTTCAAATATTGTTGCAAGAACACATGCTTGTCGTAATGTTATTACTTTACTTCCAACACTTGTACCAAATGAATTTGCAACATCATTAGCTCCAATACCAAAAGCTAATATAAATGCAATAAGAAGACCTGCAATTACTATCCATAAGAGCTCCGGTGAGTATGGTACAAAACCAACGATATCGTCCATATTATCGCTTTTCTTTCTATTTCGTTGTCTGTTATACAAAGACAAATGCAAGCTAAATAACTGATAGTCGAATAAGAAGAAAAAAAAAAAAGATATAAATTAACAAGACAAAAGAAAAAAAAAATAGCATTTTGTTTCAGCTCTCACCTTTACAAAGAGATTATCGTCATCGCACTTGACATCTATGTATGTTTAGTAATAACAATCAATCAGAACTTTTTTCTTTGTGTTCCTTCTGATATCTTTATTTAAAAAACTATCGAGATTTTCTTAGTTTATGATCAATTAAATGAAGATAAGATATCTGTCTTTTTCTCTAGGTCATACAAATGTATATTGAAAGAAGAGAAAGACCACTATATACGAAAACAAAAACGAAATTTGATTGCACAGTAATAATGAATGACTTTCATTTTTATTGGATAAAATATCAAACAGATTTAAATAAATTTTTATCTGATATCAATATCAGATGTCACTATGCTTTAAAAAAAAGATCCATATGAACTAATATTCATATTTTCCTTACTAAAAGAATGTCTTTTTAGTATTGTATAACCAGAGGTGCAGAATCTTCCCAAAAACCTAAAATTTTCTTCTCCGAGAAAATTCTTCCGCAAAACTTCCCCAGTTAAATTCTGAAAAATTTAGAGAATTTCCCTGAAAAATGCATTTTTTAAAAAATTTACCCACTGCGCGGAGACGCACGAGGAAGATTCTGCACCTCTGTTGTATAACAATGCAAAAAAATACTTTAACGATTCAACATGTAAAAACTTGTTTAGTATTCTATATAAGATTCATTTTTATCTTATATGAATGTAGAAAGACGAAAATAAATTTATTTATCGATTGAGAATCTTTCGTATTCAACATGCATTTTAATTGACTCACACTACCCATATATTTACCATATTTTTTTTCTAACTTGTTAAACGTTCGTTGAGAACAAATGATACACTTAAAGTAAAAACAATTTTATGCATTACACTATCAGTTATTGGAAAGAAATATGATACACTTTTTTTGAAATTATTTATAAATAGATAATTATTAGAATATAATTTGAACAGAGTAGATAAGTTATTTCATACTGTTACGTTATGATGATATAAGACATATTTTCAAGTATCATGCTATAGTTATTCAGATTTACTATAGTAGTTTTAGTTTAATCTTTGTTGACGTTGCATTTGAAATAATAATTTATTCAGATTGTGAAAATACGAGAAAGATATAATTGATTGAAAGTTTATACTGGAAAAATCATATTTTTTCTATCCTATCATACATTTGATTTACCTGTTTTGTACGATAAGGCAAGTTAAAATCATTCTATATATTTTTGTTTACATATGCATATCAAAAGCTTCACACAAGGCCAAAAAAACATCACGCCAAAGTAGGACAATTCTAGTATCATTCAAATACATTGTCAATGTCAAAATTTCATTAGTTCTATACAAATTTATATTTATTGTTCGATGAGTTTTATCGAAAGTATCATCAATTAACATAGAATTTAAAGAATACATATTAATAAAACAAAAGACTGATCAGATATTAATTTTATCTAATAGACCATTCAATGTTATTATTATTATTAATCTTCAACATAAGCGCGAAAAATAACAAAAAAACATTTTGTACTGTAAAAAAGAGACACAAAATATAGATGTAAGAAAAACAACAGAATAGATTTTTGCGTTCTACATTATTTTAAATAAGTAATGAATGAATTTTAACTATTAATCATATTTTTTTTAGTATAAACCAGTTTTTTCTTACTAATTCTCTTCTAGATAAAGAATGCGTACATTATCATAATATTCTTTACGATTTTTTCTCTCATAATCTATATTCATCTTATCTCTTCATACTATGTTGATCATGTTACTATCTAATCTTAAAGGTTCAGTATTTAATTTCTCTATAAATATCAAAATAACATAAGCAACAAATAATATATGCAACTACAACAGCAACTTTCGTTTCGAATGAAACGAAGTAATATTGAAAAACATAATTATTACATAATCATTTAATTGGTTGTCTCATTAATAATATAGAACAACAATCATTACATCATATCATATAAAAATCATTCGGTAAACCAACTAATAAGCTGCACATCATGGTGCATTTTTCCATATTGTTTATATTTTATAGAAAACGACAAATGATCGCGTCATTAAATATAAAATACTATAGTGTATGTTAAGAAAATTTTTCGTTAATTTATAACGATATATTTACATATCGCGCACGAAAACGAACAAGATATAAAATTTGAATACTGATCTGAACTAGATTTAAAATACTAGATATACATATACTGCTCATGTCAAACTTTTAAAAAGGACATTCATGTATAGATTTTAAATGTTGAGTTACTGTTTGAGATTCTTCTAATTTTACTGGCTCAGCAATAAATGATGATGTTCGTTTTGTTGTTCGAGTTGGTATTGAACTTAAATAGAATGCTGTCATTAATTGTGTTGTTTGTTCTGGTATTGGTATAGTTTGTTGATTATCATTCGGACATACACATACAACATAGTCTTTTATTGTTTTAGATAAATGATCACATTCTGTATGAAGACGTGTAGATGGACTATTATTATTATTAGTTGTTGTTGCTGTTGTTGTTAAACATTTTTCAACCCATTGATCAACTTGATCATAAATTGATTGTCGTCCATCTTGAATTACTACTTCTTCTATATCATTATTATTTTCATCTTCTAAATCAATATCTTCTTCAGGATAAGCATGTGGTGAAATAATATATTCTTCATCTTCATCGTCATCTTCTTCTTCTTCTTCACGTTCTTGTACTTCTTCATCTTCACCATTATTAGCAATATCTAAATTTTTAATTAAACGAATTTCATTTTCAATTTCTTCAATATGTTTTAAAATAGCACGTGAATTTGTTTTTGTTAATGTTGAAGTAAATACAATGGGTGATGGTGGAGAAGTATTTTTTTTATTTATTTCATCTAATGGAAGTATAAATGGACTTTTAGTTGGTGAAATTGATTTTGTTGAAAATTGTTTATCTTTTCGTTGTTTACATGAACGTTCATTTTCAAGTATTTCTTCAAATTCTAATGAAAAATGATCATCAATTGATTGAGATGATGAACTATGTGAATGTTGCTGTTTTGAATGTTTGCGATCGATTGATGTTTTAATAGGACTAGGTTTTCTAATACCTAATGATCGTTGATAACGATATTGAGCAGAATTTGTGGAAGGTATTTGATGAGCTAGAATAATTGAAATATAATATTCTTTGGAAATAAATTCTTCTTCTTCTTTTGACTTACTTTTTGTTCGTCTTGTTAGACTACCACCATCAGAAGAAATTGTGTTGGAACAAAAATTTTGTTCTATATTTATATTACGTGCTGGACTTTTCTTTCTTGATAATGGTGATGTTGATAAAGTTTTCTTTTTAAGTTTCTTTTGACGATAAGATTGTTTATTATTTGATAAAATACCATCAGCACTTGTATCATCTGGTGATGATGAACTTGGCGGAGGTGATGAAGGTGATGAAGAAGAAGAAGATGATGTTGATGTCGATGATAATGATGAATTAATAACTCTTGAACTCGAAAGAGAAAATCCATGTCCACTATCACTTTGATGTAGAATAACACTTGATGTTGTTGGTGCTGGTGCTGATGGAGGAAGAGGAGGAGGAGGAGAAGAAGAAGAAGAAGTTGAAGGATTGTTTATATGAACATTTCCATTTGATGTTGTTTGTGGAAATGATTCTGAATGTGTTATACCTGACGGTGATGTACGATATGTTGAATCATAAATACCATATTCAGGATGTGATAAGGATAAATCTGGTGATGGTTGATGATTGAATAGATGTGATGATTCAATAAAAGTTGATTGTCGATTATTTGTTGATGATTTATTAATCCAAGGATTTGTACGAATTCTTGAACGTTGTTTTTTAGATAAACTTTCAGTTGTTGTTGTCCATAATGAACTACTGCTTGATGAATTAATATTTGTATTTGTGCCTGGATATTGTGATGATGTTAAAGGTGATTGATAATAAAGTAGTTGTTGTTGTTGTGGTTGTTTCTGTAGATGCTGGCATTCACGGTGTGGACTACATGTTGCTAATGTACTTGAATATTGACGATTTGAAAGTGTTATTTGTTGTTCTAATGATAATTTAGGCGGAAGAGGTGGTGGTAATGGTGGTGGTGGTATCATGGGTGATGATTGACGGGAAACTCGACATTGAGAACATGATGGAAATGTATTCTCTTGGGATATTCGTGTTTCAACTATCGTATTAACTAATTCAGCATGACGAGCTAGTAATATTTGAGTACGAGTATGCTGATCATTACTAACAATACCATTTATATCTTCATAGCCACATATATCATAATGGCAATCAGCTGATGTTGTTGATTCTTGAGTATTCTTTTTATGTATGATCGGATGATGAGATTTTGAAGATGTACTAGATTTACGTCTGGATACAAGAGAATTTAAATAATCTTTAAATTTCATCCTATTCTTCTTTTATATCAAATCTAAAATAGATATAATAGCTCATATTTATGTCATCGAAACAGATGTATTCTCTATGATAAAAGCACACAAGTGTTTGATCATAATTACATCGTACAGTATTTGGTAATCTCGTTTTTTTTCTCGCTTTCCTTTATATTTATTATAGTCTCTCTATCTTGCTTGCTCAGTATACGGTTCGTTTCATCTTTCTTCAGCTGCTGCAATTGAGAAAGAGAGAGTTGTATGCTATTCTATACAAAATGATAAAAGAGATACAGAATGGTTATTTAATTTTGTAATCATATCCTGCTTTTTTCTTCTTCTTCTTCGTCTTCTTCTTCTTCTTTTTCTTCTTCATCTTCATATTCTCATCCCCAAATCATTCTCTTGTGCTTGTATAAACATAGTTGTGCATGTGCCTACAGTCTTTATTTCTACGAGCGACAGATGTGTAACTTGCATGAACTAAAGGCACAGTTGTGTTATTTCTGTGTACAAAAGTTAAGCTATTATTCCACTAGTCAATATTCGTCATCATTGAGACACTACAAGGTTCCTTCTTCTTCCTCTTCTTATTCTCCTCCTCTTCCTCCCCCTTCTATTAACGAATTTTTTTAATATTATATATAAGTAGAGCAATGAACTTGCTGATGTATATACTGGCAATTAAATAAGAACACTACTACTACTACTCCCTTAGGGTATACTATTTCTACTGTCTTTTATCAATATACTATTCGCTGACCGAGAGATTGATATAGACAGACAAGTAGACACGCGTAATAGCCACTGACGGACTCTATTATATGTACAATATATATATATATATATGTGAAATACATTATGTTCTCAGTAGACAAAAAATAATGAATTATCAGACATACTATATTAGATTAAGATATGTCATCTTACATCAGGTTTCTTATATAAAAATGTTATATATTATTGAAAAGAACCTATCAAAAATATGATTGATATACATATTTTTTTCGAATATGATGCTTATACCTTTCTTATACATCATCTTAATGAATAGTAGAATAAAGAAAACTTCAAGAATCAAGAAGAAAAATTTTCTTTTACAATCCGGAAATGGCTCTCTCTCTCTCTCTCTCGTTTTCTTTCTCAAGGGACGACAATGTATGTCCTTGACATGACTCGACGAAGACGGCAACGCCAATAAGAAGAAGAAGAAGAAATATGGAAAACACACTCCTCGGTTAATCGAAAGGATATTTTTTTATATTTATAGCAAAAGAGGGAGAGAGAGAGAGTATGCAATAGAATGAAAAATTATATAGAAGACAGATGAATGTATGTAAGAATCATATCGAAAATAGCAAAACAACTTACAAGAAAGCGTAGCGATAGGAAGTTTTTATTGACTATGACTACATAAATATGCAAAGCAGATAAGAAGAAATGCAACATGTATGCAAAACAGGTGACAATTAAAATACTTACACTTTATTATTGTCACATTTTATATTTTTTACATCAAATTATATAGTTAGAAGGATAGGAACAAACATAATGAGAAACATAAAAAGAGCAATAAATGTTATGAAGAGGTATCTTTGTTGATTTAAATCAAGTTTTAAGGAATATTTTTATATTTGTTGCTAAACTACGACCAAAATAGGCTAATAGAATAATATTAATAATAATAATAATAATGACAACAACAACAACAAAAATAAGAAGAAACAGAAGGTATAGAGAAAGAAGAGAAAAAAATATATTATTTCATCAAGATGAAGTTTCTTCTTTCTCAAAGTATTATTATAACTACCGGAAAAAAGTTGTTATCTGTACAATAAGAGATACTTAAAAACTAAATGAATAGGAAAAAAATAAAATAAAAAATATATTATCTAGTCTATATTCTCTCTCTTGAAATAACGATCTATTTATTATACTACATCATTTATTGTAATATGTACAAGCTGGAAATCATAACTAGATCGTGTATGTTTATACAACTTTCTCTAAATGTAAGAAATAGAAGAGTTTGTTAGTTATATGTACAGTTAGTTGTATGAGAACGGATGTTTTATGTTTGTTTTACGTGCTCTATACCGTATGTAACCTAATCTGTCATATGTGTTCAATGAAGACATGAGAATATATATATATGGAGTGATGAGTGTACTGCTAGTTCTAAAGATGTGAGTAATTTTTAAGCATATATCAGTTTATCGCATTTTGTCGAAGTAAGAAGAAGAAAAGAGAGCATTAGTAACAGTCGATTAACTTACTTTTTTTTGTCTTGGTCTTTTCAAGATGTCTTTAACACTACATCTTTCATATACATTAATATACCACATCGAAACAAAATGGAGTTACATCAAGCGTTTTTTCTTTTGATTACATACCCATAAAAAATCTTTGTTTCTCCTGTTTCTCTCTCCCTCTCTCTCTCTCTCTTTGCACGTAGAATATACCATGAGAATGAGTCACCTATTTGGTGGCATTAGAGATTCTATTTTTTTTCTTCTTTCTTCGTCTCTTTACAGATCGTTCAGTGATTTCTTTTTTTTTCTTTTTTCTCTTCTGTTTCTCTGTCCTTCGTCTCATTTATATGTTATTGCATGGTAGCATTTCCTCTCGGTTCTTCTTGATATATATTTTTTTGCTATGATGCGGCGTCAATCGAACCGAGAGAGAAACAATTTGTTGTCGTAAGCTATAGAAAGGACATTAATAAGAATAAAATAAATGAATGAATGAAATAAATGAATGAATGAATGAATGAAAGAGAGATGTATGAGACACATGGGAACTATTCGAAAAGAGGCTCTTCAGTCTTATGAGTTTTAATGAAAGATCCACAACAAAATTCTATGTGACAATACGAAGGACAAAATAAAGATATGTTGTCTAGAAATTAATATTTAATTTCGATATTTAAAAATAACATTAATATAATATGAGCTTTCTAAGTTATTAATCATTGATCATACAAATATCCGGTCATTACTGTGAATAATTAAGTGACATATGACCATCAATAGTTTTCTATATAGAAACTATTCAATTCACAGTAATTATCATAAGTGTATAGAAGAAAAGAAAATGAGAAGGAGATTCAATTTCCGTTATAGCCAGATGTCCGCTTTGGTCGCTTCTTCTTTGACTTAACAGCTTATATTAGTAATGACCCTGCTATGTCGATTGTTGAGTGATGATTGTACATGTTAACTGTATATGTGGTCTGTCACATGTCAAGGTATGCAAACTACGAGGTCGAACAGATACATATGTATCCATATATATATATATATATATATATATACCATACAAGGCCGTCTTACTACTATTGTTATATCTTTATTGTATACAACATAGCCCTTTGACCTTTTAGTTAGATTCATCTTCGTAACGGAAACGACCATTATTCACTATTAACAGGTGTGCAGTTCGATTTCCTCAGAGAAATCCGGTCGAAAGGAGAAAGAATGAAGACATTAATACGTATTAAGGTCATCTCAAATAAACTTTAGACTTGCCTGTATGGTGTATGTGTTTTGTATATATCATTGAAAATGACAAGAGATTGCATGTGCGATCAATATACAAAAAAAATCTATTCTGAAAGAGACAGTGACGATAAAGAGAAACGATAACATATAATGATATGCAAAACGAATTCATCCCTAGTCTACCCTCTATTTTTATTTTGACTGAAAACATAATAGATTTATACATTTATCATCATTTGAATGACATTGAAGAATGGTAAGAAAGAAAAAAGAATAAAAAATTTAACTAATCAAATAAATTGTAGAAATCAAGTGAGCAGAAGAAGTGTTTTTAAAATGAAACCAAATACGCATTTGACAGAGTAATAAATAAATAGTAGCAATTGATATAATGTTTAAGAATGCATGTATACATATACATATATATACATCAATTGGTATGCAAAATGACATACAGGTGACCTTCATTAAGACAAGACAAATGAGATTGACAACGAGACGAAATGATGATAACAAGGCTTTCACTACTGTCACCCTATCTAAGTAGATCTGTTAGTTTATCTATCGAACAACTATTTTTACATAAGAACATTTCAAATAAATATCTGTTCTTTGTCATAATAGTTAAATATATATATTACATAATAAAATAGTAAAATGTTTTATGAAAGGATTTGTTAACAATCATAAGAAATTTAACAAAAAAAGGAACAAAAGACAAATATCATTTTATTCATTTCTATACGCCTTATCTGGAGATCTACTTTATCGATATTCTTGACATTCAATTCAAGAACACTTAGGTATATAATTCACTATGTCCTTGTCAAATACTTGACAAGTAATTTTTCTTGAAATGAGCATAGACTTGATAAACACAGATAGAAAGTCAATTACCGTTTTGCTTTCCGTTTTCTTTTTTGCCCGATGAATTAGACGTAACAACACAAAAAAGAAAACATCATTTTTAATTACGAAAAAATATCTTGCACGTCTGTGAAATTTTTATTTAGTATGAAAAAAAGGACTATACATAAAAATTAATTGATCGATCAATACTGATATAAAACAGTATATTTACTGACATAAGCAGAAAAATGATTGTTGATCATCATTGCTAACATCGCAAAAAAAAACATTTTCTAATTATAAGAACATTTTTTCTACTTAACTAGTTAAATAAGAACTTAGTTTTTTCTTTCTTCTTTATTTAGACAAAATATTTTAGTAGTCTGATTCATTAATCAATAAATATATGCTAAATATTTGCATGAGACTCAATAAACACTACTTTATGTTAAATACATACCTAACATTCGAACAGATCAAGAAAAAAAACCTTCATTTTAATCTATCCTTGAAGATGACTATAGCCAAAGAATAATTTATCCAAATCACACTTGAATTTTATTCCAACATATCCGTTAAATGTCAATCGATTATCTGGAAAATCCTTGATATTTACCAACGACCGATTAAAATAAATAGATTTGTCTGCCTATATCTCTCGACATTGATAGAAACATTTGGAATATTGTGTCTATATTTTGAATGGTATAAACCTAATAAAATAAATCTTTTTCTAATCTAAATAATGAATGTATCAAAAAAAGGATTACTTTTATTTTTCAAAGTAATCTAAATCTTACCGTGTTACTATAATCTTCTAAGATTGTTATTGTTAGAATATATAAATATATGAATTGTTAATCTATGGATACAATATTTCAAATTTTATGTGTATACATATAGATCTAATATCAAAATAAAGTTCTCTTAATTTTGTGTCTGAAAGTAGTGACATCTGGATATTTAACTGAATGATAGATGCACAAAAAAGCCAATAATGTTTTTTTCTTCTCTCTTCTTGATTCTACCTGAAGTGAATCCATAAGTTCGTGGGTTTTTCTTTTTATGAAAATTATTCAATCGATTTATTCTTTTGTCAGATTAATATCTCCAAGTAAATTAATTAAAATGGCATCAGCAAACAATACAACTCAAAATGAAAATGCATCTATAACACCAAAGAAATCGTCTAAATCATCAAAAGATCATGTAAATCTTTATTTTGATATTTTTGTTTTTAATATTCATTGAAATTTCAAATTTAGACATACGATCTTGATTGGATTAGAAATACAAATGCAAAACCATTTTTATCTGATAGTTCACATGTATTGAAAAAACCTATAACAGATCATGGATGTCAAAAACGTTTGAGTAAATATAATGGAGTAGTGAATCGTATGACGTCCGATCAAGTTAATGATGAATTACAAAAACGACAATTATCAACAAAGTTATAAAAAAATACATAAAATTCTTTTTGAAAAATTTATTTGTTTGTGATAGCTAGTGGTGAGATTGAAATTCGACGTCTTCGTTTAAAACATTATTATAAAGCTCAATTAACATTTGGATGTGAGAATCCATTTCAAATGATTGAACAACATTTTGAATATATTGCTGTTGTGGATTTTGAAGCAACATGTAATCATAATCAAGGAAATAATTATCCACATGAAATTATTGAATTTCCTATTGTACTTATCAATGTACAACAAAGAATGATTGTAAGTTTTGTATTAGAATTATTCCAAAAAAAAAAATTTTTATTTTAAGGTTGATAAATTTCAGTCATATTGTCGACCAACAATAAATCCTATTTTGTCAAATTTTTGTACAGAATTAACTGGTATCGAACAAGTATGTATAATATTTACATTTCAATCATAATAAAATACGTATATTTTATTTTTTAGCATCAAGTAGATAGTGCTCCTACTTTTCCTGAAGTTCTTCGTAATGCTGAAACTTGGTTAAATGAACGACATCTTCTATCATCAAATAAACGTAAATGTGGTTTTGCTACCGATGGGTAATAAACAAAAAAAAAGAAGAATACCGATTGTTAGTTTTTTAAATTATTTTTTAGTCCATGGGATTTTGCTAAATTTCTTCGAATGCAATGTGGTTTTAGTTCGATATCATATCCACGATGGGCTAAAAAATGGATTAATGTTCGAAAAGAATTCTCAAGTTTTTATGCTGTACAACGATGTGGTATAAATAAAATAGTCTAAATTTGATCCTTTTATTTTTATTCTTTGATAATAAGGTATTAGTAAAATGTTACAAAGTCTTGGTCTTGTGTTCGATGGTCGTAATCATTCAGGTCTTGATGATTCAATAAATATTGCTCGAATTACTATTGAATTAATGAAGGTTTGATAGAATTCTTTTATAATAATTTAGAATTTTAAATACATTTTTGTTCTTTGAATTAATAGGATGGTTGTGTTTTATTATTAAATGATGGTATTCGTGCAGCAGATCCTAAATTTATTGATTTAAACAGTGTTAGTCATGAACTACAAAATCTTAATGAAGACGAAACAAAACATAATGATAATTTAGTCATTTTAGATAGATAAACATGTCTTATTATTGTTAAAAAAAATACTTTCTTCAATAAAACTCTCAGAGAAAAACTAAATATATCTACATTTTTTGTTCAATTTATTCGTTTGTTTTAGTTTCAGACTAAATAATGGAACAACCCGATGAATGTTTTGATCCACTTCAATTTGCTGTTGATCTTGATTTAACAAAATCAACAAAAATAAATCCTGATGAAAAAGTTTATATATCTAAAAGTCTTATAAATCAAGCAAATGGTTCATCATATATTGAATTATCATCAACAAAAGTTACATGTGCTATTTATGGTCCACGTGAAACATCATCATCATCCGATGAATCCTATTCCAAATGTTTACTTGAAACTTCAATAAAATTCTCACCATTTGCTCGTCAAAAACGTGTAGATCCATTATTAATACAATATGATAATGATGAAGATTGTGAAGAAGCTGAATTATGTTCACGTCTTGAAGAAGCACTTTTACCTTGTATACTTCTTCATAAATATCCAAAATCACAAATTGATATTATTATTGATGTTATTGAAGATGATGGACAGCATTTATTATCAGCTATTATTCTATCAGCTACAGTTGCTTTGATTGATGCATGTATAGAATTATATGATACGGTTGTTGCAAAATCATTAAAAGTAAATAATTCATTATTTACATTAGGTTATATGCCAAATTTAGCACAAGTATCATGTTTATTTTTTGATGGTGAAGCAACACCAAATGAACTTGATCTATTAACTGATGAAGCTGTTAAACAATGTCAAGTATTACATAAAGCTATTTGTAAAGTGGTTATAAATGATCTTAAATCAGCAGTAGCTTTAAATCGAAAAACAATTTAAAATAACATTCATTTTTTGTTTCCAGATATTTTAATTAAAGATAATGTTGTGAAAAATGAATAAACAAAAAACTGTTATATTTGTTAACAAAATGATGCGAGAAACTATGGGATCATTGGAAGAACAAAAGAATAATAAAAAAAAGAAGATTTCTATGCTACTATCTTTGAAAATTACTAATTCATTGATAATTATTCAGTGAATATTTTTGCTACTATAAGCTTACACTTACTTATTCATAAGTAAATTTGAATTGCCTTTTTATCTTATTAATAATAAGAAACTGTTTAATTGAAAAGCAACTAATTTGTAAATAACATCTTTCAAGTAGGCAAATGAAAAACATCAAAATAGATTTATATCAATAAATAATCATTATATTTACAAGAGCTCACGAAATAATATAGTGATGTTGAATAATCAAAAATAAATCATCTTAGAATAAATGGAGTAAGTACATAGTCTATTTTTAGAATGATAAGATTTTGATAGTTGACACTCAAGGAAGATTTATGTTTGAAATCTGTTCACTTTTCTAGTGAAATAAATTCGAGAACATTTGAATAACGTTATCATTATTCTAACGAAGTTATGTTAGTTTGTCATTGACTTCTTATCGAGATACTCAATCATATACTATAGTAAATATTCATCCAATGAATTATCAGTATATATCTTTTATATATTTAAACTCAACACCTCTTGAAATATATTTATATCTATTTTTTTATAACATTGAACAGTGCTGATACATTATCCATCATTTATAAAAGAATTGTGTTATTTAGATGATTAATCTATACAACAAATCATAGGATTTTGATGTACAATTCAGAAAGAAAACTAATTATTGCCACTCTATTTCATTATGTTATATAAGAACATATCGATAACTCTTATCAGTGACATCTATTGAACATATATTGTAATTGTGCATTCTCTATGAACTAGCCATTGGACAGATCGATTGATTGTGTTACTTCTCTTCTCGTTCTTAATTGTTTTCATATATCAGATCACTGACCTCTTAGAAATTTTCTTCCTTTTTAGATGTCTCAAATCTGTCCTCAAACATTATCTACAGCAACATCATCGAGTTCATCTCTTCCACCATCATCTACAAATAATTTAAATACAAGTATAACAAATGCAATAACAAAAATTTTCATTTATGTTGACAGTAATCGAGACGATGCTAATGAGCCATTCTCAATTAAATTAAATAAACCATCGATGTCAATAACACTCGATGATTTCTTAAATGCTATTCCAAAACCATATACAAGAAATTATAAATATTTTTTTAAATCTATTGATCCTGTTCTTGGTGTTATTCGAGAAGAAATAACTGATCGACGACAAATTTTACCATCAGCTAATGGACGTATCGCTGCGTGGCTTATGCCAGCTACTTTAGCACAAGATACAACTAATGATATAACAACTACAACAGCAAATACAAGTTATCGAAGACGAAATCGTCAACAAGATGATTCACTTTTTACTAGTGATACAAGTGCATCGGAAATGACTGATATCGCTAGTCAAATTGATCATGATGATGATCGGTAATAAGAAATTTAAAATCAAACAATTAATATTAGTATTGATTTTTTTTCTATATCAATAGATTCTCATCAATTACAGAAACAACAAATACAACAGACACAAGTAGCAATTATCATCGAAGACGACGACGAAGACGACATCATCAACAACAACAACATCATCGTCGTGAAAGAGTAATTATTAATAAAATTATTTAAAACAAATTTTATTTTGGCTTCTTTAAAGGCTTCATCAATGAGCAGTATGACTGATTCAACAATATCAATGGATGTTGTTACTGTTGTTTTAAGTTTAGGTATATATCGATTAGTATTGAATATAATACAATAAATATACATTTTTTTCCTGTATAGAACGTATTAAATATCTTGGTATGACTGTTGTTGGTGAATCTGATGGTGGAATTATAGTTGGATCTATTATGAAAGGGTATGCTTTTTAGATTCTTGAAGTTAGTTAACTCTTTTATATCAATCGAAAATTGAATTCTCAAAATTGTTATGAAAATATTTTTTGTATATAAAAAGAATGACTAATTGAATTTTTATTTAGAGGTGCTGTGGATGCTGATGGTCGTATTCAACCCGGGGATATGATATTGCAGATGAATGATGTTAGTTTTGAACATATATCAAACAGTGATGCTGTACGTTTATTACGTGAAACTGTTAAAGATGCAAAGTAAATCGAAATTAATTGTTCTTTTTGTTTAAAACAAATTCAATATTATATTTAGATCAATAAAATTAGTTATCGCTAAACGATGGAATGATCATAATGGTCTATTGGATGATGATGAAAGTAATGGTTATTTTCCGCTTCCACATCAAGTAATAATGAATAATAATGCTCGACAAGATCCAATACGACCAATTGATCCTCGTCAATGGGTTGCACAAACAAATGCCGTACTTTTACGACGACATTCTTCGCTCTCACCACCACCAGCGGCTAGTTCAACATTATCATCATCTCCTTCAAATTCACCACATAATAGTAGTGGTATAAAAAGTAAATAACACATAACGTGTGATAACTACTATTAAAAGAGGTCAAAGAAACTAAAATAGAAAAAGTACAAACGTAGAATTGCTAAATTTATTTTCGAACGACATAAGTTTTCTTTTAATATCTTCCTATTAAAAGATTTTGTGATTGTGTCTTATATTTATTTATTTATTAGAATATCGTTATGATTTAAATTTAACACGTAATTCTGATATGGAAACAATATGTCGTGCTATGCAACAGTCACAATCAGGTTTAGATATACGTGATCGTTTATGGCTAAAAATAATTTTAAAAAATTCATTTCTTGGCTCGGATCTTGTACATTGGTTATATAAACATGTTGATGGTTTTATTGATAAACAAGATGCAAAAGAATATGCATGTGCATTACTTGAACGTGGTTATATTCGACATCCAATTGTTGGTTTATTAACACGTGGTTTTAGTAAATCATGTTATTATGTATTTGGACGTCTAGATAATAATGGTAACGATGATAATGATGATGATGATAATAGTCAGATAAATGGAATGTCTCAACTAACAATAGGTGAAAGTACAGTTAATTATGATGCAATAGGAGCACGTCCAGCGTATGGTTTTCTTGATAAACATAATGTGCCTGTTTTATATGCATCAACATCATCACTTACATCGTCATATAATAAGAAAACTAAAAGCCAATCAAGTAAGAAATACATATGTGTTTATAATAGAACAATCACTTGTCATAAATCATAATGAAATCATCGAGATAAAATAATGAATAATGTTACACTTAAAATTGAAAATGATTTTATGTTCGATGATTCGATTATGATGCATGGCCAATATTTGAAGGGTGATAGAAAAAATAGAACAAAAAGATTTTTCTTTTTTAATAGGTGGAGAAAGTAGTCGTATTCGTATGACACCATCATCATTTCTTGCTAATAATAATGCAACACTTTCAACAATACGAAGTCATCAGCGTCCGAATAACAATTCGACTTGTACAACAGATAATTCAATAATAACGATCTAGTCATTTATTTTCTGACAAGTCAGATTAATATTATTATTATTATTGTTGTTCCATACAGATATTACCTGTTTTCTCTCTCTTGTTAAATACGCGTTCGTTTGCGTATTTATTCATTTCTTATATGCACTTCTTTTTCTTTTTTTGTTGTTATTGGTAGTAATCTTTTGTGTTCTTTTTTTGTCTTTTCATTTATGTACGATACATTTATACATTATCTTAGATAATTATGTACCCCGGAATGTGATGGATGAACGAATCAAAAGTGTTTATATATATATGTGCATTTGTATGAAAATGAACTTATTTCAATAATATGATAAATAAATCTAATGATGAACTATAAGTTTATGTAAATGAACATACATAATTTTATATGAGAAAAATTCATTCGATGAATAAATTAATTTTGTTATTTTTTGATAATAATTCATCTTGAAACTTAAGTGTAGGTATATGAATCAATTTGTCTAGAAAATTACTCATAACTTTTAAACAAATTGAAAATAAATACCAGATGATAACATCGATTACCGACTACGATATATTGCAGCATATACAATTTTGTCAAATGAATTGTTATAAGTACACTGTTGATTCTTGTATAAATGATGAGTCTTATCATTCTAATAATAATTCGTTTCGATCCCTTTCGTCAAATAAATGCAAAGAATACCTTATTTCATGATTCTAATATGTCGATCATATTTTTTCTCTCTTCAGTTTTCTACTGATGATCAATACAGCCGAACAACAACCTCAAAATAGTCTGATGTCATTCAAGGCTTTTAAGTGAATACGTATGAATAACAGTGGGAGTCAATGACGTTCTCACCCACGATCGTATCGCTAATGTGGGATAACATGAAGGTAAGTATCGTTTATTATAAGAACGAAGAACATTGATCAGTATATAAACCCAAGAACCTAATCACATTCATCAATCTACTTTGTGTAATCTAAAACAAATATTTATTCGGTCATTCTTACAATTTTCTAAATACAAATCATTATCAAACCATGTTTTATTACGTCGTGTTCATTACTTCATCTATTCTTATATGCAGTATTAATGGCAAACCCGTCGCATCACCGACAAGTGAACCAAAACGTTGTTGTTATACCAAACAATATAGTGCGATTCTACGCATGTCAACTAGTGTGCCATCGTCTAATGGAACAAAAGAAACGACATTTGTAAGAGATCTTTACGAGAGATGTTTTTTCGTCTTCACTAATATTTGTTAACTTGACAGGGAACTTATAGTGTTGCATATGATGGCAAACATGGTTTGTTTGTAATGAAAGGTGGATCAGTATCTTCAAAGGATGGAAGTAACAGGTGGTTATGGGTTATTCAAAGTATCAACGAGAAAAAAATATATACAATAAATGAAACTGCAAAAACATGTTCAGTATCTCCATTACCGGTTCTGCCAGTCGTATGTATACCAGGTATATAAATCTTTATCAGAGTATCGGTGATAATAATGTTTTGATTATTTTTTGTATAGAATCGGCATCCTATGTATACTCAAATCCTTCGAAATATAATGGCAAAGAAATAATGACTGATACATGGTTTGTAGAAAGCCAAGGATCATTTACTTATACAACAGTTACTCGTGATGATTTGTGTATTCCAGTGAGTGTAGGTGTATCTGTACCAGATACTGGTAAGGAACTATAATATTATGGAAATAAATACTATTTGACGATATTTATTTTAGGTATAAACTCATCGCAAACATATACTCAATTTGAAGCAAAGATTAAAGATAAAACTATAATTAAAGTACCAAAAGAATGTTCAGGTGTTAATTAATCTTCTTCATTTTATTCAAATGGATATATGTGAACATTATTTGACATTTCATCATTATTTTTTTCAAATTTTAATACTAATACATATATATATATATTCTTATAATTCATATTTTTTTGTCTAATCGTTTGTTTTCGTGAAAAATAAATCTACATACTTAATAAAACATTAGCTCTCTAATTTGAATTCAAATACAAATGAAAAAACGAGAACTAAAACTTCACTATATAGTAGACACACATTCCACTTTGATTATATGCATTTCTAATTCACATATGGATTCTCCTGTAAAAACAGGAATTGTTAAATATAGATTTTTTGTCAGTCTTTCTTATAGTTATAATTTATATGCACAAACATATTTATAGATTGATTTGATTTCAAAGTATGAGTAACGAAACTTATGTTTTCATCCAGAATAAATTTCATAATCGGATTTATTTTTAAAATTTTCATTTATATACAAACTCGAAATAGACAGTTATTCTCTTACTAAATAAAGGAATAAGAGTTTATAATTGACAAAATAAAATGCATCAGTATAAATGAGTGTACGTATACAGACTTTCATCATATTTTGAACAGAAATCTTTTCTCAATCCACACCCTCTCACAGAGTTGTATTTAAAATCAAAATATTAATACAGAAGAAATATGTTCATAAATTAAGATTCATTAATATTTATCATTACAGTTGAAATATTTATTGAAGTATGATAGAATCAAATAGTCTATGAATGTAAAATCATGACCTTTTTTTTTGATAAAGAAAAAAAACAGAAGGAAATTTTTTAGTGATATGCATATAGAACAAATGTCATCATTTCAAAGAGAGAATATTTAGTGAGAAGAATCAGTAGTGTTGGAAAAGAAAAGCTTGATTTTAAACAGTAATATAATACACATATGAACGGATATAAGATCATTTCAGTTTTTAAATTCCGAATATGAGAGAAATCTTGTATAAATACACCTATATGTTCATTAATTTACGATGAAAATACTACAAATTTTCAAGTATAAGTTGTTCTTGTGGATATAATTTTAACTGTTCAAATGTGTCTGATCGATTAAGTGTTGTTAACTGAAAAAAAGACAAAAAATATACTATATCAAATAAATCAAATATAAAAACATACGTCGCGTTTAGGATAAGTTGATAACAATTTATATTCACCAGACATTCGACCTTGACTTGTTAAATAATCAAAAAGAATCTAAATATTCAAAAATTGAAATTCTTTTTTTGTTAAAATAAAATGTAAATCATACTTGAAGTGTATCATTGATACGAAAACGTCGCATTAATATACCTTCATCATCTGGTAAACGAATTTTTAATCGAGTAGTATTTTTTTCTGTTTCACTTGGTTCTTCAGGTAGACGAGCTTTACATACTTGTTGTTCTCGCTTAAATAATAAAAGAAAATGAAAGTTTTTTTTTTAGTTAAAAAATTTTACTAGTCGTTCTTGTTTTAATTTTTCACTAGCATTGTGTTCTTCTTTTTGTCTTCGTTCATCATCTAATCGTGCTTGTTCTTTAGCTAAATCAGCTCGTAATGATTGATGATATTCATCTTCCTGTTCTTTTTTAAGATTTTCACGTTTTTCACGCATTATTTCATCATCAGCATCACGTTGTCGTTGTTGTTCAAATGTATCATGTGATTGTATAAGTTGAAGTAAAACTTCACTTGGTGTACTTTTACCTTCAATAAGATTTATTAACTCTAATGATCCACGAGAACGTATAACAATAAGTAAAAGTGGAAATGAATCTTTTTCCATTCCATATATTCGTTGAGCATATGATTGTCCTAAACATCGTTTAAATACTTCTAATAATCTAAAATAAGACCAAATAAAAAGAAATTGTTTTTTTTAATTTTATTTTCTATACCTGGTTCGATTAGCATCGGATGTGACATCCCAAGCCCATACAACATAATTATTTGCTAAATATTCAATAGTTGTTTCACCAGCTAATACTTGAGCACAAAAGACATTAGCACAAACCGATCGATCATTATGAAGATAAATAGCTAATGGACGTCTCTATAAATAAGAAACAATAATTAGAAACTTCGAAAATAAATTATATAGATAAATTTACTTCTTCGCGAGATGCACAAACTGAATCTTGAATAGCTTGATCTAATGAACCAATATAAAGTATTGGACCTGTTGATCCATAACGTGCATGAAATACACGAGTAAAATGTTCGAGACCTTTTACGTCGTCTGTACAACGATCAGGAACTAAAAACAAATATAATATTATTTATTCCTCTTTATTGGTTTAATTAGATATCATAAATGAAAAGAAGGGAACAAGAAATGACTTTTATATCAGTTTCTTCGTTTGTTTGTAATCATACATAATCTTTTTCTTTGTTTATAAAGGTGAATTAACTGCACTATTAAAATCTAATGAACAATCTCGTGCATATCAATGTCATATGTGACCTCGCCATTATGACTAGTAGACATATCAGCTTGCTCAAATTATAACAAAAATATTCATTTTTCTAAACTTTCACTTTTCTTTAATATCCCAAATCTATAATTCCTGTAGATTTTATTGAGCTTTATCTGATTATAATAATTTTAAATTATTAGTACTTGAATTCTACCATCAACTTACTTAATAATTCTCGATTTGATGAAATACTAGTAGGTGTCGTAGTACTAGATAAAAATGGAGGTACAGTATTAGTATCATCATCATAGTGTTCTAAATCAATTTCAGGATCAATATCCATGGGTTCATCTTCACTTCCATATCTGTTCGCTACTGGTTGCTATTATAAATAAATAATCAATTTTAGAAGAAAAAAATAAAACAAAATAAAAATATTTACTTTTGTTTCACGTCTGACTGTTGGTGTTAGTTGTTTTGATGATGATGATGATGATGATTCTATTTTACGTACAACAAGTTGTGATTTAGGTTTAATAGATGTATGATGTAGTTCTTCCTAAAAACAAAGTAATAGAAATAAATTCAATTGCTATTTTTATATTATGAATATATTACTGGATCTCTGGCACCACATAAACCATTCCAACTTTGCTGTCTAACTGGTATATGAGCTACATGTTCAATTTCTTTTTTCATCTAAATAGAATTAATATTGAAAATTATATCAATAAAAAAAAGTAAATGAATAACAAACATCGGCAACTGTTGAAGTTTTTTTTAAAACAAGTTCATATAAATGTTTTTTGCCTGACTTGTCTTCATATGATACTGTTACTGGAAAATCACTAGTTTTAGTTGGTGAAATTTTTGATGGTGATACTGGATGATAATGAGATCGACTAAATTTAAAAGAAAGTAGGATTATTTTTTCAATGAAAATATTTTAACATACTTAGTAGTAGTTGCAGCTGTTGTTGATGATGATGAAGATCGTGTAGCGCCATTTGTTATTGATGATGCTGTGGATATCAGATGTATAGTATTATCTTGAGGTAAACGGAGATCTTTTAAGATTGTCTAAAATATTTAATGAATATTATATATTTATTTTGAAACAAGATATTCTAAATATTCTTGTTTTCATAGTTAATGTGAAAATCTTAGTTAAAGGGTTATTAAACAATTCTTACTTGATCTGTATGTTTTATAGCCCAGTTGGAAAACTTTTGTTGACTGGGTGGAACGTGTAATTTTTCATCAATTTTTAATCGTAGTTTATCTAAACATATATACATAAGTAATTTCAATGAAAAAAATGATTATAAAAAATATATACGAATATTTTCATTGTCACACATTGTGATATGTTCTTCATGATCCTTGTATTCAATAGTGAAATTAAGATCGCGCACTAGAAAATGAAATTATGATTAGTTCATAAAATTTTTAAGCTTCGTACAATAGTATAGTGAACAGAGATAGAAACTTCTTAGAGATTCTTCTATGTAAGCTTTGCTCGACTGATAGTGTGATTTCTTATAAATAATGTATATATTAAACTTTATCAGTATTTTAACTATGAACTTCTTCTAGAATAATATCAAACCTCGCGCACGAGTTGTTATTCCACTTGCTCCTTTAGTTGTTTTCGAAACCCCTGGTAAAATTTTAGTAATACGTGGTTCATCTGAATCATCATGTTCGTCAGAATCTGAACGATGTTTAGAATTGCTGTTTGTTTGAATAGGTTTTTTCACTATTGATGATGGTTGTGAAACTATTGAACGATGTGATGATGATGTTGTTGTTGTGGTTGTTGAACGATTAGGTACAGTTGATTTATTATTTGTATCATTTCTACTTCCAATTCGATCATGTACTGCTTGTACAGCATTCTATAATTAATAAAAATCAACTTAAGTTTATTCCATATATATATATATATTTACAAGTAAATTCCATTGATATTGTTCAAGAAAACTGATACATTCTTCCATATTTTCCAAACCTGTGCAGTCCTAAAAAGAAATAAGATTTTCAAATGAAATAAAAAACAATCAGTTTTTTTATTTAGAAAAATTTACTTGAAAATCAGCCAGGATTTGTTCACGTGATTCACTACTCATTGTTCAAATTTGCAAGAAAATAATTAATTAAATAATCTAAATAGTTAAAGCTATATTGTAATATACTAACTAAATTAATTATTAGTAAAAAATTTCAAGCGGAATGAGCTTATTTCATACAAAGATTAGAAAAATATTGTGAAAAAAAATAAACGACATGTAATTATGTATATATATAATATGATATCGTCATTTCGAAAGAAATAAAAATATATTATTATGGAAATTTCATTGATGGACGTTCAACAGTTGGTGTTCGATCATCATCTTCTTCATCATCGGCATCTTCGGCAACCATTTGAAATTGTTCGAATGCATTTATTATATCTTCTCTACTTGGAAAATTACCGGAAAAAAATTCATCAGGATTTTGATGCATATTTACATCACCACTTAATAAACGAGTAAATTGAGCAGCACGTCTACTTGAAATATTATCATGACCCATATGAGGTAACATTGACATTGAACGTAAGAAATCACGACCTTTACTATGTTTTGCTTGACGATGAATATCACGAGAACATAATAGATCAAACAATCTTCGTTGTTTTGCATCTTCCTATGAATAAAAAATTCAAAGTTTTTCTTGGATTATATTATTACAAAAAAACGATTATTATTACTTTCGCTTTTTCTAATTGTTGTTCGGTTGAAATGAATTTATCTTTGAATTCTGTTAAACAATCAAGGAATTCTGTTGTACTGAGTTTCTTATCTGAACCTTCGATAAGACGATTGAACACATAATTACCATCAGTATCACGATTAATAGCCAGTAACAATGGGTATTTATCAAGTGCATTTGTATCAAATCGTTTATCCGCAGTCCATGGTGCAAAAATAGTTTTGCACATCTCGTTTAACCTTATAAAGAAAAATAGTCCTAGTTCAATTGAATACCTTTTTTCAAATCAATTTAATTATAAAAACTTCATTTTTGATGATATGAATGAATTCTATGACATTTTCTGCTTTATAAAAGAGTTCTCTACTGAATAATATCATCTCTTGACTTTATCAGCTATGACTAAACATACCTTCATTGAAATTTCTTTGAAATAAAATATACGTTGGTAAAAAAAATTTCTTTTTCCTTATATAGCAAACAACGTAATACAGAAAATAAAGAATACACCTGAATATTCACCGGTATGTATGTCATCAATGACGAAGGAAAAAAAATACAAATATAACAGAACGAAAAAATTGCATACAGATGATTATATCTTGAGAAAGAGAATCTAAAAAATTCTTGGAATATTCTCTTTATATTAGTAAAAGACAAATGTTTGAAATATCGTCTTATGTCAGTACTTTATCTAATACTATGAATTATTTTCAAAAATTATCTTCATTTACTTTTGTCCATTTGATTCATATGTTACATCCCATGCCCAAAGTACATAATTACTCATTAAATATTCAATAATCTTATCATTACATAAAAGTTGTTTACAAAATAAATTTGTATAAATACTTTTATCATTATTAACATAGATTAAAAGTGGACAGCGCTATTAATAAAACGGAAAATATCGATTAAAACTTACATAATAGAATTCAATACTAATTTACTTTATTAATATCAGTTGAACCAAATGCTTCTTTGACAGCATTTTCTAATGTACCCATACAAACCACTGGGTATGCATTGAAACGACGATTGAGACATTTTATTAAATGTTCAAGAGCTGTTATTTCATTTTGACATTTATCAGGAACTAAAAAAATCTAGAATTCATATATTAAAATTCATTTTTTTCATCTTACTTAAACAATCTTCAAATTCCGGTGGAACATCCATAAGTTCATCGAAAAATTCATCATCTGTTGTAACAGTACTTCTATCACTTGTATGAGTACTATCATCTTTTTCGACATTAGACGTAGACTTAAAAAATAAATTTATTTTAACAATTATTTTTTACTACTAATTACCATGTTTTCTTTTCTTTTTTTTTCTTTGATCAAATTATATCTAAAAAAATGACTAATTACAATACACAAATACACATGTGTTTTGTTTTTTTTCTGCTTTGTTTTAGCTCTATCAAATAAATCAAATGAATGAAAGAAAAAAAGACAAAAAAAATCAACATTCAAAAATAGTGACAAAAACACTTGTTTCTTTTCCTTTCGCGCATAACAACATAATAATAATAATAATAAAAAAACGAGAGAAACCATACACATAAAAGCATGCTTTGTTTTATTTAGGCTTTTTTTAAATTCTATTCGAATGTAACTACAAGGTCTTCTTTATGAACAATCTTTATTTCATCGATTAATAAACGGGATAATTCGCTAGCTGTATGTGCTACAAAATGGCATATATCAGCTGATATCGGTCGATTTGAAAGTAAAGATGATAAATTTGATGCACCAGCATCAGGTAATATCGTTGTTCGAGTTGATTGTAAGGATTTACTTAATAATTGCTTCAAATGGTCATTTTGTGCATTTAATTGTTGATTATTTGTATTTGACTGATGTGTAGTTGCACCCCAACCACCAACATCAATTAAATCAGGTAACATACGTTCAACAATGGTAGCCATTGAAGATTCAGCTGTTTCATTTGATGGTATTTTAGCTGAAAATAAAAAAGTTATATATTTTACTCCGACTGTATAATGTTAGTTTGTATATAAAAACAGTATATTCTCGATTTAGATAAGACTGACTTATACTATTACTTTACTAATAAAACTCTAGATACATAAGAATGAGTATTATGTTGAAATTCATCAAGGATTGAAATGTAACATTCGATCCTTTTATCTCAATAATAATAATAAAGATAGCGACAATTGACCTAACAATTCTGAGTCAATCTACTCTGCAATATATTCATAGATCTTTTCGACTAAGAAATCTGTTTAAGTAGAAAGAAAAATCTCGTATCGTAAAAATTTTTAGACAATATAAATTGTTTGTCAATAAACCGCCCCACTATAATAAAATATCTGTGTTATATAAAATCAATATTACATGAAAATAAAGTATATATTACAAATACAACTATTAATCTTTCTCCAAGGGTATGTTGAGTTCTCGTATATATTATCCTAACCTTCTAGAATAGTTCGATTACCTTTGAGAAAAAATAACTATTTTAACAGGTGATTATTCTTTGTATTACAAATAGTTTCGGAGATGCTATAAGATCTATTGTTTACCATTAAATACATATCATATTCATATGAGAAATGTTACTGTATAGTTTAGTCTGTATATTAAATTTTATTAATGAGATTTATAATCAATCGTTTACATTCTAGCATAAATTCATTACAGTTAGTATTGAATTAGTCGTGAAAATATTTTATGTATGTACGAAATAGAACGCTGATAAGCGTAAATTGAAACAAGATTGCTTTACATAGATCATATATGAAAGAATTTTTGCGGTTGTATGTTTTGTTTGATATGCATAAAATTAAAGATCTGTCTATTCCGAACTATTTTTATTTTGAAAAATAAGTTATTTTAAGTATCAAGTATGTTTGAATATCGAGAAAATGTTCCTTTATTGATCAAAACTATCTGCTTCAACTATTGTATTTTGACCTAGGTCAAAAGTCAAAATTGCTAATATGCGTGGGACAATCAAATAAAAAATGGAGACATTCTATTTTTCAACTAAAATATCTTAGCTAATAAATAATAAAGAAATATTTGATTTTTACATATCTATAACTTATTATATTGTCTATTTCAATAGGAAAACAGTCATATTCTACCTGTTCTTGAGTCTGTATGGTTATCGTTTAATATTGGTGGTGGTGGTAGTGGATCCACAGTTGTTAAAAATGATAATGGTTCAGTATTTATTGGTGTATTATTAAAAGGAACTGATGACACCGGAAGATTATACGAATTATGACTGCCTGACTGGCCTAATAATCTATGAAAGAAATAATAATTAAGGAAAATAGTTAGATTTAATTTTTGTTCTAAATAACATACGGTGTTCGATCATTGACTTCTGAAGAAGCTAATGAACGTTGTGAATTTCTTGCTGTTCCCCCGTCACCATAATTATTGTTCGCTTGTGAATCATCGGAATCTTTACAACACCACGGACATATATTGCCCATTTTTCGTAGTAATAAAGGAAATTAAAGAACTAAAAAATATAATTACTAATAAATATCAAGAAAAAAAGTTGTTATTTATTTTACAAAAAACAAAAATAAGAATAAAACCAGGTAGTCAAACAAAAAACATAGGATCAAATGGATGACATAAATGCAAGCATCGCACTGTTTATTCCGTAGGATACCATATTTAAAAAATATTTGGACGAAAAAATGAAACGCGCAGAAGATAAGAAAGATGGCAGTAGTTATCGATAAACATATGTAGAATAAATCCAAGACAATAAAGAAAAATGATTTTAATTCAAATTGAAACGTTAATTAGTTGTTGAAAGTCAATATTGTGATAGATTAAATGAGCCTAGACTATCTAGAAGAGTTTTTGTGACTTGTACCATTTTGACAAATACTTTTTGTATAGGAAAAAGTGATGAAGATAAGTTATAAGACGTTTTGAGAATTAGCATCATTCAAATGAAAATCATTCTATCGTAACGCGTAAAAACTTCTGTTCAGACAATAGTTTAAATATATGATGACTTATCTACTTTCCGTCATAAGAAAGTATAATATTTTACTCATCACTTATAATTAGCTCCAATTTATTATATGAAAATGTTTTATTTCAATAAAAGTCAAATGATAAATGTAATATAAGCAACTACAAACATCTGTTTTATTTTTGTAAAATCTGTTGTCCGTCTTTCGTATCTGTTATTGTTTAAATTATCATTTGTAGTTATACATACTATTAACTATGCTGAAATAAAAGACATATTTCCTGCCAAGAACGACATCTGTTCTATTTCCTAGAATATACATTTATAAATGAAGAGGTATCATCGTGACGTTCAGGTCCATAATGGAGATTAGACATTTAATTTTAAATTCATTAGATTTAAAGATCTAAAAAAGAAGAAATATGTCTTATCGTCCATCATCCGCTCGTCGTCAACAAACGAGTATTAATCCAATTACAGGAGAAAAAATTGACTATAATAAAAAATCACATTTTACAAATGATCAAACTGCACCAATGTAAGCAACTTCTTTCAAATTTTATCTAATTAACCTTTTGTTTTATTATGATTATTTTCAATATAGTATTCCATCGTTAGATCTTACTGATGTATCTGATAGTGACAGACAACCACCACCTTCTGCTAGGCAATATAATGGATCTGCAAGGTAATATATATATGAACAACTTGAATAGAATATACTTTCTTTTATATTTGTTCTTTAGACCATCAACGGCACAGGGTGGTGTTAGTGCTCGTGTAGGTTCATATCGACCAGAAAGTCGAGCTTACGGAAATTTTGATCATCAACAAGCTATTTATACAAATCGACATGGAAATGCACTAGTATTAATTCAAATTTTATATACATATTTTTTATTTATATTTGTTTTATTCTTTACAGCAAAATACTCAATATGATTTAAATCCTGGTCGTGTACCTGCAATGGATATTAAAGTTGTTTATCCACCACATCCAATGTCGGCTCGTACTCAACGAGCTTTATCAACTCGTTTACCTGATTCAGTTCGTCCGGCAATGATATTAGATGGAAAAGTTGACTATACTCCTCGACCAAATTTACATTCATCAGTAAATTCTGCTATTGATGAATTTCAATTAGCTTGGTTAGAAAGTGGAAATCATCAAGATTCTTTAAAGAAAGTAGCTGCTGAAGAACAAAATGAACAAAGAAAACAAGAATTAATGAATGAACAAGTTTTATCTGATCAACTATCACGATATGTATTAAGTGACATTGAGCAAGAAGATGATCGTCATAAACCATATATTATGCAACAACAACCAAGAAGAAATCTTGATAGACGTATGCATGATACAAGGTAATTATTCAAATAAATATTATCTTTATCATTAAATTCTTAATTTTGTAGAGTTAAAACAAGTACATCATTAACTGAAAATTTACTTAGTAAACGTATTCGATTCTCATGTCGAATTGTAACAAGGTTCGACAAAAAAAGATTTATCATTTATTTTCATTTATCTTTCATATTTATAGAGATGGAAAAGATGCATTGAGAGAATTATTTGGTTTTTACTTTATGCTTGATAGAACATTAGCAGTTTATGAATATCGAATATTAGGCAAACGGTATATATTTATATATATGTATATATGTTTATTGTTATTACTTTTTTAATAGATCAAATGCATTACCATTAATTCCTCGTGGTCAATATATTCATTTGTCAGGTTATAATCAAGGACAACCATATACTTTACTTGATTTCTATCACGTATATAATTTTAAAAACATATATTTTAATTTATTCTTATATTAAAATATACTTAGGGAGCTCGTATTGATTTTGATACACGATCAATAATGTCTCTACCTGAAACAGTTCGTCATCGAACAAAATTAACTATTAGTATTATTTCAATAAATGAACAGGAAAAACAAACTTTATTGTATATCTTCAAAGATTTCGTTTTTGAGTAAATAATTTCTTTTTCTTTTTCGTAGACTTGATGGCATACAAGATCAAAAACGTCGAGATATTCTTTATGCTATAAAACATCCATATAGTACCGAACAACTTGACTATCAAAGATATCTAGCTGATGTTCATCAATTAACTAAACCGCAAATAAAACAACGAACATTAATTGTTTATACAAGTTTAGCAGAATATTATCGTAGACGAGCTAATGTAACTCGTCATGAAGATAAAGATCCAATTTGTATATGTGAAAAAGAAGATTTATTAGCTGGATTACATGAATATAAAATTCATTTGAGTGCTGGTGTAAGTTTATTGAAAAAAACCCGAAAGACATTTAATTATTTACTTGTTTTATTTTTTAACAGCATTTTTCTTATATTTGGTCTCATATGTCAATACAAGGCGAATCAAATGAATTTCTTAATCTACTTTTTGGTGAACTTAATGAAAAACGTTTTGCTCAAGTGATAAAAGTAAAATGAATATTATATTTTATATAAAAAGATCTATATATATTTAATATTTTAGGCTTATTCAAAAGTAGATCCATCTAAAACAGGTTATACAAATATTGATACAATAAAAAAATTTGTAAATTTATATGGTCATCCATATGCAATTCATAGTAAATATTTATTAAATATATGATAAAAATTTCGTATTTTGTAATTTAGATCGTTTATCAGATGAACAATTATGGACACGTTTCTGTGATACATTTCGTTTTGCTATTGATTATCCACGTATATCATATTCAGAATTTCTTAATGTATATGAAGCACTTAGCATTGCTGTTGATCAGGATGATGATTTTATTCATTTAATCAATAATACATGGCATATGTAGATTGTTTTCTTATGTATTCATTGTTAGCAAATCTCTTGTTTGTGTGTATTTGTATGTGATTGATCATACACAATAAAATAAAATTACTATTTATATTGAAATTTTCTTGCAAGATGTCTATACATGTTTCTAGTTAAACGATAGATATGTATAAAACATGTCGTTCGAAGTTATCTTTTACATATCTAAAAAATTACAGATTATAATAATAGGAATTTGTCATTGCATGCGTAAGTATAGATATGTAAATCTTGTTTTTTTTAGGAAAGTTTAGTCTTTATTTTTATTTCTAAGCCATAATTTAGAATGATAATCCAGGTCGATAATTAAAAATAGATTAAACTTTATGTTATATACTATCTATAGTGCTTCTTAATTAGTAGCCCACAACAATATATGGTTTAAATTAATGCATGAATGGAATTTCCTGTATCCGTAAAAAAGATTTTCCGGAACTTTCTGTTTACTAAACTTCGTGTCAATCAAATATACATTTGATTTATACTCAGAACGTGTCATAAAAATGTGTTATCTTCTTCGATTTTATTTATAGAAATTGTACTAATGACTATTATATTATATAAAGAACTAAAACATATGAATGCTTTGCTTTTTTTCCTAGTGAAAAGTTATTGGTTTAAAGAATAATGATTGTTAATAACATTGAATCGAAAACTTTTTTTTTCATAAGTAAATTAATCAATGTTGTTCTCTAAGTATGCCTTAGAGAAGAAAATGATCGTGAAACGGAAGAATTGTTGTGATACAAGTATTCATATTAGCTGCGTTATCATATAAGAATGTCAAGAACCAATGATATGTATAGAGTTTATATTAAGAATAAAAAAAAATTGTTTTTATCAAATCCGAGAATATTTATTAATAATAAATTGACATCAATGTATTAGAAATGAAAAATTATAAAATACTTAATTGCTTAGCTTTTACAAAAGCTCTATCACTGTCTTATTTATTAATAGAAACAAAAAAAAGAGCAAAATATAGATGGAAGAAAAATAAATGTTCAATCTTCTTTCTTTTTTGTTTCTTCAGCTTTTATTTCTTCACTAGTTTTTGTTTCTTCAGCTTTAGTTTCTTTATCATGCTTTGTTTCAATTGATGTTTCTTTGCCTTCGATTTTTTCATCATGTTTTGGTTCTTCAGCTTTTATTTCTTTATCATGTTTTGTTTCTTCTGCTTTAACTTCTTGATCACGCTTAGTTTCAATTGATGCTTCTTTACTTTCGATTTTTTCATCATGTTTTGTTTCTTCGGCTTTAATTTCTTGGTCATGCTTTGTTTCGGTTGGTGTTTCTTTACCTTCGATTTTTTCATCAGCTTTTGTTTCAGTAGATTTAATTTCATCATTGACTTTCTTTTCATCGGATTCAGCTTTATGTTCAGTTTTTGTTTCATCAGATTTAATCTTATCTTCAATTTTTGTTTCATCATTAGCTGTTGATGTTGTGGTTGTTTCTACTTTCGTTTCTGCAGTTTTGTGTGCTGCAGCTGCTATTGATTCACATGTTTCTCTTGGACATTTGCATCGTTCATCTTCAGGTACATCTTTTAATGCTTGTTCAATATGTTTACCACATCCTTTCCATGTTGGTTTGCCACATTCTTGACAGTCAACTTTCATACACATTGTATAGTTTTTTTTATTCTAAAACGTAAATAATCTAAAAGAGAAAAACATATAACTTGATCATTACCTATCAGTCTGACGTATGACATAACGTGATATGCAAGGTAGTTATGTACTGCCCTTTTTACCCTTTTCTGTTGTTGATTAGTGTATAGACAAGCCTTGTTTATAGGGTTACTAGAACGAGTCAATCGAACAGAAAGAAAAAGAAAGGAGACGACATCCTTGTAAATATGAAAAATGCACTGAAAAAGCTTGGAATAAAAAATGAAATTTTCGCGCTTTCATAAGTAACTTAAAATGACAGAGAACTATCTTCAAAAATATCACTATGAACGTTTATCAAATATTCGTCGTTGGCAAATACATTCTGGTTTAAATCATTTCTGTTTCAATGGACATTGTATTATTGGACGAAATCTTTCTGGTGCATTTATTATTATTAGTATGATTTCATTCGTAACTTTAGTCTGGTTAATTTTTGAATTACCCGTTCTATTAAAAGAATTTGATAATAATCTTATAATTCTATTCATTGGTCTTCTTCTGATTTTCTATACATATCGTAAGACATGATTAGAAAAAAAATATTTTTTTATTCTCCTTAAGTATATTTATTTCGAGCAATGTGTACAGATCCAGGTATAATACAACGTCCATCATTATCCGAACGTTCACAATTAAAATTAAATCGAATGAAATCTGATGATTCGAATAATATAATATATGATATTAAAGTAAATAATATTTCAGTTAAATGTAAATATTGTGTGACATGTCATATGATTCGATCACCACGTTCATCACATTGTGCTATTTGTTCCAATTGTATTTCTATATTTGATCATCATTGTCCATTTTTAAGTACATGTATTGGAATGCGAAATTATCGATTTTTTCTATTATTTCTTATTTTTTTATTACAAACAGAATTATATTTCTTTGTAACAAGTTTAATTAAAGTATTTATGAAATTTAATTTTTAAAGTATTAATTCTTTCTATAAATAGATATTAATCTATAGAAATAATGAAATATTTTTCAAATTAATACCATCATATTTTATTTTAATTATAACAGGTCCGAGTGCACTTTATACATGTAATTTATTAGGATATCATTGTATGATATCAATTCGTGCGTTAACAACTCGTGAAGATGATAAAGGAATTTATATGAAGGAGAATCCATTTAATACTCATTCATGGTATCTAAATTTAGCTAAAAAACTTTGTACGTCATTACCACCTAGTGCATGTGAGTAAGCAATTGAAAAGAATTTCAATTTCAATTCATTTTTCTTCTTTTCTCTATCTTAGATGGAGCACATCGATTAGTAAATCAAACAGAATATCGATTAATCAAAGAGAATATTTAATAGAATGAAAGTAGTATACAATAACAAAAACAAAAATAATAAGAAATTTATCAAAACCAATCAAGATCTGGTATATCAGCGAAAGAAAAACTTTTATCACCTTTCCATGCCCAATACGCAATACGTATATGATAGAAACCAGGTAGAAAAACAAGTGAACCAATTAATATCAACGGCCATGTACGATCACTATACTAAAATTAAAAGAAATGCATTAAAAAAAAAACAACAAAGAATGTTAAATACGAACTTCTGTTTTGATGTAACCAGTTAACATTAATGAACCTAATGTGATCATGATAGAACCAAGTAGAAATAAAGCAGTAGCTAAGACAATCGCATGAATAGGAATTTTAGTTGCTGGTTCTTTAAACTAAAAGTAAACGAAACTTTTTTTTTCTTTTATTCAAATTTAAGAGTTTATCGCTTACTTGTAATTCCGAATATTGTTCTTCTTTGTTTTCAAATCGAAAATATGGTGCTTTTCCTTCATCATCACTTTTTGATTTAAAAATATTTCTAAAATAATAATAAATGTATTCTCAACACATAAACAAATATTAGTTTAGCATTTAAAACAATAAGCATATAATTATGAAAAACATTTTTCATCGTAACTTTCAATAATTAAAAACAATTACATATTTTATTAATTAATCAATTCATTTCTATTCTTACTTTACCTAGTAAAACGATATACAGTAGTACTTTAAATAATAATAATAACAGGTTTTTTTTTCTTTCTCGTTTTTTTTTTCTTTTTCTTCAATTATCTGATGATGATTTTAGTCGTCTTACCTCATGGGACTCTTGAAGCGCTAAAAGAGAAAAAAAGAATAATAAAATTTTAATTCTCATAGGAATTACAGGATATATATAAAGCAAAGAAAAAAGAAGAATACACAATCGAAATTCTTCTTTGACTAAAATAAACGTTTTTCTTACTTGTTTTTTCTTCTGTTTGTCATTTGAATATGGGACATCTTTTTTCTCTTCTAATTCAATATTAGAAGGTGATAAAGTTTGTGTTCGTGTTGGTCGTATGTACATCTGAAGAAATCAAATCTGAAAACCCGATCATATATATATAGATATTTCATTGTATAGAAAGGAACAAAAAAATTATTCTTCTGATTGCCAAAACTACTGCACACACAATAAATAAAATTAAAAAACAAACGAAAAAAGCATAAAGATTAGAACAAAGAAGAATCTCGTTGTGTGTATATCACATCACAACAAAAAAGAGAGAGAGAGCGAGGAGATATTTGGCTTTCTGAAGATAAAACATGACATAGTATTTTTTTTGACTAGAAATTAAAAAATAAAATAACCACAACACACCACATACAAACTAAAAAAAAGAGAAAAGTTTGTTTCTCAGAAATAACATACAACCAATATCTGACATTAGGAGAAGGAAAGGGAACATAAAAGCAAAAACGATCATTATTTTTTTTTGTTTCTCTGTAGTTATGACTAGATTTTACATTAGTATACAACCTCGTTTTCCCGTACGTTGTTTTACATTTTGACTGCGAGCATCTTTTGATGAAGATTTATTTCCATTATTATTTGTTCCACTATTAGAATTTTTATTTTTACGACCTTTTCGATCTTTACGTGTACGTTCCTTCTACAGAAAAAGAAAAACAAGAGTAAAAATCTACAAATAATAAATAATTCTAACTTACATATTTTCGAATTTCTCGTACGAGAGTATAGAATGCATCTTCTACACCTTGTCGTGTTTTAGCTGATGTTTGAACAAATGGCATTGATAAGGATGCAGCAAAATCTTTTGCACATGATAAATCAATAGTACGCGTTGGTAAATCAATTTTATTTCCTACCACTAAATAAATTAAAATTATAAAAGTTTTATTGAATGAATTCATATTTTTATACTTACAAACCATTGGTATATCATCAGCATCTTTAACACGTTTTATCTGTTCACGATATTGTTTTATTTCTTCGAAAGATTTCGCACTGTTAACTGCAAACACGCATAAAAATCCTTCACCACCACGCATATACTGATCACGCATGGCACTAAAAATAAGACAACATCAGAATCTATATTATCATAATATTCATTAGTCAAACCTATATTCCTCTTGTCCAGCAGTATCCTAATGAAAAGACGAAAAAAAAGTATTAAAATAATATTAATAATTATTAGGTATATATATATACAAGAATATCAAGTAGACAAGTTTCACCATCAACAACAGCTTGCTTTCGATATGAATCCTCTATTTATATATATAGATATATTTAATTTAAAAAAATAACAAATTATTTTTATACCAATTGTTGGATCATATTCATCAATGAAACTAAAAATTCAACAAAAAAAATATTTGAACAAATAATAAATTTATTTTATAACTTACTGATTTTGAATAAGTTGAATTGTCAATGCACTTTTGCCCACGCCGCCAGCTGGTGTCATAAAAAAAAAAGAAGAAAACAACATGTATATATATATAGTCTAATTTAAATTAAAAACAAGCTAATTTACCACCGACGACGACGAGCTTGTATTCAGTCATGACTTATCCTTGTGTTTTTCTCGTATTTTTGTTTTTAATAAAAATAATATATAGAAATGTGAATGACTGAACGCGAGATTGATTGCAATCTATATATGAAAAAAGAAAGAACGAGAATAAAGAGATGAAGCACTCGTATTTCTGTTTGCTTCCTGAAGGAATGAGAGAAAAAACGATAAATGCATTGTTGTAGCAGTGGAAAACTAACTTAGAAATGATTCGCTACTTGCACTGTTATTTTGTCTCTAGATGATTGTAGCACTTGTTGCTTATTGGATAAGAAGTTTGACAGGTTAAAATAAAGTTATGATAGAGAGAAGTCAAGCACAGATTATCAGTCTTTAATATCATTGATCTATTGATGAAGTTAAGATTAATCCTTATAATTATAATATCAGAAATATTATAGATCATTTTAATTATAGTAAAACAGAGCCATATTCATAAGCAAATATCAATTGTCTCTTGTACTGAATATCGATATTGTCTTTATTTTTCATTTTAATATATTTACGATTTATTTTCGTTTTTATACAAAGCAAAAGATCGGTACATATAATATATAATCCACTTATAACTTAATTTGAATACAAAAGATAAAAATAGTTTATGTAAATCTTTGCTATTAAATAGTTTCTTGTATATTTTCTAAAAATTAAACTACAACAAAAATAGATAGAAAAAATTACAAAACACGATCAGCAATAAGCATATGACATAAAGCTGGTATTGGACGAGCAGTTGGTGAATTTGGTAATTTACCAGCACTACCAGCAATATCCAAATGTGTATAACTCAATGGTTTCTCGGAATCACAACCATGTTTATCGAGACCAGATGCTCGAGCAAGAAATGCAGCTGGATATTGATGACCGCGAGCTCCTGCATTACCTGCATCTTTTTTACATTGTAATACATCAGCTACTTCACTTTTATCATTAACAAAATCATAGTCCTACATAGTAATATTTGGATTTAGAAAACCGAAAGAATGCGCAATATTAAACATACTTCTCGCCGAACAGTTGAAACTTCAAATAGATCACCAATTTCTTCTCCTGCCGATTGAAGTTGTTGAGCTATTCCATTCTTTCGTGCTGGTCCATTATCCATGACTACCTTCAAAAAGAAGTACACCATAAATTCATCTTTCTTTTCAATAAAACTATCTATTTCTAACCGTATAATTATCTCCATATGTACGAGCAGCATGTCCAGTTAATGTCGCTATAGTAAATAATTGTGGATTAATTTCTTTTAATGCTAATTCTTTCATATAACATAATGAATCAGCCATAACTAGTCGCCCTAAATTTCACAATAATATTTAAATCTCAATGAACACAAAATTAAAAGCTAGATTTTTAATACCTTCAGCATCTGTATTTCCAATACGAATACGAACACCAGTTCTTGCTTTTAAAATTTCATCTGTTACATAACCATCTTCACCACAACTATTACGTGCAACAGCTAGAACACCAATTGCTTTGAATTGTTTGGGTTTTAATTCAGAAAGAACTTTAAAAAAACCAGCTACATTAGCAGCACCACATTTATCATACGACATGCTTGTCTATAAAAATATTAATTATAATAAAATTTTCGATAACTAAAAAATACATTTATTTTACCATATTACCACCAGCTATAAATAAACAAATATAGATTAAAATAGAAAAAAAAGTGAATGATTATATTATATACTTTTTATATCAAGACCACCGGTATCATAAGTAACACCTTTACCAACAAGTAATGCAGTTGAATTAATCTCACCTTCACCTGTATATTCAAGAAATATTAATCGACCCTGATGACGTTCAATATCTATGCAATATTTGTAATTATTTTTAATTTTTAATATCTTGATATTACTTACGATTGGCAGCTCGATTAACAGCAGAAAATAAAGGAAATTTTTTTTCAATTTCAGTGAGATCTTTTATTATACTAATCTAGAAGAACTTTTTTTCGATATTCTTGTTCAAAATAAAATCTTTTCTTACTTTAATACCAGATGATTGAGCAAATAAATCTTGAACATAATCAGCAACACGTGGTGGTGCCATACGTTCAGGATCTGATCCACCTATGTCTCTACCCACAACACGTCCTAATTCAATAGCTCGAGCATAATTTATTAATTTTTCATGAGAATCACTAGCAGATGATGTGTCACCAATATAAACACCTAATCGATCGACTTTAGTCTTACGTTCAGGTTTATCTTCTCGAACTTGTAATGGCTATAGAATAGATTTAAATTTAAATATAAAGAATTATTTTTCTCTGTACCACATAAGTTGTTTCAAGTGCAGATAGTAAAGCAACTAAACTTGATTGTTTATATAATTTTGAGCCAAAAGTTGCAATTAATGGAGATTTAGCACCAAGTGATAATGCTTTTTTCATACCAGCTGATGCTGCATCCGTAAAACGACGTACATCATCATAATCTCGATTTATTTTACCAGTTGGTGAATAGATCTAAACAAACAATTCGATTTTATCATATGTAACAATGAATAATTTACAAGTCGTTTGCCTGGAACAGTATTATTAATTGTTAATGTAATTTCTTTATCGAATTTTTTATTTAACTAAAACAAAAATCAAATATTAAAGAAAAAGATATTTATTAAAATTTCTAACTTGATTAAATGCTTGTAGATCTTGTATTACTGAACTATCAACATGTTCTTTAATTTGATCTAATTCAGTAGCAACAATTACTAAAGCATCATAATTATTCGATGGTGAAGAAAGATTTTTAACTAAATTAACTTCACTAGAAGAAAAAAAATATTCAATAACTATAAATATTAATAATTTACGTTAGAAATCGACGATAGAATATTGAATTATAAGGTAAACGATGTGTAAGTAACGATAAATGCCGAGAAATCATTATTATATCTCTAGAAAAATTATTTATTGATAAGAAAATATAGTAGAAAGAACGGTAAAGAGTTAACAAGTATAAGTTCTATTCTCTTACTAAAAATCTGCGGAACACTTTATTTTTCCTTTCAATTATTTATATATGATCAATTACTTCCTCTATTTCAAATTGTTTCGACTCAAGAGGGTAAGAGATTGCCGATAATATTATAAATATATTGTTCTATATTTAATTACTTCGTAAATAATATATTTCTCTCGCCAGTTGCTGCTCAAAAAATTATAAACTACTAGTTAAGATCTTCAATATTGTATATGAAACTTAGGCAATTTTCTCAATCGGTTTCCACTTAAGATAAGTAGAGTAATCAGTCATGTATTTATGACCTAGATATAAAATTCTGGGAGAGAAACTAATAGTCATAATAAAATGTTTCGATCATTCTTGTAAGAAAACACATGATGAATTGATCATACTATATTCCTATATAAAAATAAATAAATATATAAAGAAAAAATCATTTCAACAAAAATTTTTTTTGATATGAAAAAAGTAACAAACAAAATTTCTCTTCGCGTATATTATTCACAACAAAATCACTACTAAATAAAGGTTTAGACTATTTCATATGTTTACTTGGTAGAAAAAAATAAAAAAAACAAACAAATGTAAATGTTATACAAATACAAAAGGATATTAAAAAAAGAGGAAATTCTCTATGGTAAAAATATACGCTGATAGAATTGAATAGGTGTTCGACAAATTGGACATAATTGTTGTGTTTGATTTTTTAATTGTTGAACACATGTATGGCATAAACCTAAATGTGAACATGGTTGTAAACTATAAGTAGTTTCATTGTCTAGACAAATAACACATTGTAAACGAGTATTCTCATTGGTGTCTTCATTTCGATGAATAACTGGTGCAGTTCTTGGTAAAGTATTTGTTTGTCGTTGTCGTTTTAAATAATATTGATAGATTAAATAAGCAGCTGTACAACTAGCAGCAATGCCAAACAATATACTAACGACTCGAATAATATTTGAATGTTTTCGATATCGAGATAAAATTTCATTTCGAGTTGATCGTGATAATATTCCACCCCATTGTTCATGTGGAATTAAATACCAATTACCAGATCGTCTTTCTAAACGTCCAATACCAGTCAATGGAATATCAATTAATAGCATATGTTCTTGTGTTTCAATGCCTTTTGATACATTTCCAATAGCTGTATTAATAAGTTTTTCTACGGATGACGATACATTTGGATCAAATTTAACATGAATTAGTTCTAATTGATCTTGTACTGAATTGAATTCTAATGGTTTGTCAATACGAATGAAATTTCCTTTTGGTGAAACGAGACGAAATGGTACATAACGTGTTTTATCACTAATTAAATTTTTTGTTTCAACCCTTTAATAAATAAAAGTAAAGGAAAAATACAACAAAATAGATTTTTTTTACCAAACATTACGAGCTTTTTCAAATCTTTGTTCACGTATTGTTAAACGATGAATGACACCCGTAGAATCTGATATAAATTGTGATTTTAATATTGAATTTGGTTTAGAATCATTTACTTGTACAAGACCATGTACTGATGCAAGATCAATTGTACTTGTTGATGATGAAAACTTTTTTAATGTATCTATATCTATATCAGGTGCTACCTAAAATTAAATAAATTTCCCTCTTTCATTGATAATATCTGTCATGATTTAGTTGTTTTTAATAACAGTTGCCAAAGTTTATATTTAATACACTATCGAAACAATTGAATGTAATACTTTATGTATATATTAGAGTTATTATTCTAAGAAAAATCTTCAATCTTTATATTTCTACCTCAAGAACAGCCACAAATGTATCATTGGATTTCCACCATCGATAAAATCCATATGATACACCTAATTCTCCAACAACCCAAAGCCAATTCCAATCGAACATTGTCTGCAATATATATAAAAGAAAACAAGTTTTTACTTTTTTCAATAAAATTATTTTCAAAATAAATACTCATTGTTTAGTCTTTGGTTTCTTAATTACTTCTGAATATATTCTTTACGTATCAATTAACACATAATTATCATATTCATTCTTTTTTTCGTCATGTCATTGATCCACTCTATATCATATTTAATCTATTCTATCGATATAAAATGATAGTCCTTAGTTACAGAAAAGACAAATATATACCGTAAAGTGTTCACAGTAAGAATCCTGATTATCATAGATCAAACTTCATAACTAAATTCAAAATTTCGATTTATATGATTAGTATAAATAGTCGTGCTAAAAATTCTATTATAAAGAACAAATTTGTAACAATTTTTGAATGGTAGATATATTTATTGATAAATGAACACTTGTTCGAATTCAGCTAACTAATTATTATTGATTGCTCAAACTGCTGTAGTCAAGAGACTATGAATTTTTAAGATATTTCAGCTCGTTGAGAAGAAACAAAACGAAGAAGAGAAGTTAGCCTATTGAATTATTATTTGTGCGATAAGAATCAATCAAAATTGAATTGATAGATGGCACACAAAAGCAATAGTAAATCTGATTAATAATTGAATGTATATAGTACTTTCAATAATATTAGCTTGTCAAAACTGAATAAAGTTATTAAAGCATTACTCAATATTTGTATGTCTTAAATATCATAGAAAATATTAACTTATTAGAAAAAAACAATTCTCTTTTCATGCTTTCATATACTCTATACAAAAAACAATAAAAATGTCAATCAAATTTCTCTAATAATCAGGAAAACATGTGAAACACTTGAGTAATTATTTTGAATTATTAAAAATATATGCATTTTCCAATCTAGTACTCATTAATATTTACATTAAATCGATAAATATATATAGAAATCAAATTAATTGAGTTTCTAGTAAAATCTATAACAATATGCAACAATAATTGAATTTGTTTCCTTATAAATAATTAATACTTTCCTAATCAAGTCCAATATTTATCTTGTGAGAAAAAATTCCATGTCGACTTATCTGACAGAGCATTTGCTCTTCTATGTTTATTAGAATCTACAATGATTTTTAAATATGGATATCAATAACTCAAATGAAATAGTTTTAGTTACTTTCTTTCAGAGGTTACATAGTGACGTTTTTGAACAACTTTTTCTCTCCTATTCTGTTCACATATATTTTACCTGTTTAGAGAAATAATATATCATGATAGAACTTAAATTGATTACTTTTATAAGATGTTATGAAGAATAATTGTGATGTTTTTATATATTTTTAGTCTAAATTATTAAGAAAAAGTACTTTTTCTCCTTTGGAAGATGATAGATATATATTATTTGAAGCATAGAAGTAATAAATTGATGTGATAGTTTTCATTGTGCATGACAAACAAATTCATCTGTTAGAAAAAAGACTAGTTTAGTAAAATGGATTAAAGGACTTCTATTGTTTTTATGCAAACTTTCATAAAAATCCGCTTCCATGACCTTTTTTTTGAAACTTCTGAATATTCTCAATCTTTTTTTCCATCCAACACGATGTAGATGGAGACTTATTTGTTATTGTGCGTATTATTTGAAGAAAAGAAAAATCAATATTGAGATAGTCGACGTGTATTACTTCTTGTTTACTTTAATCAAAATTAGTTCTAAAAATAAAATATCTCAAAATTCTCGATAATGAACCAAAAGTCTATCTATTTGACATCGTATATAAGATGACTATGATCCTCGTATTATATCATAACAACTTGAGCATTTTTGAAAGGCAAACATTTTTCACTAATGGTATTATGCTAAATAATATCCATACGATAGTTTTAAGTTACACTTGCTTCGATAAGCGATAGTATTTAAAGTTTATTCATAATTTTACGATTCATTTATACGTTTAAATCAACGAAGAAATTTTGAATAACAACCTTTTTAAAATTTAGAGATCAGGGCCTTTTATACGTCTGTTTTTATCTTGACCTGGTAAGAGACAATCAGACACTTTGGTTTGCATATATACAGATAGATGCTATAGCTTGATCTCCTTAATCCCTCACACTCATTCGTTGCTAAACTTCTAAAATCTTTAAGCTTTGATTGAGTACAGTGAAAACACATATATAGCTTCTATTTTTTTATTCTTATGCCATGCGACATATTCACCAATCATTTTTCTTGAATTTTAATAGAATTTCATTAATGAAAAAATTTCTTTTCTATTCCTTGTTTTAAAGCACATCTTGGCATTTGTTAAGAGCAGCTTTGTTTTGCAAAAAAGAAAAAAGTACATCGTCATTCTATAAAATTTCAATTGCAACTCATTATCACTTTTTTATATGGCCTGAAAATAAGATATAAAATATGCGTGAGTATCTATTTGATGATTTCTATTTATTATATTCGGTTTAAGTTGACAATTATATGAATTCCTAATAAAATCAAACACCGGACATTCTAGTTAAAAATTCATATTTTTCTTCTTTCATTTCTGCACGAAGAAAAAGTAAAAGAAAACGAATCGATCTTATGAAGTCTTTTTTACATTACATTTCTTCATGGATTAAATACATTGTGATTGTTATTCTTTCAAAACCATATACGTTTAAAGTAGTAAAAAGAAAGACAAAAGTTTCATCGGTGACCGAAAGCTAAATTAAATGACAAAAAAATTTTTTGATTCTTAATTTTCTAATTTTAATATAGAATAAATAAGATTGCATTCATTCTATCTGTTTCCTATTATTAGTTAGAAAACTAGAAAACTTCAGGGCCATTAAAAAATAAATTACATTGTAATTTATATGACAAATAAAAGTATATATTTACTAATCGGTCGTGAGAAAATAGAATCGTTTGTCACGCGTAGAAATGGTAACACCTAGATAAATATATATATATATTATGTAAGTTTTTGTTTTAGACATGGATTTTCCTCGACGTCATCGATCAACATACCTTTTTTTAATAATATTTCCTTATTTATATATCATATATTCTTATTTTTTTAATTCATCATCAACTGCACAATTTCAACCAAATTACTTATTAAAACCAGAAGATACTGGACGAGTTTTAATTATCTATGTTTGGGCTGATACAGATATACAATCACTTGGTAATTTACAATTTTTTATTCGTTATGGTGTTCATGAATCACAACGAGCTGATTATTATTTTATTTTACAAGAAGTTAATAAACAACCAGTGAATATATCAAGTTTACCAAAACTTCCACCCAATGCACATTATATTGAACATGTAAATGAATGTTTCGATTTTGGTACATTTGGATGGTTTTTATCAAAAAAAAGCGTGAATTTAAAATTATATAAATATTTTATTTTTATGAACGCATCAATACGTGGACCTTTTCTTGTGGCTTATTTTGATGATGAATCAAGTTGGTGGTATAATATATATACGAAACGTTTAAATGATGAAGTAAAACTTGTTGGTTCAACTATAAATTGTGAACATAAACCACATGTACAAAGTTATATATTGGTTACTGATCATGTTGGTTTAGCTATATTAATAAATCCTACTAAAGGAGTATTTAGTTGTAAAAAAGATTATACAGATGCTGTTTTTAATGGTGAAATAGGTGCAAGTCAATTGATTCTTCATGCTAATTATCAAATAGCATCATTACAAGTTAAATATCAAGGTTATGATTTTCGTAAGAGAGAAAATCAAAAGTGTAATTATGAAAAAAGTCCAATATTTATTGATAAATCTGTTGATACTATAACTCACGATCCATTTGAACTTGTTTTTGTTAAATATAGAGGACCATCGACGAGTTTTGATTCAGATCTTGAACGACGTGCATTTATCTATCAACGATGGCTAAAAGAACAGCCGCCAAAACAAGAACCTAAAAAAGTGATTGTTTAATTCAAATGTTGAATATTACCGTTTGTTTTTCTGTATGAAATGTGATATATTTATAAATTATTTACAAGAAATTTCGTATGATTTTTCTATTCTATCGGAATAATATCTTAATGTTACATATTTAATTGAATTATACGTCCACAATAGTTCATTATTATTTATTGGTAATTATTATCAACAGATGGACTTGTATTTGTACAATCATAGGTTTTTTTTAAGTTCTATCATCGTCAATCTGTCTTTTCTTTAATGTAACAAAATTGTGCATTTTCAATCTTATTTAGCATATGCATTGATTAAGTTACATGTAAGTTTTTATTTTTTCATAGAAGAGTTTTACTTTATGACCCATTTGTTTTAGTAACATGTATGTTTTGATAATTATTTTCTGTTTAATTAGATTTCTTTACTTGAGTATTTCCCATATGTTGGTAACTTTTTTAAATATAGAATTCTTTTTAAATTATTTTAGCTATTTATTATTTATTAGATATTCTGATTGTAAAGCATTACATCTATCAATTTAATGACACATATATGACGATAACTTTACTACGTATATACTTCTATTTACTTTTTGTTCCTTCTATAAGGATTAGTCATAAATAACAGTATGATAAACAACTGAGATATCTCTATTTCTGCCCTATCGAATGGACTGATGTTTTTGGTAAGTGATAGAAGTTTATTTAAAGATTTCTTTTTGATATGGATAATAATTTCAATAAATATTCCTATCAAATTAATAAAATATGCAAGAAATTCGATATCAACATAAATAAATGTAGTAAGAAAAATCAACAAAATATGTCTGCTAATTATTGAAAATAGACTGAAATATACATAAACATAGATTAATAAATATGTAATTCTGTAAGAAAAATTATTAGTCGATAGAATTCTTGCTAGAATTATAATATAATTCATATATCAATATGTTGCCTAGCCTTTAAATCGATTTCGTGTATTGAAATGAATGAATTCGATCTGATTCCGTCAGATTTATGGATCAGATCATATATCATGAATATTTAGTTTGTAATTAATAAATAAGCAATATATTTTGTCTGCTTCGTTGTTGTATGTCATAATCTCTATAGACAATTTTTATTCGTTACTAAAAAGAATACGAAATATTAACAAAAAATAATATTAATCAAAAGGTAGCTGATTTAAATGTCAATAGTTTCGAATTTTCATTTATAAAACACTCATAGGTCAACATCTGAAGTGATTATGTCAATCATCAAAGGATAATTTATGCGAACTATTTTGAAAATTTTGCTTTTTAATATGTAATTAAAATATTGGTATGAAAAGATTTGATTTGTTTTTTTTTAATCGTATCATTACCTCCAAATCGTTCTGTATATCCAAAGAAGAGAAAAACTGAAAAACAAAATTGTTTCTTGTATAAGCGGAATATAACAATTAAAGCAAACAAAATATAAATAAAAAGAACACTCTTTTTTGTTTTAATAAAACTTTTGTTTTTTTATATTGCGTGATGACAAATAACAGAGAGAGAGAGAGAGAAAAGCGACAATAGCGCACACAAGATTAAGAATAATGTATATAATTTAATAATCATTTTAAACAGAAGAAAGAAAGAAAAAGATCATTTTATACAACGACAGAAGAAAAAAAGATCACAAATGACACAAACATGTTGCTGCTTGGTTGTTATTATTAATAATATTTAAGAATAAATAAGCATAGAGAAAAGAAGAAGAAAAAAAAGGAAATCACAAATAAGCAGCAAAAGAAAAAACTTGAATTTAACTTTCATTGAATGATGTTGATTCATGTGTATATGATATACTACTAGGAGAAGAAGAAGAAGAAGAATTTGGTAACCATCGTGCCTTGTGATCGTTAAGACCAAAACCAGCTGAATAGTTTCCTTTTATAGCAAATAATTGAAGAAAATGGGGTTTACAATAAATTTGTCCATCGTTCGCTGTATAATTGCCAAGTCTAAAATTACAATGATTGTTTAACAAATGTTTTTAGAAAATTATTTAATAGGGAAACATGCTCTTGAATAAAACACTGCAAACGGTAGAAAAAAAATAGCAAACGCTGCCTACGATTGATTGTTAAATAGATTGAATATTTGTAATTCTTTTTTTCTCTTCTAAAATCATATAGAAAAATGTAGATTTGTGTATATTTATACTCACTTCAATATAGATTTGCAATGCATACATTTAAAACAGGCTTTGTGATAAACTTTTTTATCTGCTTCAATCTTTAAAGAAAAAAAAATATTGAAATAAATATTGAAAAAATAATTCGATTTCTATACTTTTTCCATTGCATAAACTGTTTTATTACAAACAGAACATTTATTTGGATCAACAGCTGGTTCAACAGTAACTTGTTTAGGTGCAGGTGTATCCTAAAAAGAATTTTCGTTTTATATATATTCAAAAACAAAAAACGAATATTTTTTCTACATACAACAAATCGTTTAGGTGTAATTTTAATTTTTGCTGAAGCTGTTTCAACTTTAAGTGCATCTTTTTCATATTCGGCAAAACGATTTTTTAATGATTGAGCTTGACCTTTCGTTGGAACAATTTCTTCATTATTGTTATATTGTTCTGTTATAGCATTTGAAATACTAGTTGTATCAGGCGATGTTATTGATTTTCTATAATAATAATTTCAATGAAATTCAACTCTTATTTCTCTAGAGTTATTTACCTTCGAACACCTTCTGGTGGTGGTGTAATTTGTTTTAAGGTCTTTCTTGCACTAGTTGCATTACTTTGTTCAGCCGTTTGCATAAGTCTTTAACGAAATAATACAATTCATTTATATATTTTCATATTATAAGATTTGAAAAAAAAACCAAAGCAAAGCATTTGTTGAATCAAGGGTAAAGGTACGAGCTAGAACCTACTCATCATCATCATCATCATCATTATTACTATTCGTGCTCCATAAATCATGCACAACAGAGATGAGACTCTCCACACCAACATGCTCTTCATCACTATATAACATAACATGCATTTTTATTCAAAAAAAGAACGAGATGTGCAAGATCACATTAAGATAAATTAAACTATATACCTTTCTCGAACAGCTCTTGCATGACCTGATTCAATATTAGCTTTATCATCTGCATAGCCTGGTTTCCGAGAAGTAGAATCATCCTGTATATATTAAAAAATAAAATAATAATAATCAAAATAATACATGATTAATATTACATCATCGGGCATTGATAAACGTCGTTCGTTATCAAGTGGTGGTGTTATCGCACGTGGTCCACGTCTTTCAGGTGGTGGTGTGTTCTCTTTATCCATTGTTTTCCACATTTCGACAATATTCTTTGCGTTACCTATGATTATAAATATATGTATTTAATAATCTTTTTTTTTTCATTCTCTCAGTAGGTGTATACTGAGATAAATGATAATAATTTTATTTGATTATATACCTTGTTGAAGTATTTCAGCGTCACGTAGAACTTGAGCGTCAGGTGTATCACGTTCTGGTGTTATCTGTTTTGTTTTCCACTGTTCAACGAGATTTTTTGTTTGACCCTTTTCAAAATATATCTCTTCACGTTTATCAGTTTCACGTACAATGTTCCCGTTCTCCTATATATAAATATTAGAAAAATGGCATACAGCATAAAAGAATATAAAGGAGAAGAAGAAAAAAAATATATATATATATTCCGACAGCAAGAGAAGAAAGAGAAAAAAGAGCGTGAATCAAACACAACATATGTCTCCTTCGTGTAAGACACGTTTTGATAATAAAGAAAAGAAAGAAAGAAAGAAAGAAATCAGTACAATCTATCCATATGTTTGAAAGTGCATATGAATAGAAACAAAAAAAAATCAATCGAGATCAATATTTTCAAGTCAACAAATAACACCATTTGATTACTCATAATTTTCATATATTTATTTCTCTGACTTCTGTATGACATCTAGACTCCTTCCACTGTTCTGATTTATATATATGCGTGTTCAATCAAATGTCTGTATTCTCGATGGTGTAGTCAGTCAATGTATTTCTTTCTAACAAACGACAACGAAAGAACAATAAATTCTTTATATTCGATACCTTTTTACGTTACTTTAATAAAGCAAAGAAGAAAAAAAAAATGAAATACGAATAGATAATGGATATATGAACGGACACATGCACTCGCCTGCTACCGATTGAAGGTTACTCACTTTTTCTTTTTCTTTTTCTTTCATTTTTTCTTATGCAACTATACTCATTTCTTCTAATTATCTAGTTCAGTGATCGAATACAATATGTGAAATGCGTATCGATCACTCGATAGATCTGAAAGTTGACTTCATCAATAAGGCAATCTGTCTATCATATACATACGTGAGTGTGTGTGTGTGTGTGGGTGTCGTATGAACGAAACGTATATTTAAACTCACTCATTTTTTTTCTTCTTCGCTATATCATTTTGTTCTTTCTATTTGATATATAGAAAAAAAAAGTAAATTATGTATAAAATACGTATCATTTATACCAATGAACAAATAAGCACACCTCTTCGAATGTTTAGCGTGTCAATAAAAGATACTATTTACATGATAGACGAACAAATAGTTTCTATTAGAGATATAGAATATATAACTAGTATTATAAAGTTATAAAAGTGATTCCCCATTATCATGCAAATATGTTTTTTGTTAAACTATCTACCATAAAATAATATGCACACAAACATATTCTCTAATCTAAAGAATAGATTTTGTGCATATTATAGTGAAAAGGCATAAGAATAATTAAAAAAGCATTGAGTTAAATTTTATTTTAGATCAATATTATTAATTATTGCCACAGTGCATTGAGAGAAAGAGGAAAAAAAGCAGTGTTATGAAAGAAAAAAAATAAAATTAAAGATAGAAATAGAAAAATAATCAAAGATTATAAGCATTTGTCTACTTGTAGCAGTATATACCAGATACACACACAAATACATAATAAATGCACACATTTGAAGTTATAACATATATTGATGGGTATTCACACACACACACGCTCACAAAATCAATTGTTTTTAAAAAAATAATATATTTATATATATATTAAAATAGACAAAAAGAATATATATACACAATCAGTGTACCTCACCGGAAGTGGTAGAGACAACATTTTTGTCGGTATCGTTTGATTTTATCTTCAGTCTTACACTCATGTTGACAAGCGTGTCAGAAAATTCGACACGCTAAAAAGAAAATAACAGAGGACAATGTTATATACATATATATATATATATGTGTGTGTATCTGGATATACGCATATTAAATCTGATTATCTATATAATTTGTATTTATTTTTTAAGCAATCCCATCTAGGTTAGTAGTAGTTTATTTTCAGAATCAATAAGAAGAATCCCACTAACAAAAAAGATGAAAACCTACGATTAATTGACTTTTTTTTCTTAGAATCGAACCATTTATTGGTTGGCACACATTTACGTGCCAACGAAAATCCTTTTTTTTATATGAAGAAAAATAATTGCTCGATTAAGATATGTCAATAAGGAAAAAAAACGAAATCAACTTACATCAACACGTATTTTTGAATCACCAGCACTTGCTGTTGGTTGTGTACCACTTTGTAAATTTTTAAACATAGCAACACGTTCTTTAGCTACACCACGTTCAAGAAGTTCATTATCAATTTCAACTGTTCGTTTAATCTATAAAATAAATAAATATATATTGAATATGAACTTAAATATCAATATTTACAGTAGCTTCATCGGGATTTTCAAATGCTGTAGCACGACTTTTAGCTAAACCACTTTCAACAGTAACAGGTTGAGCTGTTTTTGTTGTTGATATTTTAGTTGTATCAGCCATATACTGTTCTTTAATTGTACTTGCTAAACCACTTGTAACATCGTAATGTTTTTCTGATGATTTATATTCTGTATTAGCTAATGATGCTAATTGTTCACGTCGTGCTGTTGCTAATCCATGTTCAGTATCAATATCAATATGACGATCACCTGAGCGTTGTGTTTGTTGTTCAGCATCAATTTTTGATAATAATTCTGAACGTCTAGCTTGCGCATTACCTGATTCAACCGAATTTAATGCTTCATCACGACGTGTTGATGTTGTTGTAGAATCATTCATATGACCACTTTCAAATTTAGCCTTCTTGTCTGTAGTTGCACCAACAAGAAGATCAGCATCAGCTTGTACACGATTTGAACCTAAGTCATGATAATCATGATCATATTCACCTTTTTCAAATTTAGCTTTTTTATCTGCTGCTGCACCAGCTAATACATCATGATCAATATGAACTGTTTTTGTTTGATTTGTTTCATTGTCAGTTACATGTTGTTCAAATGCTTGTTTTTTCGATGATGCTAAGCCAGCAACAAGATCAGCATCAATTTGTACTTTGCTTATATGTGATTCAACTTCTTGTTCATATTCACCATGTTCAAATGCTTGCTTTTTTGATGAAGCTAAACCACTTTGTACACGAACATCTAAACGTTTTTCTGCACGTGGTTTCTCATCAACTACACCTTTTTCAAATTTATCTTTAACTTCTGCCATTTCATGGTAAGGAACCTAGAACAAGAACAAAGATGTTTAGATAATATAAACAATAAAATAATTATTTTTATAATACATGTTCTCTCGGTGTTTTCTTTTTTCGTGATGATCGAACAATACCATCAGATTCCGCTGTTTCATTTTCATCTTCTTCTTCTTCGTTTTGACCATTTGATGAAGCGATGTCTTCAAATCTATTGAATAAAAAATAAATGATAACAATCATAAAATATTAATATAGGACAGAAGACAAACAGAATAATACATTAATAACTATTTCTAAAAATAGAATAATTGTCATTGAGAAAAAAAAAAATAACAATAGTCCAATAAATATTGTGTATAATATTTACTATTACTACTAATAATAATAATTCAATGGAGAAGGTCAAAAAAAACTACTTACTCTGGTATTGGTAAGTCCATTTGAAGTAAAATCTGTTACTAGTTCTTTTTTGTTAATATGTATTGATGTGCAACGAGAAGTCACTTTTTCCTCTCTCTCGTTCGTTTATATAACTCAATGAAATGTGCGATTGCTTACCTAGCTTTTCTTAATTTGTTTTTTTTTCTGTATATCTATTCTTTATCTTGTTTTTTTTCCTCTTTTTAACCTCAAACACATACATAAAAACGTGTACGACCTTATGATAAAATCAATCGATCCGATGATTTTCTCTGTTTTTCTATTTATCTTAATAATAAAATAAAATCAACAACATATAAAACATACTTTTGAAATGTATTTTTCATTTTGTCACTTGGTGCTACTCGTTCAACTTTTTGTAAATTTTGTCGTTCATCTTCATCAGTTGGTTTAGCAAACATTTTTGTAATATTACGTAGACGTTCCAATGTATCATCTGCAGCACCGGCAGAATCGATTGCTATCAAGAGAAATAAATAAATCAAAATAAAGATTATATTTTCTAGTATGTTTTTATGTTTTTTTTTTGACTAAATAGTTTGTTTGATTTTTTCTCTCGATATAATAAGGTTAATGTAAAGAAATCTTATAAGTTATTTAAAGATTCGAATACACAAAAAAACATGTTTTTATGTAAATACTACATACATGAATCTTCATTTGTATCTGCCATCGTTTACTTGAATTTAATAAAATAGGTGCTCGAGTACGGCACACTTCAAATAGTTATTCTTCTTTTCACGCAAGCGTACGCTGGATAAAAAAATATTTCTCAGTAGTGTTAGCTGCTGGATAGAATATAGTACTTCCGCTTCTGTCTTTGACGACAATAACTGTAAGAACTGTACGTATGTATTATCCAAGATATATATATGCTCTTCTTTTTCTTTCTCGTTATTTTTTTTCTTTTTCTTTTCCTATTACAGTTTTCTCTTATTCATACTCCATCCTACGTAAAATATATACATATATATATATATCTATATATACAAAAAAGAAATGTGCCCGCTGTCGGGCTTGTATGGATAAACAGCGAGTACCATTAGTAATTGTTGGATATACGACAGAAAAAAAAGAGAAAAGAGGACACGTAATATACCATAGTGATTATTTCTTCGTTCTTTTTTTTTTTCGATGAGATCATTCTGTTGTAGGAATATATAGACAAGAGAAAAGAGGTCATCAACAAAGTATACATACATATACACACTCATATATGTATATATTAAGTAGAAGAGTTGTTTTCGTATCTCTCTGGAAATGTTTGTCAGAATGCAAGGCAAAAAAAAATATTCATATGTCACCACACAATAATAAAGAAGAAGAATCTATTTCTATTTTCTTTTAAGCCTAGAATAGTTGTCATATAATGCAACAGCAACATTTTCTTCTTATAGAATATTCTCGTAGAGTCAGTTGTAGAATTGATAGACATACACCCACATTAGTCAATTTAGAAGGCTTTTTTTTATAACGACGCAGATGTATATAGACTCTTTCAACTTATATATTGTTAAATATGTCTTTTTCTTACGATTTAATTCATTATATATTCAATATATATATATATATACAATGAATTGAAGAGATTTCTTTATATATTAATACTCATCTTTTATACTCTAATTTGTTTGTCGAAATCATTGAATTAAAATATTATGAAGCTATTTGGAACTTAACGAACTGCGCATGACTATTCATTTGTAAACTTCACGTAACACTCTCTTATTTGTCTACATAAACGATCGACAAATCTCATCGATCACATTCCAATTCGATAATTTCAACTATTGAATCAATAACTACATCGTTCGTATAATACGACCTTTTTTTTAACGATAAATCTTCTATGTTGAATGTTATTTTGATTGTATAGTTAATCTTAACAATTGATAAATAGATAGGAGTCTCACTTACGTCCCTCTTTCGTTGATAAATGCATAGTATGAATTTCTGTATGACGTCGTTTTTTATGAATATGTTGTTGTTGTGGTGGTTGTTGATCATAAAATATCAATGGTCTTTGTGGAAAAAAATTTTCATTCATTGATGAATCTTGTTCATCAATGTCACTTAATGTTGAAAGATCATCATTCGTTGTTGTATCACCATCATAATTTCCATTGGCACTTATTGATAATGATGATGATGAACTATGTTTATATTTATGTGGTTGACGAATTATTGAAATAGCTGCTCGACGTTCATCTTCACTAGCAGCTTCAGATATTGGATCAAGTAAATGATAAGGAAAATATTGTTGTTGTTGTTGTTGTTGATCTTGAAATGATAATGACGATGAAATAACAAAATCTGATGGCATTACAATAGGTAAAGATCTTATATGTCTACAATAGTCATCATTTTCATCATCATAATCATCATCTACATCGATTAGTTCACCCGATAATCGACATAGAAGACCATCATCTGGATCGGAAAAAAGTAAATTAACATCATCTTGATCAATATGAATTTCATCAAGATCATCATCCATATCGTCATCATCTTCATCATCATCATCATTATTGATATTCTCATTTGTAAAAAAAGATTGATTATTATGAAGACCATGATATGTTAATGTTTTACGAAACGTTTTTGTTGAATTTGTATGACATTGTTGATTAATACTAATTGAATCAGCTAAAGATGGTGATGATGACAGAAATGATTCATCTTCATCACCACCAACACCATCATCTGATATCAGATGATGTTTTAGTAATCGTTGTTCTAAACTATCGGGTGATAAACTACGTTCATGGTGTTGCTGCTGCTGTTGTTGTTCAATAGGTATCATCTTTTCATAAAGAACGGTAGCATCAGTATGATAATGCAACATAAGGTGAGATGGTAATATGAACTGTTGAAATCTGAACATCAATCAACAGCAAAAATCAGCTGTGATGATATGATAGAATGTGTTAAGAATAAAATACCAAAATTTTAATTCGTTTTGTATTTTATAATCGTATTGTATATGAATGTGAGACAAAAAAGAAAAGTGAAAATGAAGGTACAAATAAATAGAAGTTGGTTGGAGTGATGATGAACAATGGAATATAGAAGACAAGAAATAACGTTACTTCGTTTCTTCTCCCTTTTTGCTTTTATCGATTTGTCCCTATTCTCCTTCTTCTTCTTTTTTTTTTGTAATCGCAGCAACATTCGACCGAGTATACATATACACACAAGCAGTTCTTAACCTGAGGCTTTATCGATAAATTCGCTTTCACTTCTTTTCTTTTTTTTCGCGCAACGTCAGAAGTAAAGTGTATAAAGATTGGTATAGATGTTGAAATGTGTAAGAAAAAAGAAATCGAATAAACACGAGAATCTTTCATATCCTTATTGCCTGAAGATGATAAATATAAAAAGGCGAAAATTTTTCTTTTGTTTATTTATTAAATTGTGTAATATATAGAGAAATGAGAAGATTATCGGTTTCAATTTGAATACAAGGTTCTTTCAATTTTTTTTCTTCTTCTTTCTCAGTATAAAATATCAACTGTATGGCCATTGACGTCTCTTAGTTAAATAAACAAAGAACTTAATAACTATTGAAATTAATATATATAAATATATATAAAGGGCGTGAACGAACGTCAAGTATTTAGCAATGCAAAGAGTGCCAGTCATCAATTAACAAAATAAACAGAACAAAAGTCTACTGCAACGAATTATATTTTATCTACATATACATGTCTGTCTGTCTATCAAAACTATACATAAGATTTTTTTTTTTGAAACTTACTTTGTCCATGAATTTTATCATTATTTTTATTATTATTATTATAATTATATTTATTCCGAAAAATTGATATTGTATGAATAATATAGATATAAATAAATGTTGTATAAAACCATCTATATACGAATGTCCAAAGAAGACGCCAGACATTATTTAGATTACTGACCATTGTTATCGTTGTTTCGTTAAATGGTAGACTAAAAAAGGATTGTTCAATGCTGTTGACTAAAGTGATTATTCGTTCACTGAACTTTTTTTTCTCTTACCGATCGATTCAATAATGATTGTATGATAGTATTTATGATGATCAAATAAAATTCATGAAATGTGAGAAAGTGAAATCATATTAACATTGATATGAATATGTAATGGATCAATGAATTTATGTATTTTACAATCAATTTAAGAAGAAAAAGCAATTTCTTTTTCTTTTTTGAAGGACTTTACAGTAGTTTATCATTCGATAAAATCATCTAGTAATTGATCTTTTTTATTAGAAAATTAGAAAAGTCATATCCTATTTACATAGACAAGAAGAGATTTGTTAATCATAAATATATGCTCGTTCTTTTCGTATTTGACTTACGAAAAATAATCTACATGTTATGTAATACTAATAAATATTGTATTATGAATTTGAACATAAAAAATAGATTAATCTTTTTTTTGTGAGACTTACTGTCGATTATAGAATTAAACGTATAGTAAGATTTTTAATAATCGTGTAGAATTGTGAAATTCATTCAAATATATTAACGATAATTTAAAGAAGCTCGAAAAGCATATTTTTAGAGATCTAATGTTGACTTTTTCTTTCTTGAGTGTATGTGAAGCTTTATTAATTCATGTTATTGCTCATTAATGTTTTCTATATAAAGAACGAAGACATAAAATTAAGTAAATATAAACGATAACAAATGCTTTTTTTATTTCAAATTTTTCTCAGTAATAGACAGCAAACAATGCATTGTTAAGCTTTATTTATCAATAGATTTGTCTCAATTATTGAAGATTAGATTTTTTTTATTATATTGAAAATCATTTTCATTTTATTATGAATCGATGTATATATATAATACCTTTTAATTGAAGTTGATATATGGTTCAAATTTCTCTCTATGTAATTTATGTTTTACCATCTGAAATCATAATCAAAACTCTATTGACAAGAGTTTCCTAGTAAACTATTATCACAAAACTATGTAAGGATTTTTTTTCTTTCATTGTAACTTTCAAGATACAATGGTGAAATGTGAACTGACTGACTACAAGATACTTTTATTACTATACCTGTTATCAAATTTGATGATCATTCGTAACTCTACATACATATATTCTATAATAATTATGATAAATAAATCTTGAGGGTGTGGGTGTGAGTTAAGAGAAGATAGAAGTACTTAGACCCACACTCACACCCAAAAATATAATTGAAAAGGTCATGAATGTTGTTGTATTTCGTTAAAATCTTTCTAGAAGTCGGAGAGCTATGCCCGAAAGTAACAGTACATTTGTTGACAAATGATTTTCTCAATATAGAGTACAAGTGGTCAATATATATTGAAATGTTCTAAGCTTGCCCGACAGAAAAATAACAAAGCGCATTCATTGACCGCTTAGCACAGCAATCCCTATCGGTCAGAATTTCTTTGTTTCAGTATAAAAGAAGCAGCAATATAGTGCACATCAATCACATTCGTCTCTTTTTTTCCTAACGCGACTTACTTGCTTCATATCCTTGTCAATATGGATACACCTGTTCTTTCAAATAATGAAGATGATCATACTGCGATTCGTATTCAAATGAAGGATGAACAAGTCTGGACTGCATTCAATAACGTCATGCTCGAATATATGTACGTTTCTTGGCAAGTTCTAACTAAGATTTTCAGTGAATAAACGAAATGTCTAAAAAATTCTATATATTGATCATAATGTCGCTGACTAATATGCAATGTACATCATCGTGCAATTGTCTTTAGTTTATGAATGTTTTTAGTGCGACTAACGAAGGACGTCGTATGTTTCCAAGTATAAAAGCATTAATCGACAATCTTCAACCATCGATGACCTATGATATCTATATTGATTTGATTGAACGTGGTCGTTATGCATGGACTAACAACCAATGGATTAAGATATATGATACTTCGTCAACTACAAACATCCGTAATGATGGACATGTACAACAACTTCAAACATATCGTCATGAGAATTCCCCTAATTTAGGAAGCTTCTGGATGGATAATCCTGTTTCGTTTGCTCGTCTTAAACTGACAACTCGTACTGAAAACTTAACACCTAATCAGGTTAATAATCATTAATCATTGTTAAATATATATATAGAATCAAACTGAATTGCAATTCTTTTCGATTTGTTTGGCAAAATCACAAATCGTTTTTTTCTACTGTATTTCTGAGTAGTAGATGTGGGATGCTGACAATAGGTTTGAAGCATATGAATCTTGTTTCTCTTTAGATCACTGTTAAACCAATGCATATGTATGTGCCTCGCATTCAAATTATGCAACATCAATTGATGGATCAAGAAAACGTACTGGTTCATTCACAAATACTACCTCGAGCCACATTTATTGCTGTGACTCAATATAAAAACGCAGAGGTAATTATAAGATATTCTACTTGAGTAATTTCGGCATCACTATATTTATGAAATTTTGTTCTTTATAGGTTACGACACTCAAGATCATGTATAACCCATTTGCTCAAAATTTCTTAATGACATATAATCAGTATTTTCAAAGACAATTACCTCGTATTTCTGGCTGATAGTAGCTGAATGTCGACGATGGGTGAGAGAGGGGTCCGTGGTGACCGCTAAAATTACGTCTCCACTGACATTCATAAGATTTTTATACATTATAATATTTACTAATCACATTTTTTCTGTACAGTTCTTTGTGTGTTAATAAAATATCTAATAAATACGATAGTATATAACATAATTACTATTATATTCGGCAGTTTTATCATCGATTAGTAGTGCAATAATGTCGAAAATGATAGCGCGGCAGTTTAATCACAATCGAAAACGTGAGGTTAAGATAAAAAGATTTTACTTTCTTCTTCTGAGAAAAATGCCAACCTCTTTTCGCACCTTATCTTGAGGGTGGGATGTAAACGTGGGTGTGGATGGGTGTTAGTTCCTGATCCACACCCACACCCTCAAGATATACTTGGCGTTTTCTCAATAAATTCTGAATTTTTATGATTGGAACTCTCACTATATAGACTGAGCAATCAACGACAATACATTTCTTTAGAACAAAAATAACGTTGTTAAACAAAATTATAGCATCGTTTTAGTTCGTCGATTGTATAAAAATGATTGTGAGCCAAATGGAACGGTCTACATTCGTGCTTGAATGAAACTTCACGCTCATTGTAGAGCATTCGAACAAGTACTTGCTGGCGTTGCTTCATCGCTTAGAACAGGAATCCTCAGGAGATTAGAGAATGGAAGCAAAATCCCATCATGACCAAAACGAGCACGCACGAAATGTGTCGAATCTGGTTGAGCGCATTCAGTCGAATCGCGAAGAAAATCTTCTAGTTAAATTCGAGCGATATCGGAGGTCATTGTTTGCTCTGTGAAACTGGGACCTTTTTCGTAGTAAACCTATTGATAATCTAGTACATATTGCAAATAAAATCGTACATTTCTCACTTTTGAGTGTGAGTGTGAATGTTAGGTGAATACAGTATCCATACTGACACCCACATTCACCCACATTTACACTTACACCAACACCCTTTTTTTACGAAATCTTAATATGGTTCGAAGCATATACTCGCGCTCAGTCCTATTATATCTTATTTTATATTTTCTTTACTATGCACAAGGGTATAAAATCAATGTGTCTATATGTTAATTATTTATTGACAATTAATGGAAACAACAGCATTTGCATTTGAATAGAAAGAAAAAAGCATATCGTGTTTGTTCTATTAACAGGACAAGATGCAGAGTATGCAGCCTATTCAGCATCCGATACGGCTTATCGTCGGAAGCGCGACAAAATATTAGACAAAGAAAAAGCTGCACAGCAATGATCTTTCACAACGGATGGATTTATTTCAATTGCTGTAGGTACCTGTGGATATAATATTGGGTTAATAATTGAAATTAAAATTTGTACAAATGTCTTACCGTGATTTCCGTAAGCTCGGTCAGACTTGACGGATCTACCTCTGTGGGAATATTTATCTCGTCGGCTAAATTGTTCTGTTCCAAGAAACCAGTTGCATCTCCCGCCTAAACCAGGGATTAAACATATCAAGTCTTTAAAGATCACAAAATTTTGGGATTGAATTGCTTAACATTACATATATTTTTATATACTGTTTTCTGATTGTTCTTTTGAGAAATATTACTTTGAAAAGGCGCTGGAGTATCAATATCAAGAACTATATAGGGGATTTGGAAGAATAACCACAGTAGTCATAGGTCCATTAGATAATACAGAAAATAAATGTTTCTGAAATCATAGCTGTCTCATAAGGATTTGAATAACTAAGAAGAATACACTCATCAACTTACCATCGCAGCCGAATCAGCATTGTGATCAATAAGGCCCTGGATCTCTGCAGCTAAATCTGGATCCGGAGATTCATATGCATCAGTGATGGCTTCAAAAAACTTTTCTTGGTCTTCTTGGTCTTCTTGGTCTTCCTTGTCTTCCAAGAAATTTAGAAGTCCGACTATACCTACACCCACGCCAATGCCTCCAACTGCAGTAGCGATGGCCCCTAATACCAAGGGACTAGAAACACTGAGTTTTTTCTCGATTTCTTTCTCTTCTTTACTACGAATCATATTAATCCTCACGGAACATTGTGAATTAGGATCATCAACTTTTTCACATGAGGTGATGCGAAAAACAATACCCATAGGAAGCAGAACTTCTTCTTCATCCGTAATTGTACTAGAATCATTAATAAATACTATTGGCTTCGATGCCACTTCTTCATGATCAATGTGCATTGAAATAAAAACAGATACTTTATTATTGTCATTGAGAGGTACGTCAAAGGATGAGAATGTCTCTGCAACCTGGGAATCCGTTGTAACAGACAAGAAGTCTCTTGTTATGACATATTCATTCTTCTTTGGTAGCTGTTTTAATTCTGTTCGTGAAATTACTTTACCGCGATGAACAACCAGGGTCTCTGGCCACATTGACGATTGTTCATCATGTAGTCTCTGCATTTGCAAATAAAGATCGTGAAGGATAAAACGAATTTGAAAGTAATTTGTAACACTAAAAGCAGCACATGTGCTGCTGATGACATAGTTAACGAAATGGCAAGGCCTTGTATAAAATTTGATAGCATCTTCTTCACGATAATCAGCTTCAAATTCGTCAATTTGTTTCAAAAAAGTTGAACTTTCATTGTACTTGGAGCGGCAGAAGGCAATAAAATCTGCTTTAGCTTTCTCAACATTGACAAGTTGCTTTGGCATGAGCTCATTGAATGCTATTTGAATTAGTTGACGTTGACCAGGTTCATCTAAGCTTTTTGCGCGTGCTCCGAAAATCTTCTTTGACAGCCTACTTTGGTCGGAAAATAAACTGTCGGAAAACCAGCGCTCTGACTGCTGTTGAAATTGTTCTTCGGATACACGACGATAAATCATAGCAACCTGGGAACATCGCTTGAATTTTTTGATAAGCTTTTCGTTCTGCACAAGATGACCAGATAATATAAGAACAACATGCTGTCTACCACACGTCTTCACATATTCAATGCATTCGGTAGCACTTTTGAATTTAACTGATTTTGTTTGCATCTGTGGACTTCGATGGTCGCTTTCTGGAAGTGGGGGCATCCAGAAGCGAAAATCCTTTCTTAGTTTTTTGTCTTCCTCTCGGAGCTTTTCGGCAGTTGATATTCTGAGAAAGCCAGTTTCGGACATGATTTCTTCTTCTTCTTCTCCATTGCTACCAGAAGAATTTGTGAGTTCGACAATTACATGTTCTTCTTCTTTAGTTTTTGCGTTGTTTAGTTGTGTTTGAGCGATACGAGAAGTTGTCATTTTACTTTATTCTGTACACCAAAAAAAGGTTTCCCTTAATAACGTCGAAAATAAAAACGTCGAAAGATCAAAATGCCGAAAAGAAAAATATCTAAAATAAAAAATATACATATATTGATAGATAAAAATGTCAAGAATGGAAGTTTACGAAAAGAGAAATCTTTTCCAGTCTGACTCACACTTTTACCTCTCAGTCAACATCATCGTTGTACGCTTTCGAATTTTTTCTTCTCGACATTTTTATCTTTCGACATCTTTCTTTACGGCGTTATTAGGAGAACCCAAAAAAAAGCGTACTTTTATTGTTTGAATCGAGAATGACAGAGAATACGAGTGAAAAGACTTCTTTTTATAACCCTTTTGTGTCTCGTATTTGTTGTAAGTAGATCACATTACTTCCTAACAAAATCATGACCACTGTTGTAAAGCAGTGTTTATGATTGTGTAGAAACACATACAATATCATGTACGGCTGTATTCTACCATTGATTAACATGAAGCACAAGCCGCTGTTATCAGTTACAGCTGGAAATTTCCAAGTAGTCGAATTTCCCAACTTGTGTTGCGAGAACCAGTGCGCGACTCTTTTATTTGCCATCATTTTACAGAGTGCGAGATCTCTTGAGGGTGTGGGTGAGGGTGTGGGGTGACGGTGGGTGAGGGTGTG